CTAAAGATTTCGTTAAGCAAATCTTGCAGCGGGGCAGACAAGCCGAGCGTTCCCATCAATGCGTTTGCTGAAGTGTAACGCTGTAGCACATCTTTACCGAATCCCATCTGGAGAAACACAATACCCAAGTCCCACACATCTGTCTTCATGGTCGGTGAAGTATTCCCTTGTGTCGACTCGGGAGGCAGCCAAAGTGGTGATTTAGAAACTTCTAATGACTGTTTGCTGCCGGCAGAATCAGGGAGGGCGTTTTCAATACTCGCTTGCAGCTTCACAATAGTGCCACCTGTCTGGTTTCTCAGTAACATGATGCGCCCGCAATGAATATCCCCGTGGACAAAGCCGCTCCGGTGATAGAACTCGAGCGCTTCAAGAAGCTGGATCGTCCAGCTTCGCAGAGTTTCCACGGGTACAGACCCTACGATGTCCAGAAACTCGGACAGTGACCCCTTGTTTGCATGCTCGAGAAGAAGATAAACTCTCCATGTGTTGTCCTGAGGACTGACCGGTTCGAGGGGCCTGTAAATCTTGAACCCAACAAAATCCAACAGATTTGGATGTCGTAGCCGTTTAATAGCTTCCAATTTATCCTCGCTGCTACGCATCTTCTCTCTGAATGCAAGTGGAGATAGCTGCGTCTCATCGATCGAAAACTCCTTTAGAACAAGGAGAGGAGCATGGCACCGATTCTCAGTGACCACTGGTCTCACGGTATATGTGTCTTTTCCCTGGGCACTCTTGAGAAGCGTCTTCCCGTAAACCGCGCGGAAAACCAATGGCCCTTCGTCGCTGTCGGCCATGACGAGGGGCGGGTCGAAGGAGATTGCGCCTGGGATATTCTCCCCGGCATCAGTTTCGCTGCCTGTGTCTATGCCAGAGGTTCGACTCTTGCGGCGTAAGAGTCGGGCTTTCGTTCTCTCTCTAAGCTTATCCTCCAATAGCTGTTGTAGTGCTCGTTCCTCCTCCGCAGTGGCGGCCTCTTGTTTTTGGAGCTCTTCTTGCCTTTCCAATTCAGCGCGCTGATTGGCAGCAGCTTCCTGTTCCATGCGCTCCTCCTCTAGGCTGGGTAGGTCTTTATTTTGAGCTTTAGCTTCCGCCACATCCTCTAGAACATCCTGAATGGAAACGGCGATCTCGTAGATCATCTCAGATCCCACAAGAGATTTCGGCTTGGTCCGTATGATGTCATCGATCCTCGACCGAGCCCCTTGTCGGAGATCATCTGTGTTTTCCAAGAAAAGGTTCGGATAGGTTTTAGGATAGGTGGTCGGCAGTTCAACCAGCAAATCAAGACGCACCTCCGGATTGGACGAAGCACGCAAGTGGAGTTTGAACACGACATCTGACGATTGCTAAGGTCGGGAATGACAATTAACTAGTGCGGACAAGAAGGATGGCGAGGGAAAACAAGACATACCTGCCAGGCAGATCGCTTATGTTCAACTTCTTCAAAATCGTCACCGTAAATTGAGCGGAGCGCCTCAATCTCATTCCGGTGGATTTCCTCGTAATCGGTCGGGGCCACTACCGGCAGGGCGAGCGAAGGGGCATCCGGGGGGAATTGACGTTTCTTCTCCGCCCGGGGAGAGCCGTTCTTGTGGGCATTGCTGGAAGTTTTCTTCTGCTTGTGAGGCATAGCGGGGCGTCGGGCGGTGTGAGATAAAGTATTGCACCCAGGTCGAGATGGATCTTTGCCACGCGATAGCTGTGACAAAGTTGCAGCCGAAGCTGCAGCCCTCTATGCTTCAATAAGGAACATATTCGGACTGATCAGGTACCAATGTAAAAGAAGGAGGGCGGGCAAGGTACGGGAGAGTTGGTCACTATAACTAATTTAAAATTAGTGGGGGAAGGGAAGAACCAAATGATGGACGGGAAATTGGGAGTAAAAGAGCGGTAACTATAGGGCGAGCTAAACTGCCTTAAGGATCGCACCGTTGTTTTTCCGCTGACCGCCTTTGGGTCGTTAGCGTCCCCGCTGAGCATCGTAAACAAAGCACAGCGTTCCACGTCAATCCCACGGCTCAGTCGTGACCTCTGATAAGACGCCAATGGTGTCCGCCCCTGCAATGCGACTCTCGATCTTGTTAGTAATTTGATTCACCTTGTCCTGCAGGCGCGATGTTGGAGTGGATCACTGGGCAGAACGAGCAGTTTGCAGGTGCGTGTCTCTCGCTGGCCGCATGAAGCCTGGGCACGCGCCCCATGGTTGGTCCAATAGCGGACTTGCGATCTTCCCCCCCAACGCAAAATCGTACGGCTGTCGCGCTGACTTGTTTATTCCTTGTTTATATCCATAGACAACTCAAAGGTTTTGGAACCTCCTGAAACGCCTGCGCCTGTGTTCGCCATTCGCGCTTTCAAGAGCGCCTTGTTTGGCACCCCCGGGGCTGATGACGAGGATCAGATGGAGCGGGAACCAAATCCGAAGAATCTGACAGCCAATCAGCCGTCCCGCGCGAACCTGTTGCTGAAGCCCACTACTGGGAACACGAGCGATGCTCCGATAGCCACGAAAGCCGACGTCGACATGGCTGTGAATGCAATGGCCTCCCCCACTAAGAGCATCCTTGTCACCCCTGGCACTGCATCAAACCGACGTAAGACGGTTTCATTCGGCGACGGCGTTGTCGACAATGAGCGCAAGCGAGGAGAATCACCTAACAAGTCATCAAGAACTCCATTGACTAGCCAGTGGTCTATCAATTCTTCAGATGGGAAGGCCAAACCGCGGAGCAAGTTAACACAGGCACTCATGGACTCGCGTGAGAAGTCTCCCAAGGAGTCGGAGACCTCACAAAACCACCAGTCTACCGAATCGAAGCCGGTGGTACAGTCGACATCGTCAACGGAAGATGATCCCGGCGACGACACTATCAACCTGAACGAACCCCGCTCTCAGTCTGGTAAATACTGGAAAGCGGAGTTTGATAGCTATAGAAACAAAACCACTCAAGAAATAAGGAAGCTTATTCAGTATCGCTCCGCCGCGAAAGCATACGCCAGGAAGAAAGATGAAGAAGCCCTACGGTTAGCCGAGAAACTCAAGGAGGAGGAAGTGAAGGTTTCTGAGATGGAACGTCACGTTACTCAACTCGCGTCGACGATGGTTGGAGAGAATTCGAAAGCGGACAAGGAGCAGTTGGTGCAGGAACTCACCAAGCAAACAGCGCTGGCTTTGCAGTACAAACACCGAGTTGGCCTATTGCGCAAACTCCTAGAACAACACGGCGTGGTTAATGGTGACGTAGAGAATGTCGCAGGACCTTCCGAGACCACGAATGGCACTTCTGGGGACACGGCCCAAGAGCTCCATAAGGCCCAGCAGGCACTGGGCGAGGCAAACGCCAAGCTGGAGGAGATGAAACGTGAACAATCGGAGTTTACCAAGCTCAAGGACTTGGCCCAAAGCTCGGAACAGAAGGCTTCGAACCTCGAGAAGGAGAATGCGACACTGAAACAGACTCTAGCCCGCGTCAAACAAGAAATGACCAAGTACGAAGGACGACGCAAAGAAAAAGAAGCAAAACTGAAGCAGAGAGAAGCCAAATTAGAATTACGTGTCCAGGAATACAGAGAACGTCTGAAATCAACGTCGCAACAGCATCGCGAGCAGGAAGAAGGTCTCAGGGAGTCGTTTAACGAGGAGCGCCGCCGCATGCAGGACCAGATCGACCTCCTGAAGTTGAAGTTGACCACTTTCGAGCGCCTTCCTGAACTCCGATCGCAAACTCGTCACTCGGAGAAAGCCTATACTGGAGTCCAAGTGTATGATTTCGGACACGACAGCCCTCTGAAGGAGCAAAACGATGGGACCCAGGACATCGACGAACCTCCAAGCCCAAGCCCACGCGCAAAGGATCGGCGCTCGCACACCACAAGAACGGTATTAGGCGAGCTAGATGTTAAGCGGGCGTCAAGAGCCCTAGGCCTGGAAACGGAAGATCACAGTGAGCAATTGGCATTCTTAGATGATACACCCCATAAACCAAAGGAAACCCATCTTCTGGAAGGCGATGGTATCCCGCCTTCATCGCCCCCCGATTACCCATCACTCGAACCTCCCACCCGCCGCACCTCTAGACAGAGATACAACTCAGAGAGCTACCGCTCATACATCCCAACCCATTCAACCATAACATCCCTCGCCCATCACCTCGCCACCCGCGAGGACAGCAAACAAATCCGCACCGAACGACTGCGAGCTCGCCGCTCCCCCTCAAAATACAGCCTAGACGCCATAACAGGTCTGCCAGAAACCTATCTCCTTGCAGATCGAACCAGAAGGCGACAAAGTCTCGCGTCCGTCCAACGGGACTCCATCCCCGTCGATCGAATGCTAGCTGCCCAAGCGCGTCTCAGGCGCAAACAAGACAGCCGCAAGATCAGACAAGAGGGGAAAGAAAACATGATCCGGGCTTAACGGGCTAAAACTTTTCCTTTGTTTTTTTTTTTTTTTTTTCTTTCCCTCGCCGTGAATCGGCAATAGTTCTATTTAATATTTGGGTTTTTCAGGAGGGTAATTCACTCATTTTTCTGTTTTTCCAGGCGCGCGGTGGGGAAGCAATTGTGGGTATAGGCGCTGTCTTTTTTTTTTTTGGGATCTGATGTATCCATTACCCTGTTTCTCTACGGTTCTCTTTTTTCCCACGCCTAACTGGGATAATCGCTTTCTCTTTTGTTTTTGTCCGATACGTCATGCAAGTGATACGTCCAGCGCCTGTCTGTGTCTGGAATATACCCTACATTGAACATGCTACCCCTACTTCATTCTATGTTGTCCTCATCATTCACTTAACTTGACCCACGAGTCCTGAGGCTTGTTGAAGTACACTAATTACCCGACTGCAAAAGTCCACCAATACACATTAACTGGATATCTCATTCCAATGATGACATCATCTATCTGTATATTCTGTCCGTCTCTATATGTCCATCTATACATCGGGTGCTTTGAAGATCTAAACCCCGTCTCTGCATATCGCAAACAAGTAATTAGTTTAAGCCTTCCCGTCAGAGAAGGACACAACAGCCCACTTTCCACTCCAAGCCCATTTCCGGGCCTCGGAGCCCCCGCCGTTAGGCAGCTGGCGGAGTCTCTCGTCTTCGCCTGCTGGCAGTCCGACAACGACATCAGCTTTGCAGGTCCGGAAGGCGAGAACACGGACGCCGGACTTGGGGCCCATTGGACCGATGGCGGTCGTGAAGGGGGTTGTGGGGTCCCAAGCAGCCTAGGTAACATGTTAATGTTTTACGGGGGGTTCAAGGAAGAGTGCGGGGCCACTTACATCACTGGTTAGCTTGCGGTAGTTGAGGTCACCCTTGAAAAGGACGAGCTCGCTCTGTTGCAGGTCCTCGAAGAGATCCTTTGCTGTGTTCGGCATGCGCCAGTAGCCTCCCGGGGCGGTCCAGAAGGCGTGTGGGCGGATGACCAGCTTGCCCTCTGCGTGGAGCCGGGACCATTGTTCGAAGAGGAAGTTCACCTCTGACAGCTCCGTCTCGGAGAGGGGGGTGTGTTCTCTGCCTGACTCATCGGCCGCAGTGTAGAATGACTGCGGGTCGGCGAGCGCGGTGATGAGATCCCTGAAGTCCGGAGGCGTAACATCCGATACGAACCAGGGGATCAGCTTAGGGTGCAGTACAACTGTCGTAGCCAGGCCAGCAGAGAGAAGGTATCCGGCAAGGATAAGGTCAACGAACAGTTCGAAACCGGAGTTATCGAGAACAATGTCTACGCGACGCTCCCCGGTCTTCTTCTCCTTGCGGGCCTTGTTGAGCACCTCAAAGGCGGCGTCCAAATCGTTGACAAGGATGTTCTCCTCTGCCGCTTTGCGCGCCTGCGAGCCCTGCAGTTTCTGGATATCCTCGTAGGTAAGAGAGGTCAAAAGGGACAGATCGGTGGCATTACCCCACAGGCAGATCTCACACATCTCGGAAAAGAGTATGCGCTCAGCCTGTTCGACCTGCTCCGGGGTCTTTCCATCATGGCCCTTCTCCGCCTCCTGGGCGATTTCCTTGTATCTCGCGGCTAACTCCAGGACTGCCGGACGGGAAGATTTGAAAGTAGACATCTTCTGGCGGGCAAATACGTCGTATCCTTTCCAGTGTGTGGACAAGGCGAAGTAGGCACTGATGCGCCTGTCTATCCTGCGTTAGCACGTCTATTCGCCCTTGCTCTAAAATGCTTAACATACAGAGGTAGCATTCAGAGAACAGCCATGCAACGTCATGCCATCTCGGGTTTCCTCGTTGCTCCAACTCCTTATTATATTCTTCGACATCCGGCTGGCCGTCGTCCGGGAGGGGGCTATGCGGACGCACAACTTAGCGACTTCTTTGACATAACGTGCGTCAAGTCAACGGCGTAAATCACTCACGTCAATTGTCTGTTATGTTGCAATTCATATTTGAGCGCTGCAAGCTTCTCGATGATACTCTTTCCCTCCTTGCGCTTCTCTTCATCGGTTACATCACCAACAGTGCGGTGGAGGTCGTCAATGGCACCAGTCTATAGTGACACGAATACTTATTAGGAAGCCAGGTAAACTAAAGCCTAGAAAATCGAGACACTCACGATAATTACGGGCCAGCGCTCATGAGCGGAGGTCGAGGCAAAGCTGGATTTGTCGGAAGTAAGGTATTGCGCTGTTAACCAAGACCAGTAGAGAAGTGGGGGTTAGCCTCGTCGTTGAATGGTTGTATCTTCTCGCAATGAAGGTACATACGGGTCTTGGGATCGAACTCCATCGTTTCCAGACTGTTGAACGGTGCTATCACGCCGTTCTGATAAGCAAGATAATGGGGGAGGGAGAAAAGATGGGATTGAGCAGAAAGATACTGACATAAGGTGGGGAAGCCGAAGAATAAATATTGGAGTCAATCGCGGGGTCTTCCAGCAAAGCGGTCGGGTTTCCTAAAACTACAATTCCGACAAGTAAACTGAATGCGCTCGAGGTCTAGTCTATACCATTGGATACTGCAATCAAGTCGCTAACTAGCCACCACAATCATATCCAAGGAAATCGTCAGAGAAAAGCCAAATCATCTTACTGCCCAATCCAACATCCTCATGCCTGCACATGGGTATTCATTCACACATCATTGTTCCGCTATGCAAGAAGTTCAAATCATCATTCAATAGATACAGTATTTGGTATCTGAGAGACATCTGTCGTTATTTCAGTCTGCAAGTATAACCAAAGAGCCCCAACGCTCATTCCAGAACCGAACCTCTATGACCGGTCAAGAAGACCACTCTTCTTTGTCCACCCATAAACGCCGTCCCATGCAGAGGTAAATCATCTCACATCATGGACATAATCGAGTTTTGTGCATAAGCCTAGAGAGAAGCCCGTCAGTCTCTGCAATGCATAAAGAGGAACAAAGTAACGAGTAGACCAAAAAGAATAGGAGTACTACTAACCATAGGCTTGATATCAGGGTGAGGCACAGCTTCAAAAACTTGGAAGTCCAGCTTAAGCTCCGGTCCAACATTGATGAAGGCTCCCTTGTTCTCCGTGGTGTCGCAGTACTTGGGAGCGGAGAAGACGGTGATGCACCGTCCGTCATGCTCGACTTCGTAACCCTCCATACGGACTTCGTGGGAGCGAATGATGGCTTCCAGTCCATTCTTCTCACAGAACCTCTTGGTAACATCCGGACCAAACTGGAGACCAACACCTCGCTTGCTCGGGCCGCGACCAGGCTCCGTCTGGGGATCGGTCCAGAGCATTTCCATCATCAGGCCTTGCTGTCCGGGCTGGCGCTGGTTGTGGCGGTCCAGCTTCCGGATGTCATCCAAGGATGTATTGTCGTCAGAAAAGAGACCTCCGTGGAGAACAAGATACTTGCTGCCGATCAATGTGGCGAGGGGCAGAGCAGAGAAAGACTCCGAGAACACCTTGAACATCCTCTCGTTGTACTTGGCCTTGCACTCGCCCTCAAATCCATAAACCTTGTTCATGTCGTCCGTCTCGTGGTTTCCACGGTTGAGGAAGATACCATTTGGTCGCAGCCACTTGTACGCATAGAGGAGCAAGGCGATCTCAGTCGACCAAGAGCCACGATCGACAAAGTCACCGTTGAAAAGGTATGCGTGCTTTTCGGTCGGGTATCCGTTCAACCGGAAGATCTCCAGGAGATCGAAGAATTGCCCTGTCGCAGCGTGTCAGCGAAGGGGAAAAATCGGGGGGGTGAAGAGAAAGAAGCAAAGCGCAAAGGAAACATACCATGCGTATCACCGCAAACCGTCAACTTCTTACCCTGGTCCACGCCAATCTCGACCATCGTTGGTTCCGCATACACGAGATCCTTGACAGCCTTGACGATCTGGAAGGCATACTTGCGATGGATTTTCTTGCCGTTCTTGAACCGCTCGATCATATCGTCGATGAACTCTTGCGTCATTTCATTCTCCAATCGCACACCATCATAGCCGTCGTCGACCGCAATGGAGTCGATGTCCAGGTCCTCGAAGGCCGACGGCGGGTCACCCACCTCAATGGCCTTCTCAAACTCCATCCGACGCACAAGCTTCTCACAGTCTGCCAGTTTTACCTTCGCATCGCGGTTATTGGGCTCCCTCTTCGCGACGACCTTGAAGTCTCGTAGGGCATCTTTGTAGTTAAGGATGGCGGTGTTGGCTAGGGCTCGCCTCCAGTATGCCTATATCGAGTTAGTCGGTTGACAAACCACTTCTCCGAAAGTACGCAAGTATCTTCAGCAGCACAGCATTTTCAACAGTGAAAGAAAAAGAGAAAAAAAAAGAAGAAGAAGAAAGGAGATAACATTCTAAAGGCGTATGCTACTGACCTTGGTGTAGCCGGCGTCGAGCTCAAGCGCCTTAGTAGCATCGGCGATCGCAAAGCCATAAGCTTCGAGTTTGATATGCGCCTAGAACAGTTAACACGCTGTGCCCTATCCATCTGCTTCTCTCTCGCCCTCGGGGCCAAAAGAAGAGCAGAGTGGTAGTAAAGAAAAGGTGCCCAGAGCGCAACGTACCTGAGCACGATTGCTAAAGAACGAAGGCTCGCGATCATATTTCTCTATGGCCTGGGTGTAGAAATCCACGGCAGTAGGCCAGTCATGCTGACCGAACGCTTTATTGCCCTGCACCTTAAGCGCAGTGGCAGCCTCAAGGTCGGACGACGCCATCGGAGACAGGATGCAATGAGGGGAGAGGGGTTTTCCGGCAGGAAGGCACGAGAGCGTTTGCAGAAGGAAAACGGTTGATCTTCCACGGGAAGGGAACCTTAAGGCTGAACTCCTTCACTAGCTTGGGGAGGGAAGAAAACCCGATTTAAATCGAACGGAGTAATATTCCTGACAAGAATGCGGAATTTCTGCAGGAATTCGGACCCTTGAATCTATTTTCTTATCACTGGCTCGATTACTTTTTTGGAATTGAATCCCGAAGATCCTCCAGTCGCCGGGCTTGGCATTTCCTTTCCGACATCAAATCAATCCATCCAAATCAATTCAATCAACTGCAACAACCTCGTTTCTCTCTTCATTCCTCCACCGCTGAAGCTACCACCTCTCTGTAACGAGGCCCATCGTCGCAATTTAATACCCATCGCAGCTCCTTCCCATTCCAAACCAGCACAGCACATGTCCTTCTACGTCGCACCCAGCCAGCAGCGCACTCTTCGCGCCTGCATGGTCTGTTCCCTCGTCCAACTGCACAGCGTACGTTCAAAGCAGGACCAAGCCTGCATAAACAAACAAAAAAAACCCTCCCACCCGCAATAGTCTAACGCCGCCTTCACAATAGAAATTCATGCGCGAAGGTTGCCCCAACTGCGATAACGTCCTCGGCCTCCGTGGCAACAACGACGCCATCCAAGAATGCACCTCCCAAGTCTTTGAAGGATTGGTCACCCTCCGTGACCCGAATACCAGCTGGGTAGCTCGCTGGCAGCGACTCGACAGCTACGTGCCGGGAACGTATGCAGTCAAGGTGACTGGATCGGTATGTTGTGATTGGGGTTATGTCCCTACACTATGTCTTTTAAGAACGTCGAGGCTGATGTGATGGTTTGTTTTGCTTTGTAGCTCCCGGACGAGATCATTTCGAGCCTGGAGGATTCGGGCGTGAAGTATATTCCTCGCGATGGTAGCACGGGTGAAGAGGAGACTTGATCGGTGGTTCGGGGCGCGCATTATTACAAGTTTTCCCAGGTCTCCTGGCTAGAAAGGGTGGGATGGTTCTGTTGTCGCGGATTTCATAGCGGGCTGTTCCTTCCCGTTGCACGCACTTGGGAGTTAGGGATTTCGGTTTACGTTCGATATACGTCTTTGGGTATGGGCTGCTTTGTTTATTACGCTGGAGTTGTCCCTTTCTTTTCTGACTCATTACTACTTGAGAACTCAATTTTTTTTTTTTTGTTTTTTTTTCTTTTGAAGATAAACAGCTGGATTTTATTCGATACCCAACATGCAAAATCGATGCACCTTGGGACGGCATCGGATTGCCGTTTACTATAGATATATAGATTTGCTAACAGCTTCAAAAAACATAACTCGTAGATAGCGTGCCAATCAGACACGGAGAAACCCATCCCAACCCAACAATGAACGCCAGACTCTGCCAGATTTAGTGAAACAGAAGGAGATACAGATTTTAATGGAAAATGCCAGTCATGCAAACCATAAAGTTCCTTACAGCTGCTTGATGATCTTCTCAATGCTCTCCAGGAGGATATCAGCTGCAGACATATTAGCATTGGTTCAACACTTTTAAACTAGGGTAGAGATTTGACTTACCATGGTGCTGCTGGAAGATCAGCATGGGCCTGAGGCGAATGGCGTTCACTCCGCTGCCACCGATGTTGACACCGACGCTCTTGGCCTTGCCGAGGAATTCATCACGCTTGGGGGTATCCCAGGCAATGAAGGTTCCCTGGCCCTTGCCACGGAGGTTCTGCAGATGCTCGGGGTACTTCTCAGCAAGGCGCTGGAGACCAGAGTACAAGTATTCACCAGTCTGGGCGGTGTGCTCGACGAGGTTCAGGCGCTCAATCTCCTCGATGATACCACGGAAGATGAGGGCACGAGCGGGGTCACCCATCCAGGTGTTGAACTGACGGTAGGGCTTGTTGGGACGCAGGGCGGGGTTGCCGTAGTAGTAACCGGCGGTCTGGGCCTTCTTCGAGAAGGTGACCATGTCGGGAGGGGTCTCGAGGTTCCAGTGGTCGTGGGCCCAGAACTTGCCAGTGGCACCAACACCGGTCTGCACCTCATCGACGATGAAAAGAACGTTGTTACGCTTGGTGATCTCGCGCAGGCCACGGAAGAAGGCAGGGGAGGCATGGTTGTCTCCACCCTCGGATTGGATGGGCTCGACAATGACGGCGGCGACAGGGTTGTGCCATTCCTTGATCAACCGCTCAGCCTCCTGGAGGCAGCGCTGTTCCTCCTGGGCGTTCTCCTGAGCATGCTCCTCAAGGGGATACTTGAGGGTGGGGAAAGGAGCCTGAGGCCAATCGAAGGCAGGGATATCAAGCTTGTGGATGGGCTTGCTGCGGGTGGTGGACAGACTGCCAAAGAGACGACCGTGGAAAGCAGACTTGAAGGACATGATGGACAGCTGGGGAGAGCCGGGAGCCTGGTTGGTCATGGTAGTCTGCAGCTCCTCCTCAGTGAACTCCTTCTCGGGACCTCCACGCTGCAACTGACGGTAGTACATGAAAGCGGCCTTGTAGGCAGTCTCGTTGGCGTCAGATCCGGCCATGGCAGTGAAGACCTGGTCCAGGCCCTTGGGGGCCACCTTGAGGATACCAGTGTTCAGGATATTAGCCCAGTCCGCCGAGGGGAAGTTGCCCAGAGCTGGACGGTTGATCAAAGCGGTAGTCATCTCGGGCGATTGAGCGACTTTAGTAAGATGGGGGTTGTTGTAGCCAACAGGGATAGAAGCAATCTGAGCATAGCTGGCGACCGATATGAGCGATAAGGTATGGACAACAGAGACGCCATTAGAGTAGAACTTACACATCAAGGAGGACATTTCCATCCAGATCAGCAATACTAGTACATTGTTAGCCACGGTCACGATAAGCCGGTGCTGGCACGAAACAAGAGACATACTAGTTACCAACCGACTTCGAATAATCGGTAAGCATGTTCAAGCTGCGCACGTCAAAGACCTTGTCCAGTTCAGCTGTGGCAGCCTTGTTCTTAGGGCCCGGGATGGTGGTGGCCAACTTAGGACCAGCCGGCTCATCAGCGAAGAAGGGCTTCGCCGCCGCGCGAAGGTGCGGGGTGGTGGTGATGGTGCGGGCAGTCGGCACGCGCGTCACCGAGCGCAATCTGAAGCTAGAGCGAGCAATGGAGGCCATTATGACGGATTTATTGTGAGAAATGAGGGTGTACAGAGGTGTGGCGATTCTCTCGCTGCGTAGGTTGTGGAGAAGAATACTCCTAGCAGCAGATGTGGGGAGACGGTGATAAGGGAGATAAGAGCTCTATTGCTTTGATCACAGCTCAACCAAGCTCGAGTCACAAGGCAATTGAATCCGCCAGGGGTATAGGATGGAAATTGAGTTGAATACGAAGGAACAAGGAGAATTGCGGCGCCCAGCTCATCTTATATCACCAAGAATTCCAGGTCTTGAGCGGAATGCCGGCGGCTTTGGAGCTCTCGAGTCTCTGTTGAGCTGCCCCGCGGCCGGGGAGGAGCTATTGTCGGCGATTTGGACCAATCCGAGTACAGCCTATCACCGCCGTCGGCGATAAAAGCAAAGTAAGGATGGGAAGAAAACTGCCAGGTGGTCTGGCTAATCACCTGTGGCCAAATACTTGTCCCAATGAAGAAAGTCTTCGCCGGAATCCATTGCAAATGATGTTAGTCAAAGGTTCCAAACCTCAATTGATGTTTGTCATAAATATAGGGAGGGTGTCAATTCGCTCTAGAATTGTTGAAGTTCTTTCACTCAACGCGTGAAGTTCCCCAATTTGATAAGCGATAAGACGTCACGTTTATCAATGCGATAAGGACTGGCGCGCGTGACCACAGAAGATCTCGACCGTCTAGTACCTGACTTAAACTTCTCAGTAACAGAACGGCATTACAACTGTACTCAGCAGTAGTCATCACATCGCGTATTGTCGGTCTAGTCTCATACCAACTATAAGATCATGTAGATGTTACATGCGCATCAATATCCTCTGTTTGTGCGGTACAAATGCATTGCTTTCTAATGAATATATATATTCGGGACAAACGTTGAATCTTTCCCATGCCACACCGTAATGGCTAACGAAAGGCATTGGCTCAGCTGAACATAATAGTAGCTCAACATCATGGATGGAGGGGTCAGTACTAGGTAAAAAGTTGCTGCTAACTCAACATAGCACACACCGAAACGATCCTATTCTGATTAATATGTTATCCATTACTACTCAAGTAGAATAACTTTGAATCCTATCTGCGAGATATTGATGGAAGCCATATCGAATCAGTCAGTATAGTATCATTTGTCACAGAGGGATTGTATAAGTCAGCATATTGTTAGCAGATTCAGACTCGACCAAAAGCAAACATCAGCGGTTGGCCTAGCCTTGTAGGAGGATTTATCCAACAACCCAACAAAGAATAGTTAATACCTAGACACCACAACCCACAGCTTGAGTTCTAGGACTCATCTTCCGAGGGGTTGAGCAAATAAGCGATTGCGTTAGCCTCAGACTCATAGTAACTGTCGCTCAGATCACTATAGTCCTCAAATAACTTGCTATATGCCTCACTCGACGAGTCCTGACGCTTATTAGGAGAGTATTCTAAACGAAGGGAGTCGCCTTCATCCGATATATTGCCCCATCCTCTCGATATTTTCCTAGCACTGGAAAATGTATCAGATAAGACATCGGCTGAATTTGATGAATTGGTTGTCGAGGAACGAGCCGCAAATCTTTTGTTATGCTCTCTAAACGCGGGCAGGATAATGGCCTCGTACCAATCATCCAGTTTAGCGAGCTCGCTCCATTCCCAATGTCCAACAACCTCTTCTTCTGAAACCATCCAGAGACAGAGGTATTCATCTTCATCACAGGACATGCCAAGTGGGTCCCGTACCCCGTAGTAACGCATTTCATTAACCACGCTGAGAAGGTGTCGACCGTTGGCCGCTCGAACCCTGGGATTGACAACCGTAAGCATCTGAGAGCCTCTCTTCCAGGCCCTCACTTTGGCATATCTCTGTACAGCTCCTGCGGATGTAGTGAATGAGATGTACGGTGTTGGTGTCTGGTTGCCAGGATGGGCGTGGATGGCTAACGAGATTGCCCGGGTCTCAAAAGTATCTAGTAGTTTACATGGACATCGTGCATACATGCAGTTTGTTGATGTTGGCTTAACGCCTGAGTGGGAATCCCAGACTCTGAGAAGTGGCTGATCTAGATCCAGGCGATATGCCTGATACCATGGATGCATTTCTTCCTCTGTAGGTGCTGGGATATATTCCAGAGGAATAGGTGCAATAGCCTGTGTTAGCATGGATGCTTGTGCCATTATGTTTGAAGGATAATGTTCAGTTGCTGTGTGGTTTGTTATTAGGTGGTTAGTGCTGTGCTTGTTGTCTGCTGCGAGAAAGTTGGGTAGAGACGCTCCTTCTGTGATTCTAACAGTGAAAACCTATTTCTGTGACTCATCTTTTCGCGGTGTTTGCACAAATCAAGACATATAAGGGTAATCATGACGACTTCTGCTGGTGCTTATATTAGTAAGGCTGCAACCATGGATGTGCCTTACTGCGTGTATATCAATGGTGTCATGTAGACGACTTTCTTTACAAGACTTGTTAGTAAAAAGACAAAGAAAATTTAGTACACACGTAATTGACGATAGCACCGCTTGCAATTTCTCTTGGGGCGTCCATCATGAAGTTGAGCCTCAAGAATTTTATAGAGAAGGACTATGGTAAAAGGATTCTTGCGGGCCCCAGTAATGTGACGTTATTCAAAATAGGATACTTTTTCCACACGTTAATAGGGACTGCTGCTGATTCCACTCTATCAGGTGAGTGGCTGGTCGATCACTGACGATTTAGATCCAGCCTGATCTATATTTCGAAGGTTGGAGAAGCCAATAGTCAGAAATGATTGTCATCACAATGCCAATCTGCAGGAAAATGATAGTTGAGTATAGTTGTGGCTGTTATTGCCCATATTGGACTGTTGAGTATGAGATGTGGACCGGATGGATTAGCCTAGAACGTAAGTAAACTGGGCCTTGAGTGACCACCGAAGGCAATGCTCAATGTAGCCGTCTATAATACCTTTTATCTTAACGATCGAGCGATGATTGACCATGTGATAAGTTGTCCCGCAGGCAATTTGCATATAACCCTATCATGGCGAAAGACATGTTCGTGGTGCATATGAGGGACTTGTATAGGTTTCAACGATGCAGTATCTACTAGGATCAAAGAGGGCATCGAGTCGCCGAAGATATGCTTGCATCATGCAGTGACTCATAGCAGCTGTGAGTCTGAGACAATTAACATATGCACCGAGTAGGGGAATGTCAATTCGTGCACCTTGGTCAACTCTCGGCCAGACCTTGAAAAACTGAATATACCTTGTTTAGTCTTCTCACCTGCTCCGCTGACTCGCATGCTGCCAAGACCCTAACATCTTAGGCAGCTGAGATCTCAGTAGCTTTTCTATATTAGGCAGTGGGTTGAATGAGACTAAGAGAGAGGGTACCTATAGTTAGAGCATTCCATCCAAGAAAAAGGAAAAAGTGTACGTACAATAGGAATAGTATGGGCTTAAGTACTCCGTACTATTTGCAAGGCGATATTAATAGCGTGCAATGGTCAATAGACTCCACAATCTCCAGGTATCAAGTTACTACGAGTAGCCAACTAGCCACTAAGGCACAGAAGAAGGAAGATCAATCAACGGTGCAGCTGCAACTACTCGTAGTAAGCACGGCTTATTATCAGAAGCACTTCTAAGATAATCAGACACCAGTATATTGCTGGTGGGATACAGTTGTTATGAATAGTGGTGACAAGGGTCACAAGAGTAGATAGTCATATCCTTGACAATAATGCTATATCAAATGCCAGTAACTTCCCACTATTATGGGGGGTATTAGGCTAATAGGCTTCTTGGCAACCTAGGGCCCTAATAGAGATCTGCGGAAGGCCCCTACTAACCTTGATACATCTTCGCCCAGCGCTCGTAGTCACCATTGGTGCTTCGTATTCAGCGGAGACTGCCGGCCGACGGAGGCCGGACATTCTACGGAGTGGTCCTCCACACGATTTGCGAAAAACGGCCGAGCCCGCTCCCTGGATTCTGGGCGAACAGGGATCTATCCGACTAGAGATGCACGTAATTTATTGTGTATGGACCTGCATCCATCCTTAATCGGTTCGTAATATTACTGACGTGTTAACCAGGAATCATGCCACATTTGCATCGATATCGGCGGATTTATTTCGGAAGTGTGGAGATGGTGGGGATGGTGGGATTTATTTGATACTATGTAAGGGCTTTCTGGTGGAGCCTCCCCGTGTGCTTTTGCGTAGGGAGGGTGGAAGTATACAGTGCTCGGGTGTATTCATATTCTAGTTTTTCTCATTCCCTTTTATTTAAATTGTCCGATGGGACAATTATAGTATATCGTATGTAATAATACATGTAGTTTTGAAATGTACATAGAAGAAGTCGATGTAGGGCGTGGCTAAAAAGGTATGGGGAACATGCGGTGTCGTAAAGAGAAATCGAGCTCAACGATCGTAAAGTAGCAATCAATGCTTAGTGAAACATGATGATGGTGGGAAATGTCAAGGAGTGTCATATGGAATGTTTGTCTTTGAATGGTGAGCTGGTTTGCCGGGTAAGAGATGCAGAAGACTTCTCGCTGGCAGGCGATGTGTATACCGCACTATCATACTTAAGATCGAAATCGTGGTTGGGCGTTGTGACACGGGCGTGGTTAGCTGGCATACTATGAGCATTATCGGCCGGCTCGCTTGGATTCCGGGCTTCGGTCCAAGTTTCCATCTCAACCGTTCGGTAGACCTCAAATCGTTCCAGTTGGCTGTCAGTATGATGATGCGATCGGCCCCTGGAGGGTCTGGTAGAGTGCCGAGATGGGTTGAGCGACGACCACAACTTTTGAGGACGACTTTGGCCATACCCAGACGCGTATTTCTGGGTGGACTGGAGTAGCCGTGGCAAGAAAAACGTAACCAGAGGTCTCAATGCAGGTGCAGAAGCACAGATCTGATGAATATTAGAATTGTTTTCGCAGAAGGAATTTTGCGAACTTAGACATACCAATCCCAGATTGATCTCTATGGATGCAGTAAGGAACACCGGCCAACCCAACCAAGTCATGTCGTACGAGGCGATCATACTCTTATACACATAAACCGTCCGAACGGTACCGGCAACATTGACCACAATTCCAAGACTAAAAATGGACATCACAGCAATTCGCTGCCGGGCCGGCAGTTTAAGGTTCCAGATCAACGGCATTGGGATCACCGTGGCTAAAAAGTCGGTAAAGATATTGACGACACTAGCGGCGAATACAACGGCCCCGTCATTTAAACAGTGATGAGGGTATGTTGGCTGAAAGTCCCAGTACGCATGGATCGGGCTGGCAAATTGGCAATGTGAGAAGCAAGAAGAAGCAAATAGAGAGAAGGTAAACATACCTGCATTGGAAAATGCATACAAGCAAAAAGATGATACACAGCAGTGCCACCAAGACCATTGCCCCGATCAAAATTATATTGTATGAGGTATAGAGACCCTTGCTACCGGCTCCAAGTAGTCGTTTGCAAAACCATAAGAGCGCAAGTTTCGTGAAGCTGGATGATAGGGAAAAGAGGATTTGGAAAAGGAGGTTGAATTTGGAAGCAGTTGAAAGCCACTCCAACGGAACGTCCCATATATGTCTGTTGCATCCATATTGTTCAGTGGCCAAGCAAATAACCACGCACATCGCAATCGTAAAGGCCTAGCAACAGGTTAGAGCCAGCTAGTAAGGTCATGATTCCTTTGTAACATACCAGTGCGACTACGATAAGAACGTCGTCGATCCCGGGGCTGCATGTTATCTTGAAGCGAGTATAGAGTCTGAGGCAAGTTACGACAAAAGCTATGGCAGCAAAGACGATGGTCACGATAAGGACAGAATCCCCACGGGTGGTAGGGTCAATATAATTCGGTGTTGGCCATGTCGCCAACACATCGGCTGGGGGGAGCTTCATGTTTCGTGGTGAATCCGGGCAAGTGCAAGGCGTTGATGATGGTAGTCCCTGTCGTTGCGCAGTAGTCGATTTTTGTTATTCAATCCAATATGATAATTGCCATTAGCACTCCGGTCGAATCATAAGGATCGTATCGGCCATCATTAGGGTGTTAACGTCGTGGCAAGGCTTGTAAGGAGCGAGAGGAGTTGGATTGATCGAAATGAAATATCGGCATGAGGAGACTGGCCAGATGATATACTCTCTAATCCGTGTCTCAGAAGTAGGGCACGCCCACTTTGAATTGAGACCAACCAGTATGACAGGCTAATTGGCGAGAATATCAAACCTTGTTCCTTTGGGATCAGGAACGCCGATCAAGAATGTCTTTTGTTGAGAACCGGGGGACAGCGCTCGTGGTAAATTGTGGGCGACTCCGTACATTTTGACCCTTTATAGTCCCCCATGACCGACCCAAGTCTAGAGCTACTGCAGTGAATGCAGTAGGCTCAAAAGAAGGCACACCATGGGGTGTCGAGGAATGCCGGACTGCCCCTCCCCTGTGCATTGTGCTGCCACGCGATGGCAAAGACAGGAGGAAATCCGAACACTACCGGGGTTGCACGTTCAGTGAAGCATGGTGATAGGCAGATCCGTGACCCATCGTTCACGTTCTGCTCCACCGTGGTTTGTGGCCGATCTAAACATGGACCATTAATGGTCGCAGCAACGTCTGGACCCCCTGGCTAGAGCCACCAAGTCAAAAAGTTAAAAAGAAATTCCAGTGCCTGGGATAAGTTGATATTTGTCCGAGCGTAACGTTTGCTGATTCGAGGACATTCCGCCGACCGACGCGTCCCCTGGAAGCCAGGGACCAATTAGTGGCCATGGCAGCTGCCACTTCACTGAAGCTCTTGCCAAGTCCCGCGCACACGAGGGCTGGCTACCAATCGCATGACATTGCCTTTTCCTCCGTCAGTGCACCAACAATCTATTCTGTCTTTCTCGTATTAACGAATATTATCCTAGTTCATTGTGATGGGATTAAGGCCCATGCAGTTAGTCCACTAATAGTTTCCAGTCCATGTCCTCCCGTGCTATACCCTAATGGCCACTACGGTGGTATTCCGGTGGAGCCACTGGCGAGTTAGCAGATCTTGGTAGCGAAGGTGGGCAGTCAAGCCTCAGCTATATTTCTCACTTAACTTACGGATCTTACGGAGTATGTACTATCGATGGAACAACCCCGCGCCTGCTTTAGTGGGTTCCCTTTCACCCCAACGTGACTGAAACACACTGTGGCAATAATACGTAGTATTAATTATACATGGAGTGGACTAACACCATTTGGGTAACATCCCACTTGACTCGAGCTGAGCCTGGAGCCCACAAGGTCCCGCATCGTGAATGGTCTCAGTCAATGCCAAATTATAAGGAAAAAGATTACAAAACACAAACCTCGAGGGAAAAAAGAAAAAGGAAAAAAAAAAAAAAAAAAAAAAAAAAAAAAAAAAAAAAAAAAAAAAAAAGAAAGAAAAGGAGGAAGTCTCCGACGGATATCTCCAACGATCCGATACCATGGTCGAGTTAATACTACTAGTAGTACCTTTCCACAGTCACGATTCATTGACTTTGGTGGGACTGCGAGGGTTGCATGAATTCAAAAGGCAATCGAGTCAAACATTGAAATGAATCCATTGTTTGCATGTATTTCCGAGGCAAACCTCAGCTAGTCATTTAGCTCGCCATTTCCTCGGCCTCATGACTCAGCTAACAATCTGTCCCTTTGTTGTCACCCAATATTACTGACCGGCCCCTATGCGTGATATAAGAAGAGACGTGAATCACTGTACGGAGTACTGGATACCTGATGGCCTCGGCTGTCTCATGGACTAAAGTTTGACTATATACCTCAACTGCATACTAGACCGAGGGCCATAACATCTAACTAGCATGGCTATAGCCTACCAGACTACTTTCCTTGGGCTCAAAAAATGAGGAGAAAAGAGAAAAAAAAAAGAGCACTCAAGCCACACCTGTCAATCCAACTTATCCGCCCTATATCAACATTTGGGCGTTAAACATATCGCATTGCAGAAATGATAAGGCTAAGGTTACAGGTCAAGTAAGTTCAGCTCCGTTCAGCCGAACATTGAACCACACCACCTATGTCTGTCGAGGAATTCTCATATTTGAGTCCGGACAATGAGTTATGACATCACTTGTCTTATCCGTACCTGGTGGAAACATTTCGTACTCGCCATTCTTCCTCCAGATAGGTACCATTGTACCCACTCGGAGCGGTTAATTCGATATCCATGCCCTAAACCAAGGCTTCTTTTTGGGACAAGAATCCTTCAGCGTAGATCATCTCAAGAGGATATCTTCACGGTCGGGCCAATGATGAGCAGGGTCTATCCCAAGACCCTCTGGGAGCGTGCCGGCAGATCATAAGTGGACCCAACGAATTTTTCATCGTTCATGGCGATAATTCGAATCAACCGGGATATTCGTCTTTGGCTTGTGGTTGCTATAACATGGGATGAACCAATTTTGCTATACTGCAATTACCTGTCCCTATTTTTAGCTGTGGGATGATAATGCCGCACTTCCAACTCCGAGCCACTTGCATAAACAGGGCAAATATCCCAATAATGCGAGCTCTCTCGCTCCAAATTAATTGCACAGGCACACCAGCGCATGAATAGGGACGCTGTCCTTGTTCCATCATGTGAGGTTTTGCGAGAAAGTCCATATAAATTTATCTAGAAGAAATACTAGTCTGTCTAGATACCACAAAGGGAGCTTCTCTTCATGCAAGGGTCGATTGGCATGAATACGACTGCCGTTACAACCAACCACTGCCTAAGCCTTTGTTTGCTCTCCTGAAGATCTTTCTCTATAGGCTTCTTTTCATTCCAACGGGCCAATAGATTCTTCGACTATCTGCAAAGGTATTGGCATGATCTACCGAACAATAATGATTACGACTCCAGTGTCATAGTACTCAAGTTTAAAAAGACGCAATATCGAGTATGATTTGAGGCAATTTCGTTCATTCTTTCTTTCTCTCACCTCACAAAGACAAAGTAATCTGCATTGACTAAATCCGAGGACTCCAAGACTACGTGTATTAGAATGCCCGCTTCAACAACCCAACAAGCTTTGAATTTGTGTTCTTGTTCTTGAAAATGGGACTTCAAGTGAAGGTCCGATTGGTTAAAAAGTCCATTCAGGGTCTTTGCCGTTCCGTTGGAACAAGACCATTTAAACTTGATCAAAAAGGATTCATCGGTTCGGTTCGGCAGATGATATCGGAAATGTGCCTGATATCTTCGCACCCTGTTTTACAGATAGAAACGACCTCAAGATTTTAGATCTGGCGCTTTGAGGGACATAATGAGGATGCTTTAGTCTCATTCAATAGTCACCAGATTGGTGCCTCTCTTAGTTTACCTTGTGTCATACAGGAGAGAAAATCTTATGCCCTCCGGCTCGGGGGTTGATAGGTTGAAAGAGGTGAACACATTGATATGGTACACAACACTACATCAATACATATGAAGAGACTTCGTATAACCGAGCAGCCATTGACATAGTGAGAGGTTTAGACACCGAAAATCCGCAAAAGAGACGAATAAAGACTGAAAGAGGGAATTGAATCCTACAGTGCTTTCCGCCCGTATATAAGATACAGCTTCCCATATTGGTGCACTTCCAGATTCTTCGACTCCCGCAGCACGTGCATATTCAAGATGCCAATCTCCGTTTTGTCCCAACCCAGAACCCTGGATAGTAGAACATTGGTATATGCAGGAACGCTATGTACTTAGTGAGCCTGGAAAAATCTGCCAATCTCCTTTTGTTTCGGATCCTTAGCCCAGGGACTCGAAGGCGCTTTCACAACCTTGCAGACTACATCTGTGAAGCCAGACTCTTTCATCGCAGCGGGCCATGTATCCAAGTTGTCCATAGGTTTGCCAAACTTGGCACTCGCCTCTTGGAAAAGAGAAACGACCTGTTTTGTATAAGGTGCTTTTTCGATCGAGCTATCATCGGAAAAATATCGACAGTGAAGCTTTGTATCTCGAAATATCCACCTGGACGCAGATGAGAGAATGCTTGTCTGCATGGTCGAGGGAAGTCATGTATAGAAACGCCAAGCTCTCGACCATGGATGTAATCAAATGGATGGGCGTACGACCATTCCGATTCAAAATCATCGATTTCAAATTGACAGTTTGGAGGGACCCTTTGAATCACATGGAAAATGAGTGGGATATTCCAGGATTGACATTCTACCACTGACGTGGCTCACCATTTTGGCTGTATAGGGCTAAGATCGTTGCCTTCAGCATAGAATATTAGTCTAAAGTAGGGAAGACAGAGAACTGGATCACCTACCCATAACTTCTGAGGATGCATATTGACTACAGGAAAACAAGGTTAGAATGTGAAAGAATAGAACGACGCAAGAAAGATCTATTTTGAATGACTTGTTTTCGTACTCTGCAAAATCGATAGCCCAGATTCCTGTCCCCGTACCAATATCTAAAACTCTTTGTGCATTTTTGATCGGGGCAACGTGGATTTCGCCATCAAGGATTAAGCTATAGATATAATGAAGTAGATCCATCTGGTCCTGCTCCTCTTCATTATTTGGCTATAGACATGTGTTAGACCGTCTAGCCAGACGTCATGTATCCAGGGGACAGAGCATACCAGAGCATGTTCGCCTTCGCGGTACGCATGGCATCTTCGACCGTTCTACGAAAGCAGTTGTTATGTGACGTGACTTTTGACGAAAGACTCTGGCAATGCATACCTCGTATCTGATTTACCTAGAATGTTAGTCTAGCTATATAGTTTGCAATAGAGCGGCGGCGGCATGTCGAGAGAAGGGAAACAACCATCGTAGGGGCCATACTTGTAGTTCAAGACACTCAATATAACCGACGTTCGGTAGCTTTCGGATCCCAAACTAGATAAAAGACGTCAGCTAATTATGGAGATTCAAAAATGAACATAATCTATGTTACGAGTCATTATAAGCAGAATCACTATCAAGGCACTGCACATCATAATCTCCATTAGCTCAACCCATGAGCTGTAAATATGTAAAGAGAGAGAGAGAGAGAGGAAGTCGAAAAACATAAGTCAGGTTCAATTTCGGGGTTCGTTGTCACCTGAAACTGCTCAGCCATGATTAGCAGGTCTGCGAACAGGACGAAGAGCAATTTGGAAGTAGATGCCAATTGTGGTTTTAATTCACTGACTGAGGACGGGTACAGACAGCACCCCTCATCTGGACATTTTCTAGGAATAGCCAATAATGGACACAGCAAAGCGTTTCTATATAAAGTAGCTATTATACCTCCTGGGTAATAGTTGTAGGCAGTACTTTGTCTTTGACGGTATGATATGATAAAGACGCTAATGCACCCGCACAAAAGCATAGGCCAAGCCATGTTTGATGGTATCTGAGAGTAATAAAACAAATACATACACTCGGGTGGTAAAGGTAAAGTCGGTGTAGCTTTGGCGCCTTGATTAATACTGTTCTTATCAAGTTGGAAGAGATAAGCCTTCTGGAAAGCATATAAAATTTAAAACTTCCTGGCAAGCTCAACGGCTAAACATCAAAGTGGAGTGGTGGAGTACCATTAAGATCTACATTATATGTACACTACTGTGGTGCACAGTATCCACGTTGACATATGGACTTCCGTGTTTGTATACCGGTTGAGCCTTCTAGATTTACTGTGTGCTACTAGTATACCTTTCACATCGTGGGCTCCTTAGGTTGCTACTCGTAGGTACGCTCTTCCGTAGAATAGTACACAATGCAGTAATGTTTCCCAGAAGACGTCTTAGGGCAGAATAACTGTTCGATGAGGTGAACCAAGATCAGCATCAACATTTCCTATACATGCGAAGTGTCTTTCGGAAACCCTTCGAGAAGGAGTGCGTCGAGCCTGTTAACTGGCGATAGAGTCGCTGGTTCTCTTGAGTCATGACATGGCCATAAGGTCACGCACTGGTATAAATTGCGGGGCATTCAATTGCGATGGCGCAGCTGAAGGGAAAGTAAAAAGGGCAGACAAGAAGAGCCGGTATCAGCTTCACAGAGTTGGGTTGCTCAGCTCGTTTGTCGATCTGTCCCCGCATAGCCTCCCACCGTAACTCTCACCATAAAGTATCGCAATATCTGCTGATATGCTACCGATGATAGGTTCTATTACCCGACACTAGGAAAGGGCTGTGCACAACATTACTAGTACTTGTACCCCACTCACCTAACCGATGGTAGGTCGGCCGCAGCTGAATGAAAATCACGGCATTAATTATACCAGTAAGTATATTCACATGACGGCGTATACTGTTATGATTGGAAGCCCTTCTTGATCTTTCGCTGTCTCTAACTGCGAGGTGTCGCGGAAGCTGGCTTCGAACATTTATTGGTGAGTCAAAAGCTACGCACATGTCTTTAAGTTTGTTAGAGCATTACGCCTATATGCCTGTAGTACAATGAGTTCTCGGTATGGTTGGGCTGATACATTGGTCGAATATGGTATGGAAGCTAAACGACAATATGCAATGATTTATCTCCGCACCTCTCGAAGTTCAGGATGTGTCTATAGTTTCTTTAGCACGTATGAAAGAGGGATTAGTATGTTTGTATTAGCGTAGTATTGCATAGAAGTGAGATTCACCTCATGATTTGGCAGATCTATAATCGCAGTCTCTATACCCTCCGCCCACCCCGCCCTTTCACTCTTCGACCAAAGAACATACTCAACTATCAGACCCTTCGGCCCAGTCGAGATGGTGAACTATATTTTTCAAGTGAGACACGAACAGCTGAGGTCTCAGATCTCGTTAATCTTTAATTCCGCTCAGTTCGGATTAAGAAACGGGACAACACTAGCACAATACTATGAGTAAGTCTCTCCGTCAAACTCGGGATACGGAGTACCTTGGAAGCTAATACCAAGCTCTATAGGGTCAAAGAACACATGACCAAGCTTGGTGGTGAAGTGATCGATGATGAGGAACCAGAGGACGATGACGAGGTCCCCCCGGAAATCAAGTACGTTCCATGCACCAGACTACCTATATTTTGCACTCAGATATCTAACACGTAATAAGTATATGGTGGGATGATGAGGACGACGCGTATGAACTCACAGAACACGAGAACTGTGGGAGTTTCTCGTCTGAACAAAAGCGTGAGGCGGAGGAGGAGGAGCTCAGGAAAGCTGCTTGGGGTGATGATTACCATAATCAGACAATCGAGCGCTCCTCGTGACAGTAGCTTAACTAAGTTACTATCCTGCGTGTTAACCAATATACAATAAGGGGTTCTTGAAGTGGGGCTGCATCTGCCAAATCGGCGGATTTATTTCCATTCAATATAATGTAGTAGTACGGAGTAGAATCCTGCAGATACTCCACAATGTGATGCTCCTTTATCCCTGTCAAACGCGGAGAGCTTCTATCCAAAGTAAGATTTCTAAGTATGGTCGGCAACAAAATAGACGTCAGTTGTGTAGACTTTGTTCGGTTATTCTGTCAAGAAGGCAGACGACCATCTATACTTTACGCAGTTTAGTTCTTCTGGAGATGGTTAAGATGTGAATGCTGTTCCTTAGTCTAATTCCAGCACTGTTAGTGAGATACTTTGCGGGTAAAGCCAGATTAACTCTTCTGATGATTGCCGGAAGTTCCCTCTCTTTCCTTTTGTCCCAAATAACTGACTATAAATCACTCTGTATAACAGCTATCAGGGTGGGCCAATATGAAGCAAGCATAATCTTACCCGATGGTTATATATATCCTCTTTTATTGCCAGAATATTCATATTCTTCTCTATTTACTACTAGTAGTAACTACTTATCCGGGTATTCACGAAGCTACAGAGATCTAGATAGATAAATACCTTTCACATATACTTCATTGCTAGAGTTATCTTGCTTAGCTTATCAAGATTCAAGTTATACGATTTCTGTATTACATGGAGACTATTCACTGCACCAGTTGATCCGGATATCTATCTATGATACGTTTCACACTCGCTCGATGCCGAGCAAAAAGCAGCGTATTCTTCGCTAGTAGGCAATAAAAGCTCGTGTCTATAGAGTGTGTTAACTATCGTATTTGATGATAGCTGGGAGAGTAGCAACTTGTAAGACATATAACTTTATGTCTCTTCCCACTTATCGAAGCCGCTAGCCCCTTATTCAAATCCTGCTGTGCGTCATCAAGCTGGGTTTTCGCTTCCCATATTAGTCGAGAGTAACACGATAAGGATGTATTTCGGATCCCCATGTGATGATTTGATTCAACTTCTGCTAATCGTTACAGTATATTCCATGTGAGCGTTGCAAAGTGAATCAGAATTATTCGTAGTCCGATCGTTCTGGAAGGGCAATGTTGATCAGTGCCAGACTCGGGAACTTCTCAACCACCCGCCGTGGAGCCGACCACTAGTACCATCGGTCCAATGAGCCGAGTGCTGACTCGTCTGACATCGAACTATGCTATTTTGAGCACATACTCTCCCGACTTGACAACATCTTATATTTCGCGCGAGAGTATGGATGGCCTGAATCCGGACAGTTGAGAAACCACGTCGTCTTAAAATATCCCACAATACCTAATCATCAAGTACTAGTACATAGTTGCTCAGTCCGATGCCATGTGATTTCTAGTCAGTTTGACACGCACGAGGTGGGGACCTGTCAAGAGAGTGGACGGGCGACTAGTATTAAGGTGACATGCGGGCCTTTTAGTAGTTCTTTCTCAGAGTCCTGGTAGTCATCCCTCGGGGAAGAATATAGAGGAAAACTGCCGAATAAACTCTGTACGAGTCTATATACTATTGTCTTTCTTTCTTTCCTTTTTTTTCTTTTGAGGATACGTGTTTAAAACACTCACCTTCCTAGCCGGGAGCTGAGCCGTGTTTCAAGGGGAGGCCAAAATGGATGGAGATTTAGATTTGACTTGCCGCCCGCGACGGTCCAGAAGAATCCAAAGGAAAAGGGACACAGCGAATGAATGAAGCGTCTTGTCAAGAGCGGATACTCCCGTGCGACGTTTCGGGGCGTGGCGCAGCTCTCGCCGTTGCGAACAAAGTGAAACAGGAGGCCTGGACCCAAGCCATGTCCCCGTTCCATTGGATGTCATATCTCCCGGTTCTGCATGTTCAAGATCCACTCTTTACACGTCTGTCCATCAAAGAGTCACAGACATGCGAAGTTATTCATGGTCTTACGCACTACGTCCTCCATAGGACTAGTTCTCCCCAAGGGCTAATCCTTTTTTCACCCTCATTTTCTTTATTCTTAGATTCTTAGCACTGACGCTGTCTGTGAGTCGGAAAATTCGTTCGCTTGGTGTTCCCCCCGGGCTCTAGACAATCGGGACCCCCGTCTGCGCCCACTTAAGGTTAATGACCAGAAGACACTTACTGTAGATATAACCCCGGCGGACCCATTCGTTTAGTTGGATCTCGTTTCTTCTCCATATTTTTGTCTATCGCTTATTTCTTAGTTTACTCCTTTTTCTGGGTTTAGTCTTGCATTTTCATTTAGTATCCTTTGTAAAAGGGTCTAATCACCCGCTTTCACATACATTCGTTTCTTTCTCCTTTCTTTTGTTAGAGTCTCGATAGCGCTTACCTTCCTACCCTCGTTGATCCCGTGCTCCTAATCCGTTTGCACACTCCCAAACTCTCCATGGAGGGACACAGCTCACCACCCGCTGCCGACGTGCCGGCACAGGCTGGAGAAGGTCCTGCTCCAGTTCAAGCCGACATTCGTTCTCATGCTGCTCATCATGACCAAGGAACCGTCCCGGAACGAGAGCCGTCACCAGGTCGCCGTATAACCCCACGGCCGACCTTTCTAGACAACCTCGCCAATTCGCGAGATTCCCAGTTTATGCTTGACCGACGGAACTCCAGCGAACTGGATCGGTACTTCGTATGTGCTTGAGCTTTTAACATGTATGAGATATAAACAATGTCCTAACCAAGTTCCGCATCCAGCATGGCCCCCGTGACTTGGACAAGCATTCGAAATGGCCCACCTTCCTCCGAATGCATGGCAGTGTGCTGCCCAAGATGATCCTTCCGCTATGTTTTGTTGCGGTGTGGGCTACTCTGATTACACTCATCTCGAGATTTGTACACAGACGTTAGTATAACTGGGGAGTTCATTAAGGAATGTGTTCGGCTAATCAACGGTTAGTTGGGATCAACAACATTCTGCTCACAGTTACGGGTTTCGTCGTTGGTTTGGCACTATCTTTCCGGAGTTCCACTGCTTACGAAAGGTCAGCGAGCTACTAAATACCGAATTGTGTGCCTTGAGAAAGTTCTAACTGAATCATATAGATGGGCTGACGGACGCAAATACTGGTCACTGCTGATCCAGACCTCGCGCAATCTTGCTCGCACTATCTGGGTCAACACTAAGGAACGCGAAGGAGAGTTGGGAAAGGAGGACCTCCTGCAAAAGCTGTACGCTGGAACCAATCTCAAACGACCTCAGATGTATATCATCTCTTCTGACCAGTATTAGAACCGCAATGAACCTCATCCTGGCCTTCGCTGTCGCGCTCAAACACAAACTCCGTTTCGAGCCGGACATCGCCTACGAAGATCTTGCAGGCCTGGCCGGCTACCTCGATACCTTCGCCAAAGATGCACATGACCGCCAGCGCCTCCAGCCTCAGCGGAAGACACTCTGGAAGTCGACAGGTGAATACCTGGGTATCTCCTTTGCCGAATCGAATCCCAGGAAGCTCATCAAGCGATCCAAGAAACCACTGGGCCATCTTCCTTTGGAGATTCTCAACCATTTGTCGGCTTATATCGACAGATGTATCGCAAACGAGACTCTCAACGTCAGTTTGCATCAAGCACAAGCCAGTAGGTCCCACTTGCGTCTTTCTCATTCTGCGGTTAAAATAAATGTTAACATGAAATCCTAGTCAACGGCCTGGCTACCCTGAATGAAGTCGTCACGGGAACTGAGCGCGTCCTTGACACCCCTCTCCCAGCAGCATACAGCATCGCCATCTCCCAAATCGCCTGGATCTACGTCATGTCTCTACCCTTCCAACTCTATAACTCCCTCACGTGGGTGACAATCCCAGGATCAATCAGTAAATAATCCATACCCTAACCCCTTAAAGAGAATGCATGGAGACTAACTAGCAAATGCAGTCGCCGCATACATCATTCTCGGTCTCGCCACCATCGGCAGCGAAATCGAGAACCCCTTCGGTCACGACGTCAACGACCTTCCTCTGGACACCTACTGCCGACAGATTGCTTTGGAACTGGATATTATCACCGCCGCTCCACCACCTCGCGTCGAAGATTTCGCCACCCGCGACGAGAACTTGGTGCTGTATCCGCTTAGTATGGACGGATATAATGAGTGGAAGGACCGGAGCGTCGAGGAGATCAGAGCTGCGCTTAGAACGAAGGCGATCGCCAACACTCCTTCTACTTCCTCGGGGTCGGATGAGTCGACTATTGTTGAAAGCGTGAACTGTAAACAATCGGTTTAGCCGGACGAATACGCGTCAAAAGTTGGAACTTGAACTTGAAAAAGAGAAAACCCCCAAAAAAGGAATCGTTCTTTGAAAAGTTGCTATCAGCGCCGGCATTGGGTCTCTATTTGGAGCATGTGCGTTTCGGTGTTTCTGTTGATTAAGGACAGGGAGTACTCCACTCGTTACTGCTATATTACGTTCGTGTCATTCGCTACTTGGTGTGCAGATGTACATGTTGGATTTGTTTATACATTAGACTGTTGTTATTAAAAAGGCTGGGGTGTTTGGGTTTGGGCAAAATGTTCCCTTTCTTGCAGTGCGACTCATAGATCTTGCCATAAGAACTATTGTAAAAGTGCGCCCGAAATCCCGTGGGTGCGACTGACACCCGAGGTTCCCTTGTTGCAGCTTGCTATACTGCCCGGAAATATAGCTGGTGCTCCACGCTTGGTCACTACTAAAACCATCCTTCAGTCATCTGGGTCCCATGATAAACCTCCGATTGTTTCCCGACCCGAGACTGGATGTTAGTTCTCCACATCATCGCATTGCCCGGTGAAGTTCGTTTATAGGGACTGAACATCGTCCCAACTTCTCGTGGTTCAGCGTGCGAGTGCTGTATACGATTTTGCATAACCGTGCCGTAGGAGAATAACCGGCCTAGCCTACGCCGTTCTTGCTTCTCCGATATAAACCGGGAGATCCCTAAGACGCACATTCCCCCTGCATCACAGATCATGGAACGAACAAATCTTCCCCGGACCCCTGAGTCAAAGCTCCCAGATAATTTCCCTTAGCACAGACCCTCCACGCCACACTACCGACCGAGCCACCACCAGTGCCTCCTCCGATCCAGGAGCTCACCGCTGCAACGACAGCTGGGGCATCTTCGCGCGGGACACGCACCCAGATGAATTTATCCGTGGGCTTCGGTTGTGGAGTTTCGGGGGAGATTTTAAGGATATCGATTGAGATAGCTGTGCCTGACAGGCCAAGAAATTGCGACAGCGCAGAGTTGATGTATGTCCGAGCTGTGAGCGGGTCGAGAGGCTGAGATTGGACGGCGGTCGATATGCCTGGTTGATGGATTCTAGCGCATACACACGTTGTATATTAGTAGGGTTCACTACTTGCATGTGAGCAGTCATAAAAGACATACAGCTGTAGTTTGAGATAGGTCCAGGGCGGATTGCGCGCGGTGAAGTGGACCGCTTGGGACGGAGCTGCTTTAGACGCGACACGATCATCGGGAGCTTTCCGTTTCGAGGAGGTGGGTTCTGGGTTGTTGGAAGACATTCTGGCTTTCGGGTTTCTTTGTTGATGATTCGGTATTTCTTATAGAATGGCGGAGCACAAATCTTTGCGGGTGGTGTTTAAAGCAAATAAAGATTGGCTGTTAACAAAAAAAAAAAAAAAAGTTCGGGGAATTCCCGTGATGTCACGCCGGGTGTCCCACAGTGATCAGGTCGATGATCTATCTTATTTCTTGATCACCGCTTCCTCCAACCTTTGACGCACTTGCTGGATAAATTTCTCCTCGCCTTCGGTCCCAATCTCTAGATCAGAAACACAAAGTGTCTTGTCGCGCGACTTTAAACCGCGAATGACGTCCACCGTGGATTTGGGGACTTTGAGGACCTGGTTATCGCCAGTTAGATAATTATGTTAATATGTTCTGAGAATAAAATTTATTCTGTAATTAGGAATAAAGAGCGAAGATCAGTACCTGAGCAAACACTCGTGATACAGCCGCGTTGGCTTCGCCGTCTCGTGGCACTGCAGCCACGCAAACGTCCACTTTTTCGGGGCCAACAGCTATGATGCCCTCCCGATTTGCGGACGCGTTGGGCTTGACGTTGCAGGAGATTTGTAGATTGTACTTGTTCGAGATTTGCTTGGGGTTACGGTGTTTCGTGGCCGTGTTCTGGATGAGACGGAATAGTTGAGACGATGGGTTCGACATTGGGATTGTTTAAATTGGGATTGAAAATTATTTTCAGGAGTTTCAGTTGAAAGGATCGTTTGCTTGTAGTCAATTGGTGTAATGTTGTGCCAGTAGTTAAAATGTGGGATGTGGGGAAAGCCAACGGTTTGTTTACTTTTATTTATACTACCACATAGCAGCAAGCTATTGCTTTGTTTCTCCCATATTTCAGATTGACTTCCGCTCTTTTCTTTTTCTTCTTTTCTTTTCATTTCCAACACAAACGAAATTCCACACATTAACAGAGAGAGCAGGATCCAAAAACTCAATTGTGTTCTCAACTGAAGTAGTCTATTGGAACCCCTACTGTATACCTAATATGACACAACATCACCGAAACCTTGATTGAAATGATTAAAATACAGAGCACAGTAAAAGGCCAAAAGATAAAAAGACTAGCTGGGAAGATGTTTGTGGTGTTCAAAGGCCGCAGCTGAACGAAAAAGCACCTTTTCTCCTCACTCTCTTCCATTTGCCACTCCATGTAGAATCAGGGCCGGCAATTTATATTCTAACCATCTTCATTCTCTTGTCTTTCAGCTGATCACTAGTTTTACAATCTATTATACCCAATACTTATCTTTTTGTCAAAAGTTGAACCTGTAGGATCTGTATTGGTATACACCTCTATCTCTGCTGTGTTGCTGATCGACTCAAAGTGAAGTAAGTGTTACAAGAACACTTACAAGAAGTATTCACTCATGTCCAGCAGGTCCTGTCGGATCTCCTCCCGAGACCTGAACCAACACCACCGGAAATCAGACAATATTCACTACAAAGATGGTAGACAGTCCAAGTGGAAATACCCCCATGATAACACCTGCTCACTACGGTCCTTGTGGAGTGATTCTGGGAAGGTTGAGAGTGAGAAGAGCTCACAGGGAGAGTGAATCCAACCCAAGCACTGCCAGCATGCACCAGATGAACACCCAGGATCGGGATAACTCAGATTCCGCTGTATGTTGATACTTTGCTTCACTATGGAAGCTAACTAGCCTGATACTTACATTTTGATTCACAGTACACTGCGCAGAGCCACCATACCGCCCCGCATACCATCATCTTGGACTCTCCTAGCCCAACAAGCCAGCCGGCTCGACGTAGGGGAGAACATGAGGATGACGATATAACAGCTTCGCATGATGATCAGGATGACTGGAGCCTAGAGAACCTGCCAGATATCTTGTACATCCTGAAACCCGAACATGGAAAATCCAGACACGTTGTTCGTACTACCGCGCACAAGATCTTCGGAAAGCACATCAATGCTTTTTCAGTCCTCCCAGACCAGATATCCTCCAAGGTAGAAGGGTGGAGACTTGAAGCTTGGATGCGTCTCGATCGTCGGATAACTGGGCAAGACATCATTGACCGTGTAAATCCCAGGTACAGGTCTAGATTATCATCAATTGACGTTGAACTTCGTCGGAAGGCTTTCCGAGAGCGATTTCACGTTGCATGCTGGGGAGCTCAAAAGACTATTAATAATATATCTCGCCTGGCTGTATCAATGGGAATAGACCCGGCGTCGAACACTACAAGAGGTCTAACACCGGGGCTAATCGACCCTTCTAAAGGCGAGGCCGGCGGGCGCATTCCGCTGCCCCCAGGAGCAGCCAGCGATGGTATCTCTGATTCTGTTTTCCACGCAGATCATTCAGATAGTGATGTCTTGGAGCGGCCTCACCTGGTCACGCAGAACTCTCACCCCGGTCATATCCCTACGGTAATCCTCGATGAGCCCCAGCGAAGCAAATCAGCCGAACTCCTCTACCAGTTACACTGGGATACAAAGCACTTACGGAAGAAACGCGTCTTTAATAGCGATCACTTCAGACTTACGGGTTGCCGTCTTGAAAGGCCAAATTTTCATGATTCTGAGAGGTAAGTTGTTCCCGCATGACTACTATCAGAAGCTAAGAGGCTAACCCAGTGATACAGCATGGAATATAATGCCACATACAAGACAAGGGACAGAATATCAGTTCAACAAAACCTCTCCGATTTCAACTCCTATCCCTCTACACTACGTGAATTGGCTTCTCATAGAGGGCCTCCCGCTCGAGCCTTTCCCACAGAAAGCGAGGCTACCGAAAGGACAATGAGTCTGGATGATTATCTTAACGGAACCCATCTTACGGTCTGGGAATATCTGGATCGTCGTTGTGAAAATAGTCTGATAGATATCGAACGGTTGTCGCTGAGGTCCCGGCGTTGACTGGTGGAATTTACATGTCGTTTCTCAGGATCAAAGTACGCTTACTGGCGCTCTGATGAGATACAATTTGTCAATATTTATGTTGAGTTTTCCATGGTGTTATTTCATTTTGTTTATTCAATCGCATGTTGGCTTTGTTCAAAGTTAGCCGCTTTCAAACATCACTTTTGTGGGAAACATGGATAATGCGATGCTTTGACAATACCTAGAATATTTGCTGTATAGTCCTTCTGCAGTCAGGGAAATCTTCTAACCCTGTACTCCTTCCCTGCTTTTGTCTTACGTTCGAAAGCCCGCTACAACTGATGCCTACAGAACCACGTGGGTACTTTTGGTTATATTTTAGTCGTTTTGGTTTCTCCCCCATCTCACCCCATTACGGGGTGACTACCTTCGGTTTCATGGCCCAAATGGGGAACATGACACTTTCATCTGGCAAGACACGGGGCCAGATGATGCAGTCCCGCTTCTATTCATTGAACTGGCTTCTGCATCGATAGTACAATAGGAGCTGGGGAACTGTGATTGGACAAAAGCCTATTACAATATACGTCAGAGCTTTGAGAGGCCTCGGGGGACAATCATATTCACTCTCCCTAGGTCTGTATGTACTGAGCCAGGGCAAAGCTACACTCTGCTTGAATCACACCAATCAGTGCAGTTCCCAGCCTTCCAGGGCTATACTGATTCATTTGACTCATGGATTATGGCTTGTTCAGGGGTGGGTCTGTGACATCTGGTGGGTCCACTGGTCTGGGGAACTGCATGCTTGTCGAGGTGCTGATATCGCAACTATATCGGTCGAGGAGCCGCACCGCCAACGCATGAAGAGTAGTATAGCAATATGAGACTCATTCGAAGCGCAAAAAATCGCATATCGCATCGCTTTAATTGCAGATGAAAGCAATGGGATGCTTTTTGGAAAGCGAGGGTCAAAGTTGTCGAGGAGGGGGCTTGGAATAGGACCTCACGGCACAGCTTCAGTGAATAGTGAATATTGTCGACAGCAACTTGAAACCCTCTCAACTTCCCAATTGGGATGACTATACTCCCAACCACCCCCGTTTCTATTCAGAGTAGACATGAAGAATACCGGGCTGCTAGAGATAATGGCTCGCCCACTTCGTCCCTCGGCGCTTCTTGACAGAGACTTGGGATTGCTTCAACCGCTTCATACCTCTTCGTCCATATTACGAGACTCTAAACTACAAGTCTGCTTCAGTATCAATTGAGCTCCGTTCTCTCGTTTCCCTCTCGTTTTGTTCAGATACTGCTCGATATCAGCGGTAGAACAACCACCTCTTCGGAATATATCCCAAGAAAGAGGAAGACAACATGTCTCAGGTATGCCGGTGCTAGGGTCATTCTCCAATCAGCTTTTCTAGCGCCCAACAGTATATGGGATATGTTAGCATTGATGTGCATACTAACATCAATGACAGCCAATTTCGAAGATGATGGATCCTAAAGAAGGCCCCGAGTTGTCCCAACAGCCAAATGCCTCCATGAATCCCGAAACCCCAAAGACCGCCAAGGTTAGTGCGAAGAAAAGCAAAGGAAAGAACGACAAAGGTGAGCCAGTTCTTTCTTTAGCTAAACAAAAAGACAGTACTGACGATGGCATAGGAAAGTCAGTGCCCCGGCAGGACAGTCCTCAGGCTATTGACCCCCGCAACTTTACCACTCCTCGACCGGACCAGAATGACTGGTCGTGGACAGATCTTCCTGACATACTTTACCAATTCGAGCCTGAAGACAAGAGAGATCGTAAATCGGACCCGCCTCGTATGCGCTACCCTATTCATGGAGAATATTTGCGCGACCTCCCCATACTTCCTGACAACATTGCTTCGACAGTCGAGGAATTCCGAGTGGAAGCTTGGATGCGGCTCGATAGACGCATTCGTCTCAGAGATATCACTGACCGAATGCACCCAGTTTTCAGAATCCAAGACAACGCGCTGCAGCAGCGTAGTGTCCGCTTCCGCCAGCAGTTCTCGCTGATTGCATGGGACTCTGGTAACAAGCGTAGCCAGCAGCTCAAGCAAGACATTCTTCAAAAGATGCAGCATATCGGACTTTCTCCTTCTCTAAATACGACTCGCGGTATAACCCCCGGCTTGATCAACCCGGCCCTTGGAGAAGATGGTGGAAGAATCCCGCTACCCAATCAATACAACAAAGTGAAGCGAGTAGCTCGGGGTAGAAAACCCTCAAAGACGCCCGTGCAGGAAGAGATTGCCACGGAACACGCCCACCACAAAGACACCGTTCAGATAAAGCAGCCAGTCGGCCTTTCATACGCCAGTCAGGAATCAGCAAGCGTTGCGAAGGGAGACACGTCGAGGGAGACCGTTCAAAAGGGACCGACCCTAGTGATACCCTCTACCGTGGTGTCCGTTCCGATCGATTTCACAGTAGATGACATCTCAGTTGAAACTGTCGCAGAGCTTTTCAACTACGTTCCATCCTATATTCCATTCGATGAAAGCAACGACAGTCCAGAGGGATCTTTACCTGCCATCACAGGATTGATTCCGGATAACGAACTACCGGAGACCGTTAGCATGGAAGAAATCGACTTGACAGTGAGTATCAAAGATCCCATGCCACGACGCAAGACTGAAAAGGCTTTGAAACCCATCGCGCCAGGAAAAGTCCAGCGCAGACGCCCTTCCCCATTGAAACTAGCTAGAGGAGGGTTTTGCGGTAACGCTTGCCACTTGGGGAAGTATCCCACCCCCATCTATACCAACCTCAGTCTTGTGGCTGGTCAAACTGGCGCTGGTGTGTGGCACGAAGAATTACTTCCTCCTTCCCATGGACTGTATCCTGACGTATTGACCCCGTACTCTGCCTCTGATCTGCCATTTGGTGTTCGCCACCGAGTCCTTGACAATTTGTTCGAACAATGCCTTTCCAGGGACAGATACCTCTTCGATATCCCGGACATGGCCCCGGAGGACATGGAGATGATGGACATCGGCGATATCAATGACATTAACATTGACGATTATGACGAATATTTTCAAAAATAGTTTCTCGGGTCATGGAGGAAGGGATTGGATAGAGATGGTATTTAGTTCCCCAACGCGGCTCTTGATATTCTGCGCTGCTGTTAATTTCAGCTTTTTGCATCCACACACCTATGCCCTTCGAATCGTGTTGTTTAGCCTTGCTTGTTCTTGTCTTTTGCTCGTTTAGTCGTTTTACCTTGCCGCATCGCAAGTTTTGTTGTTGAGCTTCCCAATACCCAATCTTTCAATAATGTCTGACATTGTGTCAAATCTGTGCTTCAATATCCCCTGCTCAGGCGTACTAGCGATTTGTCCTTATTTCCTTTGTTTCTTTGGTCCTTTGGTACTGCAGCGAGGATATTTGCCGGACGAGTTGATGTTCATTTAAAGTTGCATGCCAAGATGCATTTATTTCCGTCACATAGCGCGCATGTCAAATACCTTGCTTGGTGTTATGTATGTAAACTCTGTACAGCAGAGCAATATAAGTATTGTGAATGAGTTGCTTCTGCTCGTTGGGGCAAATGGCCTCTAACTCCTTAGTAATGTCAGCCAATGTGGGAATGCTAGGGCATATGTCCAATGTAGGTTTGTTGGGCTGACCCGTACATACTGCCGTAGTCATGTTGAATTCAGAGCTTGACAGAAAATTAATCATGGCTAAGACCTTAGAGCAAGGCCTGATGGAAAGTCAAGGGAATATGTAGCAAATAAAAGGCTCGAGGGTGGCACATTTCAAAGTAGTGATGAACAGAGTACTGTAGATCGTAGATGGTATTTCAGGTGTCTCTTTGTCTGGATTCCTCTTCTTCTTTATTCCTTCGAGTTTTCTTTTCTAGTTTGCTTCTTGCTAACCGTTTGCAGAAAATAGACAAAAGAGATTGGCTCTCACGCTAGATCTCTAAATGGTAAAGCACATCTCAGTGAAGTGAGGAGGCGAAGTCATTATATAACAAGACACAGTGCATATTCTAGATGGACATTGACCCAATTAAAAGAGGTACCTGTTCCTGTTCGGCATCACAGATTGCCACCTTGTCTTTGTCTCTTTAGAGCTACGATTATTCAAGCTTAGCGTATGTTTCACCACTACGTCTGGCGTTTAATAAACAGTTAATCCTACTGCATTGCTCCGATCCCATTGCTTAAGCTAGACCCTTCACTGAAGCATCATGGATTCAATCACCAAGATCCAATACCATTGCCTAGATTATCTAGTCAAAGCATTGCTATTCACGTAGACATGTAGCTCCATCATTCCTACAAGACGGCTATAAAAGCAGTCCCTCATACCCCCGGCCTTCAACCGCTCCTCCTCACTATCCAACCCACCCTATCAAGCCCCCTTCCCGACTTGTCCAGAGTATCAACATCGTGCTTCAAGGATGCAGTGCCAACGTAAGAAACCATCCAATCACCAGCACAACGATAACCCTCCTAACAAAGCCCACAGACACCTCACCACCAACAGACCGCTACCACACCTGCCCACACCCACACCACACGCCCTACTCAGAGGTCCATCTGCCCCCGATCCTCTTCCGCATGGATGCACCCATCGGACAAGACCTCCCCGACCTCACCTCTCTCTCAGAAAACGGCGCGGTAGCCCGCGACCACGAAGGCAGAGAGATCTGGGACTTCCCCTTCCTCCCGCGGTACATCACCAGCAACCCGCCCGGCTGGCTGCTCGAGTACTGGATGCGCACCGATCCACGCCTCACGTACCGCGACATCCGGGTGCGCATGAGCGCGCCGCCGCGTCTCCGCCCCGCCGAAAACGCCCTCAACATGCGTCGAGAGCGCGACGCCCGGCGCCCCCTCCGCCTATCCTGCTGGACATACCGTCGTGGCACCCCAGGCCGGCTGAACAAAATCGATGTCGAGCGCGTCGAGCGCTGGTCCGTCGATCAGATCCGCTACAACACCACCATGGATGTTGTGTATGCTGATGGCGTCCCGGTGCATCTTGCTGATCGTGCCCTGGCTGCCCATACGCCTTCCACTTATCCGTTGCATTACTTCCTCAATGAGGGCAGGGCCGAGATCCCCAGTGACCGCATTAGGGTTGCGCAGAGCGTGTTCTTTAGGTTGTCGGAGCGCGCGAAACAGTTGGGTTTGACTTCTTGGAGGCAGTTGCCTGATAGTGAGTGGCCGGACACTTTCAGGTATAATGTCTCGAGGTGAGGTGCGGTCGATAGATGAGGGGATGGGATGTGTGGCCAGGTCTTTGGTTGTGTGGTGAATGGCTCACGTGGTCAACTTTGGAGGTGCCATCTGAGGGGAGGGAGGGGGGCTGAGGGTGTTTATATATTTCTCGTGTGTGCATAAAATATGCAGTACATCCTGCTTTTTTTTACGCGCCGAGAGCGAGGGGTCACTGCAGGACAAAGAAAGGCTATTTGACTGTGTGAATAGTTTGTGCATGAGTAGTGATTGGCAATGTTTTATAGTGATTCTACGTGCTCATTCAATGTAAGGGGAGGAAAATTATAGCTTCACTTGGATTGCTCTATATTCCATATGAGTTCTACTATACTGGTTCTAATAGAGAAGAATGCTGTCTAAGCTGGAGAAGCCTGTTGCAACTCCTCCCTCGTTGACATCCTTGGACTTCGTTCTCATCAGCCATCCGCCTTGCTCATTGTGGGAGATCTTTCCATCGGCCTGGTCCCACAGAATAGTTCCATAGACACCCAACTCTCCGATGACTTCCCCACTTAGAACCTCTCCGTCGGTTCTCAAGGCAATGTTCTTTGCCTCGGTGGGTGGTCTGATCAACTCCATAAGAATCCAGCGCTTCCATTCGCTTTCGGGAATGGAGCGTAAAAAGTCTGGAATGGCGTCCTTGTAGATGTTGTTACCACCACCCTCGCGCTGGGGCTTAAGAACGTGGTTCATGGCTGTTTCAACGTTCAAGGCGAGGTCCCTGCCACGGCCACCAGAGGACAAGTCGTATTGGGGCGCAAAGGTGTTCCGGAGCCTTGCAACAACGGCTGAGTCGGTATCTGGTAAGAAGCTTGCAAGGTGGTCGGGGCCCGTAGTTTCGGCTAATACCTGTTGTACAATCTTACAACCGGCTAGCTGGTTTAAAACTGTGGGGCATTTGATCGCTGCCGAACGCTCGACGTGAGTCCGTGCTTCCCAGTCACGCTCCGATTTGAAGTCAGTCGGCGCATAGAAGCACCGGAGATAAGCTGCTGTGACTTCAAATTGCGTTTCTGGGGAATGGGAAGGCGAATAAATAAGGGGTCGTGATGGGTTAGAGCTAGGGATCGACGTGTGATCTAGAATCTCGGAGCTGAGCAGACGGAAAACGGGTATCTTGTGAGCCTTGGTCAGCTGCCGGAAGAGCGCCAATTGATCAAATGTGTTCCTCTCGTTCTCCTGAACAAGGAATATAATACACGTGGGAAGGGCTGGTGTGGACTTTGACGGGCCGTAGGCATTATGCGCTGCAGCTAACCCAGCGGAAAGAGTCTCCACTGCTGTATTCTCAGGCGGTGCATTCGACTCGAACAACGGGTGAGGCGGATACGCAATCGGATAGCCAGGAGGAGAGTCGAGAAGTTCAGTATGCAGAGATGTCACAAGCGAGGACAAGCCTCCGAATGATGATGAAATAGTGTTGAATTCAACCTGCTTTAAGGAGGGTGCCGTAGAGCTGGACGGCGCATGGACCATATAATCCGACCGATACAGTCCAAGTGATAGTGTCTGGACGTATCCTTCCTTTTTGACGGCGAGATGGACTTTCCACAAGTGCGAAATGAAATCATCCACATCAATGAGACTACAAGCAAACGTCGTTCAGTTCGGTTCATGTCTAGTTCGTGAATGACGCGCCAATTGAGTCGCGCCCACCACTCAATCGGAGATGAATCAGGATATATCTTACTCTTCCATGATCTTGCCAATCCATTCTTCGTTGCATGTTATCGCAGCGTAGAGCCGATTATATACAGTTTGCAAAGCAGTCGCCTCATTGAAGCATGATTTCGGGAAGGGACTAGGGAAGAGAGTAACAGGAGCATTCGTTGCTAGTACCCCAGAAGGATCGATTTCCTTTGAAACAAATGAAGGGGCCGGGCGAACCAGCAATCCATTCTGCGTGGCCCAATCCTTGATGGTGGTCACCAAGTATTCCTTCTGTGCGGGGTTCAACGGAGGAGGATAATTGGTATAAATGTCGCCCATGATGGATGCAGCTGACAGACTATATTTTCAAAAGGAACAATTAGGAGACGCGCACCAAGGGGAGAACTGTTTTAAGCAGGAGACGCCTTAGAAAGTTGCGCGGAGAGAGGAAAACCGACCTCATCAACAACCAAAAAGTGAGGGGCAGTGTGCTTATCAATCCACTTTATCGTTGAACCCTCCGAGACACCGCTTGATACGCCGCCCTTCAAACCGGCAGAAACGCCAACTTTACTTGTAGATCACTTTACTTTTCATTTATCTCCTACTCACCGTGTACTCGACGCGTTGCACGTGTCCAGTTGCATAAAACTGTCACTTTAAACTGTAGTCACTACTAATACACAGACAACGCAGGCCTCTGGATGTGATTCGAGGGCATCATCAATTCCGGCGGGCCGAAAGCCCGAGATCTGGTGAGATTACTTGCATGATTGGGAATATTTAACTACCTTGATAGCTAAGAATTCGAATTGAACAGATCAAATGCCTGATGAGGGAACAGATCCTGTCGACTGGTCTGTCGACGATGTGGTCCAGTTTCTTTGCCACAATCCACACACCCCATGGTCGCAGTCCGTGTCAGGGGCCCCTCGGCCTGACCCTACCTCCTTTGAGGCTGCTCTCCGTGACAATCTGATCACTGGAGAAGTGCTTTTAAATGATGTTGATAAGAGCGCACTGCGAGATGATCTAGGATTGAGGGCCCTTGGACACCGGAGTTCCATGCTCACGGCAATACGGTACCTTCAAGGACACTCTCTAAAATATCAGACCTCTAAAAGTCGACTTGATTCTCCTAGAGAATGTCACACTCCAAGTCATTCAGCGTTTATTACACCGAAAGCTTCTCAGAAAGTTACACCACCGCTTTACTGTGGCCCTATATCTTTAAACGCAACTCCACAACGTACTAACTTACTCCCCAGTGTATCTACGGCGGTGAGTACAAACGCTGTAAATTTGGCAGTTGTGCCCAATTCACGAGAATCTACGAACCCTTCAAGTACTCCTCAAGACACTTCTCACATCACAAACTTGCAGACTCGTGTAGAAGATTTGGACCCCGTTGAGCGTATTCGCTCACATGAGCAAGTTTTCGTCGATACACACGGACGGAAACGGCGACGGCTAGACCTCACTACTCTGACTAAAAGTCGAGTTGATAACGAGCATCCTTCAGATCCGGTGCAAGCCAAGGAGTGGTATATGGGACCGGAACAAATTACACCATCTCAATTGTTCTCCTCTACTGATCCAGACCAAAACGACGAGTCCTTCACAATGGTTGGATCAAACTTTCCAACTGCACAGCGTTTGTTTGTGAACAGGTGTCTTCATTCCTTCCAGAAACAAAAGCTCATACCCCTGGACTCTACCCAAGATCAAGTCTCTGGAGATGTGCCGACAGAGACACTAGATCCTTCTGACCCTTTCTCTTATCTTCTCCAGCGATACCCAGTGCAGGATGAAAGTCAGGATGCATTTCCATTGTATGGAGAGTCAGGATCCGAGGGTGAGTTTGACGAAGAGACTTGGCAAGAAATTGAAGACGAACAAGCAGGATGGTCTGGGAAACCCTCTAAACTCACGCCCAGGGAGATGGAATCTGTTATCAAAGCTTGTATCTCCCAATATGAGAGCAAGTGGCATGATAACTGCTTGCCAAAGGAACAGCAAAAGGCACGCAAGCTCTGGTTGAGGGCTAAGAAGGGAAAGTGTACCAACCAAGAAATCAAAGGGCTCGATCGGAAGATAACATCTCTAAACGAGCGTCTTAGGAAACTGCAGGACGCAGTCCGTGAAAGTGAGTATGCAACGAAGGCCGAGCTACAAACTCAGTGTCAAAGCATGGAGCAGACTGTGATGGATATTCAACAACATAGGTGGCGTGTTTCGACCCTTGAGCAAGAAACGTGTCCACCAAGAATCTCAGCTCCTCTCATACCTACACCCGCACAAAGACCGAAACATAACTCTGGGGATGAAGAATCACTTCATTCAGAGTCAGACGATTTGTCTGATGATTCTATGGATGATTTCATTGACAATTCTGATATTGGGGACCAGCCCATACACGTTGAAAATAATAGCAACACTCGAACCCCACCAACATCTGAAAGTGATGATGATGACATTATCAGCCCTTCTGGGATTAGACGACAGACAAGGAGGAGAAAACTCCCTTTTCGGGAGTCTAGCTCTCCGTCTCCACCTCCTTTGCATAAGAATAAATTCCCTATAGAATACATTGACCTCACAGAAGACTCTCCGGCTGTCGATAATGAAGAGGATTACAGGGTTGAGACTCCCCCCCTCAACCCTGTGCCACGACCAATAACGCAGCCTGTGGGGGATCCTATCGAATCTGGACGGAGTTGCTCAATTTCCCCGGAACCATACATTGGTCCCAGGGTGATGGTCGAAATTCCAGTTTACAAAACAACGCACCCAAACCAGTTCAAACCCAGGAAGCGGTCAAGTCTCCCTGATATACACGACATGGACAAGTTTGTGTCGGTGCCCTGGGGTTTAATTGAAGAGCGACAAGACCGCCAGAGACTATTAGCAAAACTGATTGCAACCCTTTCTATTGAAGAGCGAAATAAGTTAGCGCAAGCAGTTCCTCGATATTCTAGTTCAGATTTGCAGCAACTCACAGGAACTGGTCTAAAGCTCTTGCTGAAGAACCAAGAAATGATTCCAGAACTTGAGGCGGCTGAGAGCCGTGTGGTCATGCGTGTTACTTCCTTTTATATCTCGTGGGTAAACTGTGTCCATCTTGTGTCGGAAGGAATTCAGAAGAGTCTCGTACTCAACGCTCAATCTAAAATCAGCGGCTTTGTCACGTACTTCAACGAACTCTGCGCGCGCCTCACTGATTATCGCAAGAAGAAAGGCTCTAAGATGCACCGGCTCAATGGAAAGGAAGAGACCCCAAATCCCACAGACACTCCCCACAAAAAGCGCAAGAGAGAGGTCAAGGAAAGTCAAAATGCGAAAAAGAGTCAGCAGAGCGCACAGCTTCGTGTCGCACTGCAAGAGAAGCAGAAAAAGATCCTCGAAAGGAAGATAGGTAGCACCAACACCGATCCTACGCGTCAAGCAGTCAGCTTTGGAAATCCTGCTATTTATCTAGACCCTCAAATTGGCTTGCGTGTTAAGCCCCACCAATTGAATGGTGTTCAATTCATGTGGCGAGAGTTGATAGAAGACGAGAACAAGCAAGGTTGTCTGCTCGCTCACACAATGGGCTTAGGGAAAACGATGCAGGTTATATCACTCCTTGCAACAATATCTGCAGCAGCATCTTCCGATGATCCCAAGATACGCCAGCAGGTTCCTGCAGCTTTTCATAGATCTCAATCGCTGATTCTCTGCCCATCGTCCTTAATTGAAAATTGGTTTGATGAATTTCTCATGTGGGCTCCTGTCCAATCGGGTATCGGACCTCTGAGGAAGATAACAACTTCCGAGACAATACCAGAGAGGCTACAGGAGTTGTGTGACTGGGATGAAGAAGGCGGGGTCCTTATAATGAGCTATGACCTGTTCCGGACGTGGATACTGAACCGGGAAACCAACAAGAGGGGAAAGCCGTTAAACGAGGGTCAATATCAAAAGGTCAGAGAATGCCTTCTGGATGGACCGAACATTATTGTTGCCGACGAGGCCCACAAGATGAAAAACCCAGCCACTGGCATCTCGCAAGCAGCCATGCAGTTTCGCTCTAAAAGTCGTATTGCCCTGACTGGATCCCCTCTTGCAAACAATCTTATCGATTACTATGCCATGATTAACTGGATTGCAGAGGGCTACCTCGGCGAATTCGTGGAGTTTAAGGCAAAGTTCGTGGAGCCTATTACGGAGGGACTTTACGTAGACAGTACGTACACCGAGAGGAGAAAGTCTTTGGTGAAGCTTCAAGTCCTCAAAGAAATCCTTGCCCCAAAGATCAATCGTGCCGATATCTCTGTGCTTGCTGGTAGTTTGCCAACCAAAGTCGAGTTCGTCATAACGGTTCCCTTGACGAATCTACAGAGACAAGCATATAATTCATATGTGGAGACTATATTGCAAGGGAAAGGCACTTTCGGCAGTGCACAACTATGGTCCTGGCTTGCGATTCTGAGTCTATGTTGCAATCATCCATCATGTTTCAGAGACAAACTACTAAGCCGAGCAAGCGATGCACAGAAAATAAACAAGAGGCTAGGCGAGGAGATGATTCCCGGTGATGAACCTATCGCGCAAGCAGGCCTTCCAGATTCAGAAAAGCTGGTTTCTGAACAAGAGCAAATATTTGCCAGCGTCCCTGACATAAAAGCCTTAGAAATGTCTCATCGGGCGCGGATAATGAATGCGATAATCGACGAGTCTATCAAGGCCGGTGACAAGATCTTGGTTTTCTCCCACAGCATCCCAACGCTCAATTATATTGAGCACACCCTTCAATCGTCAAACCGAAGATACTCCCGGCTAGATGGACGGACCCCTGTCGTAACTCGACAAGATGCGACAAAGAGATTTAATCGTGGCTCTGAGCAGCAAGTATACCTAATCTCAACACGCGCAGGAGGGCTTGGCTTGAATATTCCTGGAGCGAACCGGGTCATTATTTTCGACTTTAAGTTTAGTCCGGTATGGGAAGAACAGGCTGTTGGACGCGCCTATCGCCTGGGCCAGCAGAAACCAGTGTATGTTTACCGTTTCATTGCTGGTGGTACCTTTGAGGAGGTTATGTATAACAAGGCTGTCTTCAAGACCCAACTTGCCTTCCGTGTTGTCGATAAGAAGAATCCGGTTCGTTGGGCACAAAAGTCACTTGGCGAATATCTTTTCCCAGCAAAGCCGGTACCGCAAAAAGACATCGCCGAATATCTGGGAAGGGATCCACAAGTCTTGGACAAGATCATCATGGGTGATACTGGCGAGGAGAAGTCAATCTGCAATATTGGCCTCACTGAAACTTTCCAGAAGGAAGACAATGACAAGTTGACCGAGGAAGAGAGACAAGGTGTCCAACAGCAATTGAGCGACGAGCGCCTTAGGCGTACCGACCCAGAGGCATACAATAGGCTAGTACTGGACAGGCAAAGGCAAGCTTTGTCCGTGGATCAAGCTTCGCCTTGGGCCCCATCGTTATACGTGCAAACAACTCCCATGCAACCAGCTTCCATGCCACCAGCTCTCATGCCTCCTCAATCATCTGTTATGCAGCCAATAGTTCCGTCAAGCGCTCACAACGACGGGCCTCCCGCTCTAGCACCAGACATAAGCGTTTATCAAGAGCCTTCTAGAACACCCATGCCCTCAACATCCGCAGCCGCGATTAGTTCAACTTCAGGAATCTATGCTTCGCACTATGCTCACAGTGAGCCACCCAACGAAAACATCGCACTTTACTCCCCTTTCAGGCTTTCACCTACCAGAAGCCTAGGGCAAGCCGGTACACAGATACCTCCTCGAATGGATGGTGCCAGTTGGGATACAAACGTCCAGCAATATGATATACCCGCATATATGGCCCATACCGAACCCCTGCAATCGACAACACCATCAGACAATACTTCTGATGACCCCTACCCCTACCAATGAGAAACTTGAAACACCTGAAACTTGGCCATTCCTACCATCTTCGGAATTTTGGTCTTTCCTTTCCATCCTGTTTTATCCAGGGCCTATTTAGCATCATACAAGCGTTGGCATTTGCAAAGCCTTGTTTTTATTGGTTAATCCACATTATCCCGTGAATATTGCATTCTACAATTTGTCAATACCCCCACCGTTTTTGCGGCTGCTTCTTGTACTTTCACTAATATTTTCTCCCCTCTCATCCTCCAACTTCTCATGTAAATTCCATATGTTTTCTTGTCTTGTCCCCCAAAGAATAAGCCACAGCATATGTCTTTCTCATTTCAATACGGAGTTTTTTAGGAGCCAAGGGATGGGTTTGCGTCAATCCATGCATGTGCTGCGCAGGAATGATTCAATGAGACATGAACAAACACAGTTAATGAGATATCCTAGAGAGTGTGTATACATCTTGGTCTCTTTACATAAATGATGTAGCTGCTAATGTGCTGTAACACTCATAAAATCGCTTGTAATTCCAACTTTAACCTAGCCAGCAGATCAAGTATTCTCTATTTAATTAATTCCGACAAAGTTCGAAAGAAACAAAGAAATAATAAAAGAAGTACAAGAGAAAAGTAGCGGAATTCTGACATGAGATTCCAGAATCTTCACACCGTTTCCATATCCGCACATGAAAGGCCCGAAAGTAGTACAGTCCAGACAAAAGACAGTGTAAATAGAATAGAAACATCCCCAGGGACACGGTAAAGATTGTAACACAGACCTGTGTGCACGATCAAGTAAGCAGCTTCTCGAGGTCTGCAACCCGAGTGGCTCTATCATCGACCTTCTTTTTCTTGGCGGTTTCGCGGAAAGCGGCTAACATCAACTTGCGCTTGGTTTCCTGGATGGCCAGGACGCGATCTTCAATACTATCTTCCATTACTAGACGCCAGACGGTTGTTTCGCGTGTTTGGCCGAGGCGGTAGACTCGGTCGACGGCTTGGTCTTCTATTGCCGGGGCCCACCAGCTATCGGCGAGGATGGCCTGGTTTGCTGCCACTAGGTTGAGGCCGACGCTGCAGACGCTCAAGCTTGCGAGAAGAACTTTGCAGTTGGGATCGTGTGAGAATCGGTAAGTTGAGTTGTCACGGGCTAACGAGCTCATTTTGCCGTCGATGCGGGCGAAGCCGATGCCATAGCGGTTGAGGTGAGGTTCGATGAGGTTCAGGAATGAGGTCCATTGACTGAAGACGACGGTTTTTGTGTTGGACGCTTGGCCTTGGGCTGTGAGGATTTTGATTAGAGCCTCGATCTTACTGCTCGGGTTGTCGGGGTCTGCGACAACAGTTTCGGTGCTTTCGCCCATTTCGACGGCAGGGGCGACGAGTGTGGATGTGTCGTTGATCTCAGCACGACACATAGGACATTTGTGCTGTCGTTCGATTACTTGTTCGATGCAACCTTTGCAGAAAGCGTGGGCGCAAGCTGTGATGACTGGTTGCTCTAGAGTGTCTAGGCAGATGGGGCATGTCTCTTGACTCTCAATTTGGATGCGTAACATGTCTTGTAGGGCTTTGATGTTCTCCGGCGTTAGCGGGACAACCTTGTTTTCCTCCAATAGCTGTGCAAGCTTTTCGACACGGTCTTTGCAGAGCGCCCAGTGATTACAGACTTGTCGGAGGCGGAGGATCACTTCGAGGAGGTGTGAGTAGGTGGTACTGGACTTGTCTTTAGACTTGAAATCTAGAAGCATGCCTCTCGCTTCGGACCTAGTGTGACTGTGAGCAAATACCACGGACGCTTCCAGGGCGCGTTAATACATACTGGAACATATCATATTTCTCCTGCTCGTGAGTGTGGAACTTAATGCGGAGAACGCGGGAGGTAAGGGGCGGCAGACGCAAGTTCACAAACTCCATATCCTTTCTACGACGTAAACAAATGGTACTCATAAGTGCCTGGAGAAGCAAACGAGCATTCGGATCCTCAGACATAAGAGGTCGGATCAACACGCTAGTGAAAACTGTCATATCCTCAAGACCACCGGAAAGCCTTAGGAAGCGAATCTGAGAATAAAGATCCTTGAGGGAGTTGACAATTGGCGTGCCGGTTAAGGTCCAGCGAGAGTCTGCACGTAGATTACATGCTGCTAACGCGCCTTTAGACCGGGGATTACGGATCGTATGTCCCTCATCAAGGACTATCCGGCGCCAGTGGACGGAAAAAATTCCGTTTTTCGGGGGCACTTTTGCAGTCGGGTTGTATTCCATTGCAAGGGCACCATAGCTTGTTACTACCACGTCGTATTGGTCAAGATTGGCGGCCTCTTTCTTTCCTGTCCCATGATAGACGAGTACCCGTGGTGCGCTCTCGCTGTGTGTGTGATCTTGTATTTGGTTTTTCCAGTTGCTCATAACGCCTACAGGAGCTACTATCAGAGTAGTTTTGGAGGAGTCTGGGGTCCTCGGTGCGGAGTTTGCCAGAATTAGTGAAATGATTTGGATGGTCTTTCCAAGCCCCATATCATCAGCCAGGATACCGCCACTTGCAAGAGGTGGCACAATGGAGGTGGAGAAGTTTGTTGCGATGTTGGAGAACCTATTGTCTTTTCTCTTCCAGAGTTGTACCACATCCTCAGACCCCGCAGCAGGGAGTGTGGGATTTTCTTTCTCGAGCATCCAAGCCAGTCCTTGGCGTTGATAAGGGAGGAGTTCCGTCGAAAGGGCAGCAGGACGATCCGCCATAGGCATTTTTGCCAAGTCTGCTTCACTTAAACCAAAGTTCTCGACCACTTGACCGATATCCCGAGGGTTGAAAGTGCTGCTCTGACCAATGAGTTCCTCTAAACTCTCTCCCCCCTCAATACTGCCATCACCAGCGTAGAGGTTGGAAAACATGGAGTTATTCGCCGCCTCCCACTGCTGTCCTTTGCCTTTGGCTAGCGCACGAGCTCTTTTTTCGGCCTCTTTCCGAGCCTTTTCGCGCTCCTTCTGCTGCTGCCGCTCCTCGCGCTCTTTCTGCTTGAATTGACTTAAAGGCAGCCTGTCCTGTTCCATCTTACTTTTCAACTCCTGTCTCCTAGCAGGGTCACTAGTGCCGAACAAGCTCAGAGCAATCGGGCAATCGTAAGCTCCGATATGCCCAGTCAGCATGCCATCAATAATCAATGACCTCGTATCCTACAAATGCGAGTTTAGAACCCAAGACACTACCAGCGCTCATTTCACTGAGGACGTACCATATATTTCGCCAACTTAGCCGCCATATTCCTCGGGATATGCCCAATCTGAGCCCCCATAACGTTGTCAACGCGAATAGCATTCGAGTCATACTGGTTCTCTGGTTGCCGTCTCAAAATCACATGTTCACCATAAGTGGCATGCCCGCGATAGTAACGAACGCCCACGATTTTGGTATTTAAATTCCCGTAAAGCATCGAGTTAGCAGCCGCCGGGTCATCGGCAGCCTGGCTTCCCGGGATTACATCGGCAGCTTGCGCGTCATCTTCTTCATCGTCTGCGGCCGTCTGTGACGACTGGCTCAAGGGCACAAAGAGGGCAGCCTCGCCAAAACGCTGTCCATGACTGACGCGGGGTATCTTGGGGGTCGAATGTTGATTCGTATCATCACTTTGGGTCAGATCTATCTGATCAGCCTGTCTCTTTCCTCTCCGGACGCCCATGATGGTCCGGGGGATTGATAAGTGGTCAAGGGGCTGCAATTGTTGCTTAGGAGAAGCAGGATCGATTTCATTGTTCATGGTTGCGACCAGTCGATCTACGTATTGATCCTGACTATTCCTCTTTGGGGCTAGTGGACGTCAAACATCCAACGCGCTATGACGCGACCCCACGTGATCCAATGTTGGTTGCTCTTGTCAGATTCAAGATGAATCGTCAGCAAGTTTAAGTCACAAATACACAGGTTCTATCAAGTGAATTCTATAGACATTATATACAAAACAACTAAACACTATCTATAGGGTATTTTTAAGGGGTATTGTAACCAGAAAGGGGATGTTCCGGATCCATCAACGGATCACAATACATGATGATACACTCAGCTGTGATGAGTGAAAGATAAGAACAGGCGGATGATCTATTTGAATGACTCGCGGGTGTTGACCCGATCAATGTCATACGGATTAGCATCATACACCGTCTGAGAATTGACTCCCGCAGACCGGCGCGACGCCTGTGATGCTATAGACTTTCTTCGGTCATACTTGACAGACGGGAGATCATCCAGTTGCGAGCTCGCTGGGGTGGGCTCAGACAGAGCATCATCCACCTCTTTCGACCCTTCCGTGGCACTGTTCTCGTACTTCTTCTCAACGTCTGTCTCTTCCGGAACATTGGTAGTTTGTTCCATCAACTTCTTCATAAAGGCGTCCGATTGCGCTGCATATTTGCATCGTGTCCGAATCGCTGGGCCGTATTTATAAAAGAGAAATGGAAACGGGACGCACGCGAGTGCTAGGAATGCGGGGATACTAGAGGCCCAGTGCACACCTAGATCATTGTACATGTATGAGGTGAAGAGCGGGAAAACAGCACCGAAGATTGAACGAAGCACAGAATTGGCAGCCAACACGGACGCAGCAAAGATTGTATAGGCATCAATCAAGTAATTCATCAAGCTGAGGAAGACCAGCACCATACCAAATCCGAACGGTGCACCAGCGGCGATACTGGCCATGAAATGAATGGATGGATAATTCGTCCAGGCAAACCAGAAAAGACCAATTGGTATCACAACCGAGGCAATCAGGCAAGGGGGCAGGCGAGCCTCGGGGGGTGCGAATCCATTGTGTCGTGCCTGAGTGTTCACATAACGTTTATTATCCCAGAGTGTGTAGGCTACCGCAACAATCATGCCAACCATAATTCCCAGGAAGGCCAGACCAGAAACACCCTGGTTCCATCCTCGCTGGCCTTGGTAGACAATGGGAAAGGCGGCAAACATCATATAGAGGGTACCATAAATAATAGCCATATAGATCGACAACAAGAGCACAATCGGTTCACGGAATAGTAGAAGCCACGGTCGAGATAGGGCGATCTGAAAAGCTTCCTTGGGTGTTTTCTTTCCTTGGTCTACCTCGATCTTACTTTGGTAGACTTTTCCGGTAACTTTAGAGAGTTTTGCTGCCCGCCGCTGCAGAAGGACAGGGGCATAAGTCTCCGGAACACAGACTGAGCCAGCAATCCAGAGAGCACCCGAGAAGATGGCCAGGAACCCCATCACCCACTTCCAACCTGCCTTCATGCCTAAGAACCCTCCAATAATTGGTCCAAGCACTGGACCTAGGAATGGAGCAGCTGCAAACACGCTCATTGCTATACCACGCTGGCTGGCTGGGAACATATCTGCAATAACTCCGCCGGCGTTGGTCAGCGGCGACGATCCAAAAGAACCTGCGAAGAAGCGGAAGATGATAAGTGTCCAGATATTTTTTGACCCTGCACAAGCGGCGTTGAACACTGTCAACCCACAGTAACTGCCGATAAAGAGATACTGTCGCCCATATAGCTCACTCATGGGCGCCCAGAGTAACGGGCCGATGGCGAATCCTACCACGAACAAGGATACTCCCAGCGTGGCTACTTCTGAACCGCAGTGGAATTGTTCCATAATTTGATCCACGCCGCCGGTGTATGCAGAAGATACTAGCGACACCGCTAAGGTCGCGAGGGCGACTGTTACTGTGTAGAACCATTTTCGGCTATCTGGGAAATTCATAGGATTCCGTGGATCATTGGGGAGCCATGTGACGAGAAAAGGCTCATCTTCAGTACCGGAGCCAGCGTAAGGGTGATCAATGACTTCCTGAGTAAGTATCGCTTGGTCGATGATAAGGCGCCAGTGTGGAATGCGAGTAGGCTTGACAGGCTCGCCTTTGTCTGCCATGCTTGTTGAATATAGGTCAATGGCCTAAGCGCTAGTAACGTGTAAGGGTGTGGTACTAGTTTCTTCTTCCCCCTGCTTCTCTGTTCAATCTTGTTGCTTTCCTTTGCGTTGAACCGGAACCCTAGAACAAAGAAGAGCGGGTAAAAGTAAATCGAGACAAGAGAATGATTTGCAGGACAAAAAAATTAAGTAGATTATAGATCAACCGATCAAGCGCCACATAATTTAAGGCTCAGTTGAGAATCGGACAAGAGACAATCCAGTTTGAGGAGACAGAGACCTGGTTCAGAAAAGATTGGGATACTGAAAAAAATCGAGAGCAAAGCCATGACCAAGCCCAACATGCATAAAGTCAGGTATTAAGTATACTGATACCCCAGCGGGGATTAAACCAGGCAACGACACCATCGGGCTTAACGGCAGTAGTGACGGTACCATCACCATCAGTCAGCACAGAATCGGCCGTCATTCGCGGCGAACAGCTTCAAGATGTCGGCGTTAACAACGTTATGCAGGACTTTTCAGTATAGCATAAAGTTTGCTGATGAATCGGGTATTGAATCTGATGATCAATTATAAATCAATCCAATCAGAACCGACACTGGCTAAGAAAGCACGGCACCATGGTAGACGAAGGATCTAGGGCGGAGAATACCGACAATCTAATTCCGGAGGTCAAGTCTCGAGAAATGCATCAGTCTCACAGCATAAAACGATGTATCAAGATGTATTGCGATGTATCTTATCTCCGGGCGGGAGGCATCTCCACTGTGTTAATTTGTTATCAACTAACTAAAAGGTGAAGCTGATTAATCCGTAGGCTCGCCAGGCAACTTCGCAAGAGCGGTGGGAATTTGAGAAATGAGGAGAAGTACTTCTCAACTGCAAGAAAAAAAAAAAAGAAATTCACAATTATGGGCACGTGGTCTCGAACATCATTAGTGCTGATTTATTTATGTGATGTAACCCCATCATGGTTTCGCCCGCTTCCGATATACTTGCTCGACGACCAAGTATGATCGATGCTCGGGACTTATCGAACTCATCCACAACGAAAGTCATGGCTATATAGTATACCATCCTGTTGACAAGCTTTCTACAAGCACTGATCTCCACGGGATCAGAAAGGGTCTTGCCGTACTATAACTCCAGATCCTCGGTCCGCGTGAGGCTCCTTGATTGCCCCGGCTTGATTGGTCTCAGCACGATGGCTACTATGGGTTACACCGCATCGGCTTCTCCAAATCCACTGGACTAATGCAGTCTAATCAAAATGGTTCATACTTCCATCAGTCTGTTACCTGAATGAGATACGAGAAACGAACTTGTCCGCTCAATCGGATACTCGGAAGGGCTACGACTAGTACGATTCTTGTCATTGCCTGGAAATATATATGCCAAAGAAATTGGAACATCTCCTTCGGTCGCGTTGTCACTGAAAATGGCGGTGGAACCTAAACATCGGGCTGTTGGCTTTCAAAAGCCAGCTGCTCGGTTCGTCATTCATTGCTACCTATGGAACATCTTTGGAGTAGATCTTGCGGTATGACTGGTCTCATTGTGGCGAGGTGATTAGATCAAAGGCAAATCCCACACCGATATCCCTTGCAGCAACGTTTAGGATAAGCTCGCGGGTTCTGACTTTATTCTAACCATACTACATTCTCCTAACTCATTTATTTAAGTATATATACAGTATACAGTATTATTATATATGAATTTTATTCGTTGGTTTGTTGGGGTCTGAACAGAGGTTAATTATTCCTTTTTCTGGGACGCTTTTGCCCAGAATTCCAACGGATCATCCCTATGGCCGGTTCTCTCCTTTCCTACCTCGACATCGTTCGCGACAATCGCGATCAATTGGACGCGCAGATCCAACACGGGGAGCTAAAACCCGTCTTTCTATGGCATTTGACCCTTTTCACAATCCTCCCAGTATCGGCGCTTGTCATTCCTCGTCGGCAAAGTACTCGCTATGTCCGACCCTTCGTCCTCGTCCTCATCTTTATCTTGGCCCTCGAGGCTATCCGACACCGACGGGCCCTTCTTGGTGCAAATGGATACATGGTAGGATTGGTGGTCGCATGGTGGTTCATATGGTCAGCGACATTACTGGTTTTTCACGACGTCGAGAAGGAATTTTTACGCGTTGAGCGAAAGGCCAGAACGACTGTGGATGTGACGTCGAAGCGCTCCACCCAGAACGGATATGCCCGTATGGACAGTGGATTAAAAGGCGCAAGACCAAAGGAACAGCAGTATACTGAATCCCTTATCTGGCAGCCGTATCCTCGATCCCTTTCGAAGAGGTTGAATTGGTCGTTGGGCCTTCTTCTCAACATGCGGGGCCCCGAATGGAATTGGCGTATATCAAGCATGGGCCCTTTGCCTCCCTTTGTGGAATCGCAACTCAAGTCTGGACCACCGTCACAATATCCCCGAGGCACAAGTAAGGTCACTGCATCATATCCAGGAGCTGGGACCCGCATCCGCACCGTAGCCTTCGACTGTCTCAAATACTATCTCCTTTTGGATGTCATCAAGGTTCTCATGATGCAGGACTCGTACTTCTTGGGGGTCACGTCGCCGCCGCCTCCCCCTCCGTTTCTACTAAACCAAATCCTCCCACATGGAGCGGAGTATATATACCGCTTCCTGATGACGGCATTGGGCTTATACACCTCTGTAACCTTTGTGACATTATTTAACCCACTGATTTTCCTGGGGCTGTCCCTGTTATTTCCCAACGCCGCCCGCAGCATAACCGCAACGCCGCTGGATGCCCCTTGGCTTTATTCGGACATGTTTGGTCCGTTCCTCGTCCCCGTGCTGGATCACGGTCTTGCAGGCGCTTGGGGTATATGGTGGCACCAGATTTTCCGGTTCGGATTCACGTCCACTGCCCATTGGATTCTATCGCTCCTTCCCAAACAATTATCGACAAACTCGCGTTTCAGGCGCCTCTTAATGACGTTTGTCGCGTTCGCGCTTAGCGGTTTCATCCACGCCTGTGGGAGTTATACCCAGTTGTCCGACACCAATCCCCTTTCTGGGACATTTCTGTTTTTTGTTCTTCAATTTGTTGGCGTTACAATCCAAGAGTTTCTCTCCTACGTCGTAGTCCCAGCCTTGTTATATAAATACACAGGTAAGCCAAGGAAGACTCGATTACCCCGTTGGCTTCGGCGGTCTGCCAATGCAGGTTTTGTTTTTGGGTGGCTGTGGTTGACCGCCGGTTTGATCATGGATGATTTCGCTGCGGGTGGCTTGTGGCTGACCGAACCTTTGCCGGTGAGTCCCCTGCGCGGATTGGGATTTGTTGAAGGGGAGGGGTGGTGGTGTTGGAATACCTCGTGGTTTCAATATTGGGACGGAGGAAGTTATTGGGAGAGGGGAATAAGAGTCATGTGAGTGTTTCCTGTCTAGGCCATCCTTCACTTTGATATTAGGGTGTGCGCGTCTCTTGCAGGTGATGCTATGGGGTATTCTATCCCAATGAGCTGGAAGCTCACATAGAGGTTTTAGAGGATAGAGGATAGAGGATATATAGAATCTAGTTCCTAGATATATATATATATATATATATACGAATATAGTTCATGATATTTTGTGGTTCAACGTTTGTACTATACACATTAGCCCTCCATGGTCTCATCCTCGTCCTCATCTTCGTCTTCCGTGTCCGGGTCAATGTTCAATGCTGGCAGGTCGTCCTCGCTGTCATCCTCTTCAGCATCTGCCAAGGTGGTCTGTGCGACGGCTGAGCCTGATAGTGGACCACCGACGGTTGCTGTAGATGGTGCATTCACGCTAGCAACCCGAGGGGGTGGAGCTGATGTGACGGTGGCTGAGGACGAAGGAACGGAGACAGCAGCGGTACCGGTAAACGTCTCGGGGGATGCTCTGTCCAAAGATGGCTGACTGGCAACAACACTGACATCGCCTTCGACACGGGGCCGTTTACTCTGTAAGTTAGAGTCTACATTCTCTGTCGAACCGAGCGACGCAAGCTGCGGTTTGCTGTCCTCCGCAAGGCTGCGTTTGCTTAAGGTTGGGGCGGCCTTATGGGAAACATCCGTGTCCATCATGTCGTGGTGTAGGATAGGGGTGGATGACGGTTGGAGAAATCCAGTGCTTTCAGGGGCTGTCCCAGAAACAGGCGTAGGTACGTCTTCTTCCTCGTCCTCCTCCATATCAGTGTATCCGCCAATACCAGGGGCATTCATCAAAACGGGCATCCTAGGTTTGATGAGAGCCTCCACCTCCATTTCCGCAGGGAAGCTCCGGGCTAAGAATGGCATGATGCTGGCGCTTACGCCGCGACCCTTTACGGCAGGGACAGGATTAAGAACACTGGCAAGCATAGTGTGCTTATCAGATGTTAAGATGATCGTCCGATCAATCTCAGCTCGGAGCGAAGGAGACAAGTATTCTGTCGGAGCATGTGTAAGCACACCAGCTAGCAGCTCCGATGCGGCTCTAGTAAGGCTAGAGAAAGACGACATATTAGACTGACGGCCTTGCTTCAGCATGGGGTTGAGGAAGGAGTCGGCGTTTGCTGTAGTATGATTGGACTTGGCTTTGCCTTTCGCGTCAGATGGTGCTCTCGCCGAGGCGCTCTGATCGTGCACAGGAGGCAAAAGATCATGGCAGGAAGCTCGGATCAAATCAGCAAGGGAAGTGAGGCTTTGTTTTGTCAACGATGGTCCCATGCGGGTGAGCAGGGTCTGAACGAGGTCATAGGCGGAAACGCGAATTTCTCGACTGAATTTTTCCGCACGGTAGACCCAGAGAGTCTGCTCTAGAATCGTCTGTGTCACAGGAATGGCGCCGGTCTCGAGAGTCTTTACAAGGTTTTGAAGGAGTCCCATGCAGGCAACGTGGATACGAGGAAGTTCAGCGAACAGATGCCCCCTTTCCGTACGGCTAATCTGCGGGTTGGCTTGGATATCTCGTCCGTCGGAGGGAACAACCACGGCAGTAAGTCGAGATGTTAGATCCAGTATGTGGCCTATCGGAATGGAGATCATAGAAGCCGTCGCGGTAGTAAGGCAGGTGGAGAGCATTTGAAGGAGTACGACAAGTCTGTTCACACCCGAGTCAAGTCCCTGCCAACCTGCGAGCCCCAAAGTATCTAGTCCCCCATCGCTGACTTCCCTGCTATAATCTTGCGGTTTCGAGGCTTGTCGGAGAGCTGGATCCACGGATTCCCATTGTTCCACTACCGCTCGGAATACGTAATCCGCAGCCCCATGAATAGAAGCTATTGTCATCTGGCAGGCGTTCTTCCATTCCTCTCCGGATGTATTTTTCGGAGCGCAATGGTGCAAAGAGATAAACAGCCGTTCGGCAGAGGCCAGTACAGTCTGGGGGAATGTAGGCGACGTTGAACCAATTATTGCTTGAAGGATACTGTGAATCTGCGCCGAGAATGGACGGAAAATAGTTGGATGCCGTGCGATCAGCTCTCCGAGTGCGTTAAGGACGGTTTCCAAGAATGGACTGTGAGGCTTCAACTTCCTGATCGGTTCCGACGAAGGTTTGACCGAGATAAGATTCAAAGCCGAAGTAATGAAGCTTGGCAAAGACGGGGTCGTGATCTCGCGCACAAGGGTGGGATACTGGTAGGTGAGGTGGAAGATGCGTGTCAAAGTGATGATAGACATTTTCTTGGTGGAATTCGGATCGGGTTTCTGTTTGGCGATAGTATCAGCATCTTAATTGGAATTGAATCACTCGAATTCCACTTGCGACCTGTGAATCAAGTACGTACCGCAAGGATCGCAATGAGCCCGCGAACAAGTGGTTCGCAACCCCGTAGGATTTCCCATTGACCGGCTTCCACGACGGCTTTTACAAGCACGACCGCAGTCCACCGACCTTCCGGAGATCTATCCTGCAGCAAGCTCGCCAGGCGGGTCATAAGTTTGTGCACTTGAACGGCATTGTCCGACTCAGATTTGGACTTTTGATTCTGCGGCGCAGAAAGTAGCTCCCCGCAATTGCTCAACGAAGTCGCAAGACATGATGCAAGGGGAGGCAATTGTTTGACGGGTATGTTGGTCAGGCGGTGATTGACAGCATGTAAGGACATCGACATGGAAACCATCTTGGTAACGCGGCCGTGTCGTCGTCAGGTACTGGAGGTACCTTCTGTGATCTTGGAGACTTTTTTTTTTTTTTGGGAGGAGCGGAAAAGCTTTGACCACATGAAGCCTCGGAGGTACCGTACCATACGCTACATACTGTGTTCAAACTTGACGGTAAGGTAAAAGTGGTACTAACCGTTACCCACCGACCAATAATTATACGTGCGTAACCCCCCGAGCGGGTCTCAATGGTGGTTCCAGTTGTTCCTCTCCCCTGGACAATGATGATCATCAGAGTTAAGTCCTCGGGACTTGCACATTGAGGAGAAGTACACTTTGTTTTTCCCTAGGTAGCAGATCTTGTGCCGGAGCCTCGGGGTAGGAACTACTAGTTATGGGTACTGTTTCGACTGCCCTCCCTCAGATTCTGCTATTCTCCTCCTAACTCTAACATTACATCCTTAATCATGGCTGTAAGTACTTGCCCTTAAACTTCTGCCACATCAGGCTACGTGTTACTCCCCTGCAATTCGCAAACGAATATTGCAATGTCTCCAATTCTATTGACACGTGCTTCCGATAGGCCCATTCTGAGAAGGGGCGTCGCTATATTGCTGCCTTGGACAACGCCCGTTGTCAGAACAAGTGGGATGAGATCCCCGAACTCATTCGCAAAGTGACCAAGCATGCACCTCAGAAGACTTGTAACATGCCCTTTTACTCTACTAGGTGTTAGTCTGCAAAGAAGCTAACCGAGATGCGATAGGCTTGTTAGAGGTAGCCTCTGCTGAATACCAGGTCGCCTTACACTCCCCGCAACGGCCATCATCTGCCCAATCTTCCTCCGCTTCCACATCCTCGGCGTTGCCAGAACTTATTCACCACCTTTTGTCTACCGTTGAAAAGGCAGATGGCCCTCCACAAGATATTTTTCAAGCTCAAGTTTGCCTAGGATGGGTACACTGGACACTCAATGAACCGGGGTTGGCAGCGGCGCGTCTCCCGGGTGACTTCGATGAGACAGTTCATAAGCTCACAGGCACTGGAGAGGAGCTCTCGTCATGGACTAAAGTATGCATTGCCAAGGCATGCTATCTCAAAGGTATATATCTCAATTACTGAGCGACTGGCCATTTTCTAACGGTGATAGGTGCCGGGCAACACAAAATATCCGGATCCGCCAACGCACTGGACACTCTTCAGTCACTTACTGCATGGTTGAACAGTCACAATGAGCTGTCTTCAGATAGCCCCCAATTTTTACACTGGTCTGAGCAACTCGCGTCGGAAAGCGCACTGGTCGCTAGCACGGAAGCTCTCAGGACTATTCCCGTGGCTGACGAAGCCCTCATGCAGACCGCGCTGAGACTCCTTCGGGCGTGGTCTGCTCACCCACATGTTAAACAAGGGCCCTTGCCTCATACCGACAACTTTGACGTTTGTACACCAAGGCATTTAACATGGAAGTCATACTATGACCTCTTGTCAGCCACCCTGCAACATGATTTAGCTTACGTGCCACCGGCAAGCGGGCCAGAACGCCAGCAGCTTGCAGCTGAAATACGGCGTGTGGAGTCGATGTACGAGAGTAGCCTCCTGCGTGAGACGAAATTCCCTACGGCATATGCCGAAAACACACAAATCGAAGACTGGGTGGAGCAAGTAATCACGAACTGGCAAATACTCTGTGGACCTCAATGGACCGACGAAGATCTGGGTGAAGGGGGCCAAAACGCAGTGGGCAGAAATGTCCTCGATGTAAGTGTTGAGTGAAACCTATTCGTTGATTGCTCTAATGTTCTCTATGATAGATCCTGTATCGTGCTGCTACCAAAACATACCATTCCCACTTGATACTCCGGCGCCTGTTTCACGTTCACTCAGCATTGGCAGACTTTGACCTCGCTCTAAAGGCTCTTGATTCGTATATTGAGATCGTTGTGAGTGCGAAAGAAAGGGCGGAGAAGTCGGCACAATATGGAGAATTAGAAAATGATGGCACCTTGTTGCGCACTCTCTCCGAGGGGGTCACTATGCTGTGTTGTTTCGGCTCGGCAAAAGAAGCCGAGAAAGCCAGGGAGTTGACGACTCTCATGAAGGAGTTTATAAACAAGCATGTCCAAGAAGTTGAGGGTGATGACGAGGAGCAAGTAAAGCTTCTGATCACATCAGATACAAGCTCAACTCACTCTCAGGCAGTGTCTCCTACTGACATTGCTGCGGCTTATAGAGGTGTTGGTATAGGTCTTGCGGCCTGGGCTAACTGGACACCCGTGAATGAAGAACGTAACGATATACGGTCTGAGGCCATTGATTATCTGGAAAAGAGCACTGCGCCAGAACTAGAAGATGAGGATAACTACTCATCTCTATATACGCTTGCTCTCCTTCTCGCAGAAGATCGAGATCTGGATAGTGCGATTGACTGTGTCAAGACAGCATTGACAGCGAAGACACACCCAGGCACCGTCCAGGGGTATTTTACGCGGGAACGGGACCTTGTTCCGCTATGGCATCTACTTGCCCTATTATTAAGTGCAAAGCATGATTTTGATATTGCTGAGCGCTCCTGCGAGGCTGCATTTGAACAGTTCCCTGCCGCGGTCACGTCTCTAGCCCACCACGAGAGAAGACCACAAAAGCAACAGCAGGCCACCCAAGACCAGGTACACGGCGCTGGGTTACAACGTACCTTAATCGAGGAACTTCGAGGCCGTGAGAAAGAACGTATAATCGAGACGCGCATGACTCAGTTGGCGTTTGTTGAACTCCTGGAGGGCCCAGAGGCTGCTGTTAACCATAGCGATCAACTACTTGGACTATTTGCAACTTTATTCGGCAATTTGGCCCTTGAAGCTGACGATAAAAAAGCCTCCCAGACAGACAACCTCAGACCCCCATCGAGCTCCGGTCATACCGTGAAAAGTCTCCGCGGCAGTATATTTGGGAGGCATAAAGGCCCGCGGGCACCAGACAGGCGGATGCGATCTGGATCTGACCCTAAGACGGATGGAAATAGTCCTTCGGTAGTACCGAACGAGTCGGATCAGGCGCCAACCATTCAGGTCACACACGGGGATAAACACGTTGGCCACGAGAACCCTCAAGACTCGCGGAAATTGCGGAAACGCAGTAGCACCCTCAAAAAGGGAGAGAATGCACCTGATCCAAATCATAGTCACATAAATGGTGACGGACCCGTCACGAATGGCGTGGGAGGTGTAGAGCAACCGAATGGGGTGGAAACTCCATCCCCAGACATGGTTACTGCGGCAGTGTCTGCAAACAAGGAACAAAGTGGAAAGCAGCCCTTGCGACCTGTAGCTCACAACATGAGCCATACGAGACAGCCACCTCCCATGGGTCACGCGAAGCAGCCGCCTGAACAGGATGTTCGTCTGCCAACATCATATGGGTTTGATTCTCCAACTAAAGCGGTGACTAAGTTCCCGCTTGCCCAGGCCCAAAAGCATGCCCTCTGTATCCTCGTCAAAATTTGGCTTCTCGTTGCTGGGCTGTATCGGCGAGCAGCGTTGTTTGACGATGCGTTTGAAGCGTGCGAGGAAGCTGCCAAGCATGTTTCGCGGGTCGAAGCCCTTTGCGCAACACAAGAATCCTCCGCTAGATCATTCCGAGAGCGTGGTTGGGGTGCTCCAAAGAGTGCCGATGAACTTTGGGCCGACCTCCTAGCGGAACAGGCGTTCTTGTCGAATGCTCAGTCATACCCTCACAAAGCAATGGATCAGTTCGAACAAGCATTAATGCGCGACCCCGACCATCCCAAAGCCACCATTGGCCTGGCAAACCTTCTCCTTGATATCTGGGATCAAAAGATGCCGCTGCTGCCACCAGAGCCTGAGATTGAACTTGATATGTCGATGTTAAGGCTCGCGTCGCCCGAGAAGCAAAGCCCAACGGCGAGAAGGGCTGACGTAAAGGCCACAGGCAGACAATCATTCGCTGGATCTAACGACACCGAACATAATCAAATGCCACATGCTATCCAGGACGTGGAACCTAAACTTCTCAATCGCATCGCCGCTCGTGACAGAGCTTACGGTCTGCTTTCGGCCCTCACCAAACGCGGTAGTTCTTGGGACAACTCTGAAGCTTGGTATACACTCTCCAGAGCGTACGAAGCCGAGGGGAATACCGAGAAATTGAGAGAGGTGTTGTGGTGGTGTGTGGAGCTCGAAGACCGACGGCCAATCCGACACTGGTCTAACCTCGGTTCTGGTGTATATGTTCTCTAAATAGCGAGAGTTTGCTTTCTTGTAATTAAGCTTGTTGGAAGAGCACTTCTTTCATCTTGCACTTAATAAGATACCTTCCTGTTATAGAATTGTGAATAGATACTACTTTATACATACGGGGAAATTTGCAAGGCGTTTTAGATGGAACAACTCTGATGGAATCAAACGACCAATAGGACAACTTTATTTACACATCACCCAACAATGGTCTTACAGTTGGGGTCAAACAGAACCAAGTTAAAGCTCAAGTAAGACTGCTCCTCACCTAATTACGGGGAGCTGCCACAGGGTCCCAGGCGGAGTACTTCGGCTTGACGCTGAGAGGCATTAGTAACTGTTCCTTCAGACTGTCTTTCTTTCTTTTTCTCCTTCTTCTCCAAAGGACACAAATTGACAACTTACGTATTGTAGGTCTTGAAAGCAGCACGGGAGAGGGTGGGGTTAGGTCGATGCTCGGACAACTCCCAAGGGCGCACACCAGTCTGCATGATCTTGTCCGCAGTAGGAGGCTGGTCGACCATGTAGGCGATCCAGGCGTGCCTGTTCGAGAGATTTAGAAACATGCCCTACAGCCCCCGGAAAGTAGTATCATCAAATGGGATCCTCACCAGCCGGGCTCAATCTGTGCAGCGTCGAATTCCGACTCCTTGTAGTCGACCCAACGTGTCCGGACTGCATCCCCAGTTAATACTGGCCCAAGAATACCTTCTCCTAGTACTCACGAGGGAGCTCCTCCTCAAGATTCTCGAAAAACTTGTTGCCGAAGCGGTCGACGCCAATCAAGGTACCGGCTTTGGTATCACCTGAAGTCGCAATTGCGTCAGTAACCGACCAAGACCTGCCAATTGAGGGCAAACTATACCGATGTTCTATTCACGCGAGGACCCGCTAAGTAAGCATTCATCCATCACAAGGTCCTGGGAGTTGCGTACCTGCATCTGGTGACCATAGTCCTGTGGAGAGATGGAAAATTAGCCCTCGAATCCCCGCACAAACAAACCTGAATCAACGACGAACCTTGATACCAATCCTCCTCAGGTTCCGCAGCGTCCGAAGAATAGTCGACATCTTGGGCGAAGTGCAGCAGTAAGCTCGTCGTCCGTCTGCAATGCTAATCGAAGTGAAGCGGTTGGTTGTTCCGTTTGATCGATTGGAGTCGAGGACCCGCTCAATGCGGTCTAGTGCGGTGTGGGGTTTGCAATGTTTGCACCGATGCCCGTGATCGACGTCTACGGACAGTTTACGTCCACCTCCAATTGACGCCCCGCCTGCGAATTGCTGCTTTTTTTTTTTTGCTGTTATTGCAGGTGGCTACGGACGGAGTGAAAAATATGTTTGGTCGTGTCGGCGGTCAGACGTTCCGGTGTGTCGTGCGCAGGCCAATCGCGCGGAGGAGACTTTGTGAGCGCAAATTCTCGGCCTATACAACCAGCACCAGTCCCAGCGCAAATGCGCCCTCTACAGCTTCACCCCTGGGAAGTATAACGTCGGAGCTTGATCGGATCGCTCCCTGCTTTGAGGTTCCAGCTTCGCGGATCACAATCTTGGACTCTCCTGCTAGTTTCTATAGCACCCTCAAGGTAAGTCTATGTACGATCTACTCAAACGGAGATAGTCTGGGACTAATGCGGCAGATTGCAGAGCAAGATACGAAAAGCCCGGAAGCGCGTCTACCTCTCTACGCTGTATATAGGAAAATCAGAGCATGAACTCATTGAGACCGTGAACCAGGCCCTACGTGACAATCTCGATCTCAAAGTATCCATTCTGACGGACGCCTTACGGGGAACTCGCGAGACGCCGAATCCCTCGTGCGCTTCACTTCTGGCCTCGCTGGTCGCTGAACATGGCTCGGATAGGGTGGAAATCCGCATGTTCCATACCCCAAATCTCACGGGACTGAGAAAGAAATGGATCCCCAAAAGAATCAACGAGGGTTGGGGTCTTCAGCATATGAAGCTGTATGGCATTGACGACGAGATTATCCTCTCCGGGTATGGTATCTTGATCCAGAGTTCGTCTTTAAAACCATCGGCTAATAGCTTGCTCCTAGAGCGAACCTTTCGAACGATTATTTCACGAACCGCGTGGATCGATATCATATTTTTAACTCTAAAGAACTGGCCGATTATTACAGCCGTATCCACCACGCAGTATGCAGTCTGAGCTATTTAGTCCTACCGGATCCGCATAACACTGCTGGGTATCTTTTGGACTGGCCAACGTCTAACGGCACGGTATCTCCGTTGGAAGACCCCGAGAGCTTCGTCTCCTACGCCTCTACAGTCTTGAGCCCTCTCATTCAACCAACCAAAACGAAGCCCGCCCTTGAACAGAAATCCTCAGACGGAACATATGTCTATCCCGTCGCACAATTCACCCCTCTACTAAAGCCCGATACCTCTACGGAGTTTCCCGCCGTCACCACAATCCTTCGTATGCTATCCACCTCCTCCGCATTCTCCGGTGCCCGCTGGTTGTTCACCGCCGGCTACTTCAACATCCACCCTGTCCTCTCTTCTCTGTTGATCGCAAGCACCTCAACCTCACATACTGAATCCACGACACGCGGTACCGTGCTCACAGCTTCCCCCTGGGCCAATGGCTTCTACGGTTCCCCCGGTATCTCCGGTATGCTGCCCGCCGCGTACACCCATCTCTCTGCACGGTTCCTTGACCGGGTAGCCGAGGCACAGAGGACCAATTCCATCCAGCTGAAAGAATGGCGACGCGGAACGGTCGGGGAACCAGGCGGCTGGACCTACCATGCGAAGGGTCTATGGATCACGCTCCCCAAGGAAGAACACCCCAGTCTGACGTTCGTCGGGAGCAGCAACTACACCAAGCGTAGCTATAGTCTTGATCTCGAGGCTGGTGCGCTAGTCGTTACCGGCGATCGGGACTTGAAGCGAAGACTTGGGGCAGAGAGTGATCGGTTACAGAAGGAGTCTCAAGCGATCTCACGAGACGACCTGAGGAGAACCGAACGCCGTGTTAGCTGGAATGTGCGTTTGGCGATGTGGATTGTCGAGAAAGTCGGCGGCGCCTTGTAGGGGCGTAGCAACCCTTCACGGCTGGACTGTTTACGGGAGGTAGTATTCTATATTCGTGATAGAATTTGTATACCCCATGTACTTATATGTAACATGTACAATGTCTTATATAGAGTAGAACGAGTGACCTTTTACCGGAGTATGCCGAGAGAACGACTTCCCCGTTCAAAACCACTACTCTCTTAAGTTCTAACAGATATAACCCACTAGCAGGACTATGAAGTAAAAAGTAGTAATGATATGAGATTATGTAAAGTAGTGAAGCCAGACCCACGCCATCTAAGTATATAGGTATGATAGGAGAAAAAGAAAAAAAAAAAAAAAAAAAAAAAAAAAAAAAAAAAAAAAAAAAGATAGAAAGATAGAAAGAAAGAGAGAGAGAGAGAGAGAGAGACAGAAAGAAAAGAAAACCAACATCCATAGCTATGCAAACCAATGCAAGGCCAAGAAGAAAACATTATAAGTATAATTATAATCTAGAAAAAGAAAGAATATGCAAAGACCAAGACGGTAGCGATAGTAGCAGCCGAGTACTCAAACTCGAACCACACAGCCTGGCCACCGAACGCGATGCGCTTGCTCTCCTCGGTGGGATGAGCAACACCAGTCTTCTGATCTCGCACGAGCAGCTCCTCGCGATCTGGCATAATCGGGGGGTTAATGGCATAGGCGATCGGCGTCCACATGGAGCTGCAGATGAAGAAGAAGGCAAACGGCGGCCAGAAGGCATGCGTGATGAGACAGATAATGATGTCTTTGGCGCTGTCTTCGATGGCGAAGCAGCGGTACGAGGAGATGATGACTGCGACCAGGGTCACGTACACGAAGGCGAGATGGAAGGACACCATGTAGTTGAGGAGCATCACCCGGAGACGCACGAACATGTTCTTCGTGAGCTTCGGGTCGCGCTCGTTGAGTGCGGAGGCGAGGGATCCGGTGGGCTTGAAGGCTTGGGTTTGGCCGCCGAGCCATTTGGGGAGGATGAATGAGCGGATCATGCAGACGGCGATGTAGGGTGCCATCCAGAGTTGGAACCGAGAGTTTCTCTGTCCGGTGTGGTAGCCTGCTGGGGAGAATAATGTTGCTTCGCACAGTCGGTTGACGACGGTCGAGATGAAACAGGCCCAGATGAGCCAGTGGAGTTGGTCGTCGTTTGCGTAGGCGACGAGAGGCTTGCCCCACAGGAGGATAATGGGAATGGTGAATAGAGACGCAGTTAGAAGGAGAGTAAACAAGTTGAGGATTGCGTAGATGAATCCGGAGAAGCGTTGAGCGAAGGTGAGATGCCGGACGCTCTCGCCCCAGAGGCAGAAATTCAGCTTGGCAGCTGTGTCCACAGTTCCTATGGCCCAGCGGGTCCGCTGCTTCAGATGTCCCCCGTAGTCTTCTGGTACGGACCCAAACTGTAGGGGTTCGTGGATGTATACTGTTTTCCAACCTTTGCCGAGCATAAGGGTTGAAGTCGCGACATCTTCAGTTAGGGTTCCCAGAGGGAAGTTGCCAATGTCCGCCAGAGCTTGACGGCGAACAACATAGCCAGATCCAGTACACCAGGCCACTCCAAGGGCATCCTTGATGGGCTCAATGATATGTACAAAGAAGTCCAGACTTTGCCCGAGGGGATCGGAGGCTGGTGTGTTGTAGAAGAGCTGTGGGGGACACGAGAGGGCCACCTTGGGATCCACCAGGAGATGGGGGATGCAAGCACGCAGCCATTCCCGCTCAGGGATCTGAACGTTGTTAGTTGGTCAGAAGTCAAAGCCGAAGCAAGATCAATGAGGCTACTAACCATATCGGCGTCTAGTGCTGCGATCAATTCACTTGCTCCTCCAGGCAAATATTCCACTTGCTCGAGGCCGTAGTTGAGGTTGCCAGCCTTGAAGTGGTGTGGCTTGCCAGGAATCTTTTCTCGTGCCATGTAGAAGATGTTGGGATGCATGGTAGCCAGCTCACCAACAGCAGAGGCCAGGGATGCAGATCTGGCGTCGTCCAGCACGACAACTCTGAACTTATCGAGGGGGTAATCTTGATCAAGGGCACCACGGATGGTATCGAGAACAACAGCATCGTCTTCTCCGCAACAGGTGACAAAGACGTCCACAGAGGGGACTTTCTCGCCAGTCAGCCTAAGCTTGGGCCTGCTTCTTTTCTTCCATGCCATGATAGTCCAACAGTTATGGATCAGAGAGGGTATAGCCACAGCCATCTCAATGGCGACAAAGACCCATGCTCCGCCATAGTAGATATCGACCGACCTTTGTGCCATAACGATACAGTAAATACGCAGACCAAGATAAAACAAGTACACGACTGTGTTGATCATGGTAAAGAGGGGAGCGAGGGCGAAGACCCATCGCCTCCACCCGGTCGAGATATCGACATCATCTCGATTATGAAGAATAGCTATGTTTGAAGCGCCCGGGGGACTTGAATGGCTCTCGTCAACCTGGGCTTCCTTATACTAGACATCGGCCAGGGAAAGCCCGTTAGCTTGAACATGATCACCCATAAAAGAATTGAAACGAAGAGAGTAAATACCAAGGACGATGAACCTGAAGGGACATGTGTGAACGATCTTGCCGTATCAGAACTCTCCATGGACGTATGTCCTGGCGGGATTGGTATCACGCCTTTGGTATATTCCTCCTGACATACGAAGCTGTTTGGGTTGTGTTCACTTTCATAGATGTTCGCAACTATTTTCTCTTGATCTTGAAGACCCTCGTGGTGGTCAACCATCTTGAGACTGGTCTTGACTTCAAGCCTTTACTGTGAAAGTATAATCGCTTAAATTATGCTCTGAGGACCAGGGCCAGCACAGGCAGGCTGCGAGAGAGTTTTATACATCGTGCGATGGCTTCCTACTAGCCAAGCAACATTTCTCAGCCGTAAAGGTCGCTTACACAAATCCCGATAGTATGGGTAAGTCAATGGCGACAGCGAAAGCTAAACTTGCATAACGCAGGTTCAATTGATGTGATGTATTGATTGCCGACTGCAAGGAACCCGCTCATCCGCGCCTTCGAAGGGGGGGGAGGTAGATGTGCGGAATCAGATGTTGTATACCTCATTAGGGTTTGCGAGCGATACATCTCCTGCAAGGCGGCAAACTATAAGATCTCGGAGATCTTAAACTCAACAACCGTCGATCATCCACTACTTTTACCGGCGGGGGGCCTCAAACTATTGAAGCCTCTTCGTTAGCGCAGCACGCTAATGGTATACGATATCAGAAACATGGGCTTAGCTGAGCTTGACTCTTTCCCTAAGAATAGCCCTAGCTGTGATCCGGATCACTACGAGCCGACCAACAACAAAATGTAAAAGTCCCACCGGACGCCCCAGGATTCTCTCGTAGATTTCTAATTGAATCAAGGCAACATGGCTCTTCAGATCCTCGTCAACGCTGGCCTGCTGGCCCTCCCAATTGCTGGCTCTGTTGGAACTCTTTTGGGGATTGACGCTCACCGTCAAGCAACAGGACAACGGCCTCTATTCGCCGGTGATATTAGTAATGATGGAAGTACCTCTCGCAATGGTATCACGAACACACGCTACTGTGACTTATTTAATCCTATTTCACCGACGTCAAAGGGCCAGCTGTATACATGTAAGTCCGTGGGCTGCTGGCAGTGCTTTGGGCAAATGTTGACTTGGGAATATAGTGAACCCCAACCAGTGGGGCGTGACACCAGATACAACAGGCGGATTATGCATGAATGTAAGTGTTCCTCCGTCACTCCCTCAACTATGCTATCAAGAGCCATACTAAACATGTATATCCGATCCAGATCACCACAATCGCCAATGGCTCCTACCCGACCAATGCATCAGCACCAGAGTTTTCAGTGACATGGCAATTCGACCAGGAAACAAAGGACCAGGTCGTGCATGCATTCCCGAACGTTCAGGTTGACAATGTCCTTCCAGCTTTACTTGCGGACGTCCAGCACCTGAACATCGATATCCATTGGACATATGGCATGGGCAATAAGACCGTGAACATCACGGATGACGCGAAGCTCAAGGACGTCAATACCAACGTCGCTCTTGATATGTTCTTTGATACCGACATGAAGACCGCGAAGAACGTTTCCCTGGCCAAGTACGAAATGATGATCTGGTTTGCGGGTTATGGTAAAGCCAAACCCTTCGGGTATGAAGATGGTATTGTGAAAACTAAAGACCTATATGGCACGACATTGTAAGTGTCTCCTGTCCCATTGCTGGACTAGACTTATACTGACACTTCTACAGCCAACTGTATACTGGTCAGAACGATCTTAAACAGGAGGTCCTGACGTGGTACGCGGCAAACACTACGGAGAAGTTCAACGGGGATATTCTCCCTCTTGTCTCGGACCTGTACACCCTCGGGAAAGGTGTCGACTTATCCGAGAAGGATTATCTGGGAGTTCTGAGTTTGGGTACTGAAGCGTTCTCGTCGCATTCGAACGTTACTTTCTGGATGCCAAGGTTATCCATTGATATCCAGACTTGAGAGTGGAAGACATAGACTGTGTGTGTTTTAGATGCTACTACGTTTGTAAAGTCATAGAGAGCAAGGAGCTCGGGATTAATTCAATATATTTCGTTGTTATACCCTGAAAGAAACAAGCTATAAACAGAAGCCTTGGCGACTATCATTATCATTGAGGGCCACTTCGATATTATTCAAGACATAAACAAAACCCCTCCATTCTTTCGGGAAGCTGAATCTGACCAATACTAATGATATAGTATCCACTCGCGTGCATCTCGCTTGTTTGCCTCTTGACTAGTGGAGCTGAACTCGTTCGATAAGACAAGTCTCACCGAAAGAACTATAAAGAGATAGTATCTACCTCGGTGAGACGATCTGCGAACTATGCTCTCAGGGGGTTGCGTCTATTTATGTATACCGCAAAACCCTAAAGTGCCCGGAAACTACAACCGGAACGCCATAAATGCTATCGCACGTTGAGTCTGCGCGTCATGGGTCACTAATATAGATAGCCCTGGATTTATCAAGCACGGGATAGTAGCGTCATAAACTCTAAAAAAGAAGGAATGCCGGTGGGAGTATCTCCGGAGGAGTCCGATATGGTCCAGGGCTATCCCGCTATCCATGAAAGATCGGCACAAGGCACCCGATGGTTAGCTGCAAGGGATGCCGGCGGGGCTATCAATAAACTGTCTTCCTAAGACAAGTAGCCTTATCTGTTGATTTCACATGCAGGGTCTGCATCCATGTTGCTGTCGGCAGTGTGCGATGCACCTCCTTCCGCATGGCACGTCAAGACCACATCCAGCAGCTGGTTCGGGTTCAGCGGCTTCGACACATACTCATCCATCTCTGCTCCGAGACGATCGCCAGTGATGGCATCGGCTGTAACCGCAATTATCGAGGCGCGCTTTGTGTTGTGGGTTCTCTCGTAATTCCGGATCTTGGAAACTGCTTCGAACCCGTCCATTACTGGCATTTGGATATCCATGACGATCACGTCGAACTGTCGGCTTTGGTACGCTTGAAGCGCCTGAAGACCGTTCGTGACGACTGTAATGTCACTGGTGCACTTCTCGAGTGCTTTGACTGCCACTAATCGGCAGATATCATTGTCCTCTGCTATGAGGACTGACAAAGGCGTAGTTTGGCTAGGTTTGGGGTGTCTAGGGCGATCCTGCAGGGCGCTAAGTAGGGAACTCAGAACACCTTCGGCAGAACAGGGGGAAGTGATGTATGATACGATACCCAGGTCGAAAGCTGACTTTATGGAGATCTTGAGGGAATCTGACGGTGTGCGATTGAACAAGACAAAGGGTGTCGAGCCGAAGTGTCCATGAGCCCGTAGTGCGCAGGCTATTTCAAGAGTTTCCACTATCAGGGCATCCGGAAGATGCCGTTGATCCCGGTGCTCCTGGATTTGGATATCATGCTGGTTTATTACACGCACTTGGATCTCAAGCTCAGTTATAGTCTCGCATATAGGGTGGCTCTCTTGACCCTCTGCTGTGACGTAGAAGATCATACAATTTTTGTGAGATTTCGTCCGTTCAGTCGTGGCAGCATGTGGGCTTTCAAGCTTCAACGGACAGGTAAAGGAAAAAATGCTGCCGGTGCCTACAGTAGACTGAACCCAGATATCACCACCCATCAAGCTGACGAGCTTCCTGGATATATCCAAGCCAAGACCTGTACCGCCAAATTGTTTAACCACGGAATCATCTGCCTGTTGGAATTTCTCGAAAATGATTTCCAACTTATCTTGTTGGATGCCGACCCCAGTATCGGCAACAGAGAACTCCAGGACGCATTCGTTGTCGGTCCATGTCCGCTGATGCGCAGCCTTTATGGATAGTTCAATTCTCCCATTCTTGGTGAATTTGACTGCGTTTCCAACCAAGTTGAAGAGAATCTGACAAAGGCGGTTTGGGTCCCCAATGGCTTGTTGAGGCACACGACTGCTAACTTCATAGGTAAGGTCGGTCTTCTTCTTGCTCGCCTCAACTGCCAGTGGCTTTAGCGTGTTCAGGACTGTTGAGCCAAGGTTGAATGGAATACTTTCGATCGCCATACGACTGGCTTCTATTCGTGACAAATCAAGAACGTTGTTAATATTTGCCAACAGACTTTTTCCCAAGCTATGAATCAGATTAAACGCGTCGTGGGCAGCCGTTGGAAGACAACCCGCTTCCAGCCCTAACTGAGCCATACCCATGATACCATGAACGGGCGTGCGAATCTCATGGCTCATGGTAGCAAGAAGTTCAGACTTGCTATGGTAAGCTATTTCGACAGCTTTCCTGGCAGAATCACAATGTTCCTCCCGTTTATCCACAATCGAAGTCATGGAGCGAATGCTATTTTTGAGCTTGATTATCTCGTCAAACGTGCGGACGCCGATATACTTTTCGAGCCCATGAGATACCGCAGCATCTGGAAGCTCCGTACAGAAACGATCCGGTCTAGGGTCGGTATTGGATGCATCGATAACTTCTGCGTCGATCTGCTGTTCCGGTGTCTCTTCTACCTCCGTTCCGCCGCGGAATGGTTCGCACAGATCCAAGCTTCGAGGAAGTTCCGCCAAGTCCTCATCGAAGTTGCAGGAGATGTTGACCGTATCGTCACTCCATTCCGTCACTGGGCACTCTGTTGATGTGTTTTCCTGACCAGATTCATTCGGGATATCACCCGGAGCCTCCCTACTTTGCACCAGGGGCTGAGTTCGCCTGTTAGCCCATTCATTTAGCCCCTTCTCCAAGACACACTGCTCTATGGCCACCTAATTATATATGTGGTCAAGCAAAACTGGAGTTGTGACACTTACCTCTGAAAGTTTGTTCCCAACGAATGCTGTTATTTCTTGCCTCGTTCGACACAGCTCCTCGGCGACAAGGTCGTCAACCCTCCTATAAGTTTCCAGCTTACATCTTACCGACAAATAGTCTGCTTCCACTTGTGCTAGTGCTCGCTCTGTATGTGCAGATTGAGTCACCGCATCAAGAATAGTGGAGAGAACGTCTCGCGGGATTAGAATGTCATCCCCCTCTTGACATAGGGCGTCATGGATATGCGACACAGCGGCATCGAGAGGCAATTTTCTGAACATATTAGATGCACGATCCACTTTGTTATCTGCGTCGCTGTTTCCGCCGAGAATTCGTTCTCAAGGGGCAGCTTCAGGCGTGCCACACCCGGCACAGTGGACACCTTTGCTCTGACACTTGCTAAGTTGTAACGCTGGCAGAGTCAGCCAATAACATTGAACTGAGCTGATTTCATCGATGCTATCCAGACAACTCACCCCTGGCTATCCACCGAACTGTTTCCTCGGTACTCCAGAGACCCGGACTTGGGGGGAAGAATGCTAGTTTGTGCGGAACATTCTGGCTCCTGAGCCAACGCAGAGCATAGCGTCAAAAGCTTCCTCGTCAATCACCCTGTGATCTTTCCAGCTTTGATGTCAATCAGAAAATTGAAGTGATAGGTATATTACTCTATCGGAAATACATCCAAGTAGAGAAAATGGAAGCAAACGGGCACACCCACAAGGCTCCCCTCGCGAGGCGCCAAAGATTTTCAGTGCCGGATGCAACTCTAAGCAGAATACTAAAATAGTACAGCATGACATCACACCAATCTTCTAGGCCCTTTTCCTCGGGATTCTAGGAAGTAGAATTCTTTAGCTTCCATTGGATTTGCGCCCCATCTCGGAAGCGCCGCCTAAGCAATAGTGGATTTTTCGGCCACTAGGGATGTATAAAGATACGCAGGTGACCCGATCCAGCCTTACTAGAACCTCAGGGAAAATGACCCCCCCTATAATAGAGAGCCGTAAACTCTGAGCCAGGAGGATGGACCCTGGTCAAGCACCGCGTGGCTTGCTTTCTTTCCTGGCCCTGACATCATTGTCGATCCACCACGCTGAAGGACGCTTGGAACTAGTGTTCGCCTAATCGCAAGAATGTTACTCTATTTAGTGATCAAGGCACTGACGCACTACTGCTCGCTACTCGGGATTATGTCCACGGATTGTTTGTTCTTATTACAGCATGGATCAGCATCCACCATGTCGGGATTTGGGCTTCGGTTATCCGGTGTGGTTGGATTGCAATGAATGAGGGCAAAAATAGAAAACAAGGTGTCGAGAATGTAGGATTCCTAGTGCTTTGATTCTTCCCCTTCCTTGCTTGGTAATGATCGTCCCTCGTCTTTTGCTGACTCGATGCATCGAATATCTTTCGTCCATGCATTGTAGTCTGTACTCCATACATTGGGCTTCAAGTTGTTATAACTCCTTCAGGCTCCGGCCAAAGTATACTCAGGGAGCTGATCGGCACGAGCGTGATGACAGTAGATGACAGTAGCTCCTCCGTATATATCCCCGATAGAAAAAGACTCTAAGGAGCGTACAAACAAGAAACATAGTATCGACATCTCAAACGAAAGAAAAAGCCCCGTACAACGCTACCCAATACCAAAATTACTCCACAATGAATCACCCACCAAACCGATAGGGCACCAAGCATCATGTGCCAAAGCAACCGAACTCAACATGAACCAGTTAACAAGGTCCAACCACCACCAAAACTCAGTCAATGTCTTCTACACCCCGATCGGAAGTTAAATCCGATCAAATCAGCCCAGCAGTCTGATAGGCCCATCGCCCTCTGGTACCTCGCGACTAGTATCCATGTGGGTCTCCCTGTTTGGGACTGGAAAGAGGGTCTGGAAGCTTCCCTGCAATTTCGCCTGGTGCTGATCGCCTGGCGACCCGTTATCGTTAGGCATACATTTCTGCTGCCCAGCGTCTGCGTTAGAGGGCTTCCGCGCTCGTTCAGGATGCCGCATTGGAAGGGTGTGAAGTTCTGGAATCTTTCAGGGGTAAGTTGAGCCCGCTGCTGGGTGGCATTGGAAATTGAGATTTAGGGGTAGATTTAGTCAGGTTACTTTGTTTAATGAATTGTAGACTTGATATTTTATGCAGTGTCTTGTGTAGCGATGTAACAATAGTGTGTCTCTGCGTTGGAGGGCCATTGAGTTTGACCTGATCGTCGAAGTCTATGGTAGTTGAAGTGTAATCTAGCTTAATTATGCAGAGACGTACCGATATAGCCGAAATGTGCTCGAGCCTCCAATGTCGAAAATTTAAAATCTCCTAGGATGTTCGGAAAGGACCTAAATCTACTTTGTAGCCGATGGCCTGCTTCAGATGCAAAGTATCCTTCCTATCTATGCCGAGCTTAGTGCCATGGTCAATGCGAAACCAAGCTTGCAATCTCAAACATTGTTACTTTTAAAAAAAAAAAAAAAAAAAATAACATAAACTATACTCAAGCTAGATTCATAATTTCTATACAAAGGAAATCCGTTGATACAAAAGAAACTCGTTATATACACCACTTCCAACACCATATTCACAAAACCTTTCCAGTGTAAACAGAGACTCAACTTTCAAGTCCTCAAATCTCTTGCTCCCTCCGACAAGGCCTGACTGCCCACCGCCCAGGGTGGAAAGAACTCACTCCTGGCCTGGCCCGTAGCATCATACTGCGCCATATCCAGATCCGGGGTTTGAGCTGGCGGCTGCAATGTGCATTCGACCGTCTCGACCGTCAACCTGGCTCGCACCGGCCCCGGCGGAGTACGGCGAGGACCACTCTCTCCAGATGCGCTTCCATCGCTATCCTCGTTCTCCTGGAACCAACTGTCTTCGCTCGCAATGGTCTCCAGGTCCCACGCTTGCTTATTCGTCCTGCACGGGTTAAAGGGTGATGAAAGACGCTGCTGCAGAGGGCCAACGCTCGGTCCGTCAGAGTGTGTTTCTGATATTGTCTCGGGTTGTCGTGGACTTTCGTTTTCGGTTGCGCTGCTCGTGGTCGTGATGTTGAGTTTGCTTGGTTTGCGTTCGAGCTTTTTGGCAGATGCTAGGTCTGGTCGCGCCGGCGTTTTCTGCTTAGGCTTTGGCAAGCTGACCGGAACTTGTGGCGTCCCTGGTCTGTCTGGAATGGAAGATAACGCTGTGGATGATGGTGGCGGACGCGACTTGGGCACTTCACGGGCTGCAGGCTGAGGGGTTGGGGTGTCGACCTTCTTCTGAACTGGAGGTTTCTTGACCGGAGGATCCGGTTGTTCAATTATCGGGCGAGGCTTGTAACTGGCCATCAAGGGGTCGACTGGTGAGTTCGCCCGGGAAAGCTCGCTTGGTACCTCCGTGATGGGGGTCAACAGACCCGGGTCATCAATAATCGATATGTCGTCCTCACTCGGCAGAAAGCTGAACTGAGAAGTAGATATGGGCGGCAACGAACGCGAGGGCATGTCGGGTTGTGAGATTCTGAGGTCTTTCAAGCTCAGTTCCCCAGGTCTTTTGCTCGCGGCGGATTTAAGTAATGGGGGTTTGTCTTCTGTGGCTGGCACACGAGGCACCTGGTGAGATGGGACTGGGGGTCGGGCGTCATCAACTGCTTGAAGGGATTCCGGATCTGCCCCAGCACCCGGCCAAGGAGTTGGAGGGCGTGATCTCAGCTGGTCGACGGCGCTTTGGGGAGGCGTATCACTGGGATCGCCCAGTCCTTGCGACTCTAGGAATCTCTTGACTTTGTCTTTGGGGCCAACGGCAAATGGAGGGAATGTCGTCAGGCTGTCGGCGTCGGCCTGCTGGGGCAGTGAGTGGCCCGCTCGGGATTCCGACGAGATTTCTTGTGAAGCATGCTTAGGGGCCGTGTGTAGTTTGCTTTCCATGGAAGTCTGGGTGGTAGAGGCACGTTGGTTGGTTCGTGGCTTGATCGGCGCCTCTGGCTGCTTCGACGATGGCTCCTTAGGTCTGTCAACTTTACCATCCTTGCCGTTTCCCCTGGATGGCACTGAAGGACGCTGGTCTTGTACGGAGTGACAAGCGCCCGACTTCGAACGTGTCTCACCCGACAAGGCTGCCTGGGCTGGCGATGACAGTACTTTCGAAGTAACGCCTCGCGAGGCTTTCAGTGCCGACGAGCCTGGTACCATTGTCTCGACGCCCGTTCTCGTCTACCGGCGTGCTCTGCCCGTTGCTTAAAAGAGCAGTCTTTCATTCAAAGGCTGAACAAGCTACAGATAATGGCCGGAATGGGGAAATATAGCCATGATATTGCGCGACGCGGCTGCCTCGTCTGGCAGGGGTCTACTAAAAAACCTCCGTACCTGGGCATAATGATGCCCAATTGATTTACGAGTCGCGTCCACACTCCACCATAGCTCAGCCGAAACCACTCAATCACCGACGAGAAAAATCACGCTGATCGTTTTACACAGTAATGGCAGAAGGTGATTGATGGTTCGGTGGAGCTAGGGCGTCAACGCAACAATGTTGGGGAGCGCAAGCAGCACTGAATAGCTCCCTGCAGGTGATTTCCAGAAGCCTAACTGGCTCCACCAGCGACTTAGTGGCTGGCTCTATCGCTTCTGTTCCGTAGAATAGGGTTATTCTAGCGTAATATCACGTCGAGAAAAAGGGGCTCCCGAGACACTGTGGGACCCGAAGAGACATACCGTTAGAGCCCATGTGTTGTTGGCCCACAACGCCGAGACCCAAATCCTCTCATTTTTTTTTTACCGGATTGCTTCGCTTGGTAGCTATCATTTCCTGGTGATATGTATGGCCTTCAGGGCTCAAAAATGGCAACGCCGGATGCACTATCGTTTTGGTCTTATCCACCATGATGTCCACCAGGCGACGACACCCAGAGATTCCACTTAGTTTTTCGACTGAGATGCCTGTTTAGAGTACGATCGTAATTATCAAAGCATTATTAAGCACGTCTCTATCCAGACTATCCATAAATTGCCCGCGTCTACCGCGGCCAGTGTTTTCTCTTTGCTGGGATACTTCTATCCTCTCCATCACTTCCTTTGTCTTTCTTCCTAGAAAAAGAAGACACAAAAAAAGAACAGAAAAGAAAAGGAAACGGTACCCAAACCAACTAGATAAGGAAAAAAAAAAAAAAAAACATACCCATCACTTTCCAACACACAGCCATGCATCTGTGTATGCATCGCAGCCGCCATGCAGATAAGCAAGCTGCAGTATCAAAGCTACTATATCAGGAACGCCGCAACTGCCCAACCCAAATTAACTTTCTGCCAATGTAACCCAAAGCTCGTGTCAAGTCGGTTAGAACGTAGCTGTCTTCTAGAAAGGCCAGCTTTGGGCCCACCTTTGGTGCTCGTACCCTGGTTCCGAGCTCCTGCGCTCCACTGCTCTCTACCCAACCGGTGGGGACTTCGCGGCGTTGTCCAGATTTGGCTGTTTCAGAAGGGGGGGTTTTATTTCTCAAGAGCTAATCTGCTGATTTTGTTTATTTGGGTGAAAGGATTTTGGGTGTTGTGTGGGGAGTGTGAGTGTTTTCTTGTTTAGCTTGCAGTAGTGTGGTGGCTATTAACATGGTTAATAGGAATGTTGTATGGATATTCGGCTTGGGATTCTGTTAAGGTTATTTGTCTAGCCAGAGCTGGATATAAGGTACTCAGCTGTCGAATGAAGTAGGCTTTTGGGCACAGTTCACATTTCTGAGGAGCTGTTCTAGTTTATATGGCTACCGGCCATAAGGCCCGCATCGAATTCCAATGTCCAAACAAAATTTCAATTAGAACGTTGAATAAAGCCCTGCTCAATGCATGTTCTGCTAAAGTATGACAGCTATATCTCTCAGTTAGCCCACGTTCCTGTTCCTTTTATCGCACAATGGCGATGTAGCTTGCCCTGTCGGCAAACTTTTGCCTCTCGTCTGGGTCCTTCGGACAACCCATCTCATCATACTTCCATGGAACATCCATAGCAGGGGGAACCACCGACATAGACAGAGGAAATTCACACGATACTTCGTATGGCCCGGCGAATGCCGTCTCCCAATCAATGACACCCAGCAAGCGGTAAGTATCGTCGAACACCATATTGTTGTGTCCAAAATCACCATGACATAAGGGAAACGGACCTGTGTTATTGACTGACAGACTCTTCGCGTTGTCGTTCACCCATTCTCGAAAAGCCGACAGAGAAAGTGAGATTTCCTCAGCGTATGGGCCCGCGGTGTCTCGAAGTTGACCTTCGGAGAGACCGAATTCCACTTTAGTAGACCAGGCTCTGAAAAACTCCGCCGCAGTGTCGAACGGACCCCCGAGAATGGGTAACGGTCCTTGCCGGTAGGTCCCATCCTCGTTGATCCCGGCAACTTTCCCGATTTTCGGCAATCGAATATGAAACAGATCAAGCTATGTGGAGAAAGATTAGAACAGTAGTTAGGCGTGACAGCGACGATTACATACCTGAATTTCGGCTATTTGGGCGTAAACGTCCAGCTTGTGTTCCGGGGGAAGATTGATGCTCAAGTCTATGCCGGCATTGCCTCTGAGGCAGCCCATGAGTATGAACTGTGCCCCAACACTGGAGTATGGGTCGGCCTCGAATAGATAGACATGCGGAAGAGGGATGTTGCTCTCTCTTTGAACAAGACTGATCATTCGGCACTCACTCTCTATTATTGTCCGTGTTTTTGCTGCTTCGTCGTCTTCTTGGTCAACGGTGGCATCCGGAGTCTGACCATGCATCGTATATGGTCTGCGAATTCAATGGCTCGGACCATATGATTGTATCCCAGGCCAACGTCCGGGAGTAATCGGCAATCCAACCCGTTCCTCTGCGCAGAGGCACGTTGGATGAGTGAAGTCCAGTTGATAGATTCCAGGAACCTTTGGGCCCGTGATCTTAGGGGCCCCTCGTTTAGAGACGAGAAGTAGGACCACCGGTATCCAGTGAAATGCTCCTTTTGATCTGAAAAATCGCCCTGCATCATGGTTGCGCTGGTCTGCAAGACCATATGGCAATGGAATAAGCTTATATGGATTAGGTCAGACTGATAACGCTCATCTCAGAGTAGGACGATAGCAATGTCCAAATTATAGGGTTTATATAAAGAAGCGTGCTACCCCACATCTTCTTCCAAAGCAGCAAAAGAATGCTAAGTTCACCAGCCAGACTTCTTGTTGGTTCTACCCAATCAATAGCCCTATCAGATTTTCATGCGTGTAAGTTCTGGTAAGGCCCATTTTTGCATCCATTCGCATTCCAAGACTTCCATAGCCGTCAGCCTCTCCTCGGGCCGAAACGCCAACATAGCATGGAACATAGCGAACAAGGCAGTCTTCTCCTCCGGCCCTATTTCACCCATGCCAGACTGCCGTCGTGGCTCCTGCACTGCATCATGGAATCGCTGCACCAGTGGCCTTGCGGTTGCGCCACTGTGTCTCGTGCCATCCTCGTTGAACCACTGCGCCCGAGAATTCCACTGTAGCCACCATTGCGGCGGCAGCTTCCCAAGCGCATCAACGTGCTCCTTAATCATCCAGTCAGCTGATGGATGAAATCCTTCAAAAAGAGGTCGCTGGCCCATGATTGTCCAAATCGTACATGCCAGCGTCCAGATATCAGAAGGAAAGGAAAGCAGCTTATTAGGTTCACAATGGACTTCTGGAGGAGCTAGAGTATCCGGGACGTTCGAGTAATACCGTTTACTACTAAGCGGCGTAAAGGACTCTCCGAAGTCGGTCAGGAATAGTTGAGCTTCTGGTAAAGAAACAAGTTCGGCTTTTTTCCCTAGCCAAGCAGGTACAACAACATGTGTGGGACAACCTTGAGGGAGGGAGCCCTGGTCTAGACGGATGACAGGCTCATAATGCGGTTGTCCACATCGCTCGTATAGCTGCTCTTTCGAGAGTGTGTCTATACTCTCCGACAGACGGATCAGGATGTTGCCGGCATGGAGATCTTGCAGTACGTCCAGTATATTAGGAAAACATTCAAAACACACACTCCTTCCCCAAATACAACTTCTGAAGATGGACTCTTACCACCATGAGCAATGCCCTCGGAGTGTAGGAACGCCACAGCCTGGACAAGTTGGGCAACGATCCCCCTGGCTACAGGCAGTTGGAAGAGCCGAATATATGAAGCATCTTTGGCCTCGGCCAGACTCATCATTCCTGGTACTGTGACCAAACACTGGTGCGTACCATTCGGGCCAGAAAGAAGGAATTCGTCCAATATAGGTGGCATCAACGCCTTTCCCGGGTGTCCGTCAGCCTGAGAACGCACGATATCCAGCTGACGCAAGATATTGCTCTCCTGGGAGTCCACCGAGTCAATTGATGATACCGAAATCTTGATTGCGACATATTTGCTAGCTTGTTGGTCTCTCGCCAACCATACCGTTGAGTACGCACCGAACCCAAGCTTATGGATGATGCAGTACCGGTCTTTCAGTTGCTGTCCCACGATTACTGGATGGTATCCTCCGGGACGGTATCGCTCGAGCTTCTCTACCTCGTCGATATGCATATATTCGACACTACTAAGGGAAGACTGCATTCTCTTCCTACTCACTGTACAGGACTTGAGACGGGAAATTCCGCGGGCAGTGCTGGTAGGGCGGAAGACAGGCATAGAAAACAGTCATAAGTGCCGCTTCTTGGCGATTAGAAGATTCTGTGCTGTAGAGAGGCGAAAGGCTGTTAAGAATGATTGAGGCTTCGATCAATAATGCGCGTTCCTGAGACTTGGCAGTAAATAAATGGCCACCTGCAACATCCCGCGGAATTCTGCAGCTCCGCGGCATTCTTCCCTCGATTCACGACGCCATTAGCATAACTGTTACTTACTATTATTCCTTGCAAAAAGGAAAACATAAGAGGTTTTCTGTATGGGTCTGCGGGAAAACGCGTGATTTAACAGAACCCAAATTGGTGACAGCGAATCCAAGCTTTGGGGGGATAAAATGTCCACATTTGTAGAGCTACAGGATTTCAACTTCTCTATCATTGGCCTACTCCCTATCCCTTAGACTGTTGTTCTATAGAATAAGGCGTGCTTGGGCAGTATATCCTTACATGCAATGATCCACAAGGATAGTACTCATATTAATCCCTGCCTCCTGGAACTAGGCATGTAGCCACTCGGACTCCTGGTCCAAATGATCGGCTTCATATTCGACTACATCAATAGTCTTCCCTATCAATAAACTCCCATTTGGCCTTCACCGCATGATGCAACTTCCTCATAGGCCAGGCATGGATGGCTTTAGTCTTCTCAATGACAGCCTCCAGTGCTTCTCGCTCCCTCGGATCAGTGAAATACTCGCCGTAGAGTATGATGCTAATCACTGCATTAACCAGGGCGGGCGAGAGGCTCTGGTGGCTGAGACCAATCCCGCAAATGTTGAGCACTATCGATCTGACTTGTGCCTCAACCTTGCGGTGTGCAATGCGGCAATGTGGATCGTTTCTATGAGTCAATCAACATTCAAGTGTTAGGTAAAGAGACGAGGGAGAAGGCATTAGACGGCAGCATACCTAATATTAGGGTTTTCCGCGATCAAGATCATTCGAGCGATTTCATAGTGCTGGGCGCCAAATACTTGTGCACTTGAGCAGTACCACACAGTCGAAAATATCTCCCCCTTGGCCTTATCGGCCTTTTTGTCTAGGATGGGAACGAACTCAGGCATAAGTTCCGTGGTGATTGAGTGCAGGTTTTCCTTTAGTACGGCTGTATTCAAGGTAGTCAGCTGTATGTACACATTCCAGCAGAGCTGGTTGAAGCTCACCCCAGTCTAGTGGCGACCTGTCCCCCAGCCACCATCTCGTTACATCTCCGGCAAATAATATCAGTTTGTTGGCAGCAGAGGCACTCTGGCGCTTATCTTGGTCGGGTGTCATTCGGGGGAAGCGCTGCATAGCTAATGCATAGTAGATCTCCTGTCTAATAGCTATCCAGAAGACAGCATTGGCGAAGCTGTGATGCGTAGGTATTGAGACAGTGGTTTCTATGATGGCCTGTATGATGGCAAGGAAATTAACGGGCTGCTGGTCGCGAGCTCCAGTGCTGGTATCAATCTCCTCCTCCTCTTCAATCTCTTCATATTGTCGCAGGATCACGGCAGCTGCCATAATGTTCTCTTGGTATTCTCGGTCACAAATCTTATGGAAGTCTAAGAGCGCGGGTATGCATTTTAGCATATACTCAACCGCGGTAGACGTCGACAGATGGGGAAGAACCTGTCCTTGATAGCTCGGTCCTCTGGATGTTCTGTATTGCGGCAAACGACTGAGGTGGCGCGATGCGACAGCATAGATAGCATTCTGAAGTGGAGGGCAATGTCGGGCGCGGTGCGGAACCACTACTTGAAAATGTCTCCTGTCGTCACAGACGTCAAACTATGCTTCTGTTAGCTTCGGCTTAACATCGCACGCTGTGTATACTATACCCAGGGAGAAAGTTCCTCGATAAAGTACCGCAGGAGACAGGCTTCTTGTACGCTCTCAAATGGTTCGAGGGCCGCATCGCTAGAAGTGGGAGTAGGGCTGTATCCAGACTGAACTGGTACACTGCAAGAATTGGTCCCCTCACTACTGTCACGGTAAACTATTTCCTCTGGGCTCCCCGACGCAGACAGAGTATGGGCATGAAAGCTTGTATCAGATTCATCTGGTAGCTGGGGGCTGAATTCACTTGTAACCGAATCCTGCAACGACTCATCTTCTCTATATGCAGGTCCAGTTAGACTTGAAACATCATGCGTTAACTGATCGGCTTCGCATGCTGTGATAGCTAGAGCATGTAGACGCTGGTTTTCAGAAGCAGTGAAATCAAAGCAATGAGAGAGCTCTGAAGAGAGCTGTGCTGTTGGACTCGTGTGGGGGATGGTAGAAGGCCCGTGGTCAGTGTGCCCAATGGAATAGTCAAACTGGACATGGCTGACAACAGATCTGCCTGTATCATGTACACGTAGCCGAGCTACGAAAGCCGATCAGTCATCAAAGCCTCGTTAGCTTATTGGAATTCCTCCAGAAGGTTGCTCACCTCGTTTAGGCCTACTGTTCACCCAATGCTGGTCTTCCGAAAAATGGGCAGTGGACCCTTGGCGGAAAATCTGTCTTTTCGATACTACAACACAGTCTAGATTCTTCGCTTCACATCGTCCACACTTGGGTGCTTGCTTATCACCTGTAAGTTAAGCACGTTATGATCAGCATGGTCTCCGTCCATTCTATGTATGCACTGATGCAAGGGTGTAGCATCCAATAGCATCCAAATACGAGCCACATTTGTCTTTCTCTCTTCTAAGGTGTTCAAGAGCTAGACCTGCACTGCTGTCACTAGCACTACTTTAGTCTTACATTTCAGATGTTTGTCTGTCGGATGAGTTAGTACGAAAGAGCGTATTGGGGGGACTACAACGACTGACCACGGCAATTCCAGCATGGTTCTTGAACTGCTCGACTCCGCTGCATTGGCACCATCTCTCCGTCGGCGACGATATCCAGACAAGGTTAAATTGATCTGGCAATAGAAAGGCCATGGTCACTGAGTGAGTTTCAAGTTGGCTGAAGACATAAACCGCGGCGGGACCTTCCGTATCGGGAAATCTTGCAGGTCAAATGCGGGGAACAACGCCAACGCCATCTTAGGAAGATTTCCCCGCTGTCACTCTCAACTATACTAGATGTGGAAAATGTCGCCGTGAAGACACTCTTTCGAGTATCAGCTGTGTATAGAACAACAGAAATGAAGCATCACGACGTCGCAGTCCACATACCTGGATAAAATGCTTTCAAGGGTATATATAGGCGGTACCATGTCACGGATAATCTCCAACACAATCAATCATCTTCTGTTAGACAAGTTAGACAGCGAAGGACAATATGGAACAACTCTCGATTGCAGTTGCTGGCCTTGGCCGGATGGTAAGTCTGCAAGCCATAATATCTCGAGATCGGTCCTAACAGAGATACACGCAGGGTAAACGCCACGTCCATACCTTGATCTACCGGGTCCCTCGTGCGCGTGTTGTGGCTGTATGTAGCACAGTGCCCGAAGAGGTGGAATGGGCAAAGAACAACGAAGAGTACAAAGAGTTCGGCATTGCGGTATACAGCAACTACGATGATATGCTGGCTCATCAAGGACTCAATGCCGTTTGGGTCTCCACCAGTACGGATGTGCACGCAAGCCAGACATTGGCTGCCATCGAAAAGGGCATCCACGTCCTCTGTGAAAAGCCATTGAGCACAGATCTGAAGGAGGTATGCAACAACCACCGGCGGAACCCCAGATCTCTAGATCGCAAAAGAATGCTGATATATTTGGTTCAAATTAGGCTCAATCTGTCGTCGATATCGCCAACCAGCACCCAGAACTCAAGGTGATGGCTGGATTCTCCCGCCGATTCGATGCCTCATACCGCGACGCTAGTGACAAGATTTTCCAGGGGCAGGCCATCGGAAGCCCATTCATGGTTCGCTCCAACACTTGCGACCTTCGTGACGACACCGGATTCTTTGTGCGTTATGCAGGCCGCAATGGTGGTATCTTCGTGGATTGTGCCATCCATGACATTGATTTATCCCTTTGGTATTTGGGCAACCCCGTACCAAAAGCCTGCTGGGCCGCTGGGACACTGCAGCACCACCCAGAACTGAAGGATCTGTCGGATGTTGACAACGCGGTGGGAATGGTGGAGTTCTGGGGCGGGAAGATTGCATACTTCTACTGCTCACGAACCCAAGCCCACGGACATGATGTGTGCACAGAGATCACTGGCTCTGATGGCAAGATCATGGTGAATGTCATGCCCCGAAGCAACCATGTGGTGGTCGCCGACAAGTTGGGCATGAGAAACCAAGTGCCGCCCGAGTACTGGCAACGTTTTGAGGACGCTTTTGCTGTGGAAGCAAACGAGTTCACCGAGGCAGTTCTGAAGGACAAGCCTGTGCCTTTGCCTCTTGAAAATGGTATCATGGTAATGAAGATTGGCAGAGCTTTGCAGGATGCTCTTCTCACTGGGCAATTGGTGCGATTCGATGAGAGCGGAGAACGTGTTTGAATTGGGTAGCCATAGTTGATTTCGTGAGAGCTGGAAGAGAGCTTTGAGTGTTAGACCATAAATATAGACCAAAATTTGCTTACTTGAATACTTGCAGTGTGTATAACATATCTGTAGTGCATTAAAAGGCTGAGATAAACTAGTTTTTTAAAAGAGCTCTTGTGGCTTATAGAGTCTGTCTCTTGTATAGAAGGTGAGAGGGGGGTTCATTTCAGGATATCATGGACATGTCTATATGCTCGGAGAACATGTTCTTCAGTATTGTAAGTTACTGTCCATATTGGAGAGTTATACGGCTTGTGTGCTACAGTACCTGCTCCTTGTTACTATCTACGCAGGGAATGAACCATGTGATCGAAACTAAAGCAATCCATACAAACAATATTGTGGTAAACCTCAGGCTCCAAGTTGCACATCCCCCGGAATTTACCTTGATCTACTCCACGATTCCCCCGCATTTCCCCAGAAAACGATCGCCCACGCTACAAGTGACAATAGCCGACCGACCAATCATGGCAGGTGCAGCAAGAGTTAAATGAATCTAAAAAACAGGCTGCCTCGCCGGGCATTACTGAAAACGGAAATTTTCAATGTAGATGTTGATTCAATGACGTCCACAGAACAAAAATCAATTCCGTATTTTCAATAACCGTAAACTTTCAACTCGGAAGTCCGATTTAACATATGGAATGCCGGTGTATTTAATGACACCGGGCATCAGTTTATCTTCGGCACTCTTCAAAGAAAAACCCCCCGGTTGACATTCAATTCAATCGGGATCGCGTCCCCTATTGATGATCATGACGACGGATATGAAGAAAGACACCAAGCCACACTTTACTTCGGAAGGGGTTTCCACTTCGGAGCATCACGAAACTGTTACTCTCAAACCCGACATAGAACTACAAGAGATACCTGCCTACGGTTCCGATGGCATCCGAGGCCTCGTCAGCTCGGGGTATGTCCTTGGAGCAGCTTTCCTAGCATCCCTTGGAGGCTTCTCATTTGGATATGACCAAGGAGTGATATCCATTATAAATGTCATGGAGCAATTTCACGCAGTCTATCCTCAAGCCGAGACCGCCTTCGGCAAAGGGTTAATGACGGGGATGCTGTTGCTTGGAGCCTTTGTAGGCTGTCTCTTCATGCCCTACCTCGCCGATCGAATCTCCCGAAAGTGGGCACTGACCGTAGTCGTCGTGATCTTTGATATCGGGGCCATAATCCAAACCTGCGCGCAAAACTATGCTACGCTAGTGGCAGGGAGGGCCATTGGTGGCATCGGGGTTGGAACACTCGCAATGGTATGTACATGACACTCGATATACCCGAACGATCCTTACCACACTGGTTCATCTCGCTCACCTGGTCATGGAGGGTGCCCCGCTTTACATCTCCGAGATATCTCCACCCAACCTACGAGGAACGCTGTTGGTGTTGGAGTCCATCTCTATTGTCTCTGGCGTCGTCATCTCATACTGGATCACGTTCGGTACAAGGTTGATCGATAGCGAGGTCTCGTTCCGTCTGCCATTCGGTCTGCAGATGGTGTGTGCAACAATCCTTGGGGCTGGCATCCATTTCTTCCCCTACTCGCCTCGGTGGCTTGCCCTCGTCAACCGCCAACAAGATTGCCTCGCCAGTCTGTCCAAGCTCCGAGGCCTACCAGAGAGCGATGAACGAGTACAAGCTGAATTCCAAGGTATCATCACTGAGGTCAAATTTCAAGAGCTTATCCAGGAGAGAAGGCATCCTGGTCAGCACGGTGTCAAACGACAGCTACTCGCATGGCGAGACCTATTCGGCCGGAAAGGCTGGCGGAGGACAGTAGTTGGTTGCGGAGTCGCCTTCTTCCAGCAATTCATAGGGATCAACGCGTTTATCTACTACGCGCCTACATTGTTTCAATCCATCGGCCAATCAGACGAGATGTCGCTGATACTGTCGGGCGTCTTCAATGTTCTACAGCTAGTCACCGTCCTTGTCTGCTTCTTGATCATCGATAAGGTTGGACGCCGGCCGTTGGCAATCTTCGGTGGCTTTGCCACCGGAGTCGCGTACATCGTCATCGCCATTCTATCTGGGCTATATGGTAAAGACTGGTCCGCGCACACCGCTGCCGGCTGGGCCTGTGTCGCCATGGCCTTTCTTTTCATTCTTATTTTCGGCCTCACATACTCTCCTCTTGGCTGGGCCCTACCATCCGAAGTCTTTCCCAACGCGACTCGATCGAAGGGTGTGGCATTGTCGACCAGCACCAATTGGCTCTCCAATTTCATTGTAGGCGTTGCCACGCCTCCCATGATGGAGAACCTCGGCTATCGCACCTATATCTTCTTCGCCGTCTGGTGTGTCATGGCGGGTATCTGGGCACTTATATTTGTCCCCGAAACCAGCGGCAAGACCCTAGAGGAGATTGACGACGTGTTTGGCGATACAAGCGGACACGAAGAGCAAGAGGTGATGAGAGCCGCTGCTCTGTTGACCATGAGGCCGCCGGTCCAGGCCACTGTATGAAGAGAAGGATATGATACCCATTAGTTCAGTATATTCATTTTGTTCAGTTTCTCTCTCATGAGATATGTGTTAAAGAAGTTACTCCAACACTCCCTTAACCCAGTGATATCTATCTCATTAAATTCATGCATAGATCGTATTCTCTATTGCACATCGCTTCATCAGTATCATCAAATAAACCATCTATCCCACAGCAAACAATCCCCGGCAAAAGACAGACCCAAACCAGACTACAAACTAAACTCCAACCTATTCCCCGCGAAATCCCTCGCAAAAAACCGAGTCGGGTACTCCTCCGTCATCTCACCTGCTCAAGTCAACAATACCACTCATATAGAAGATAAAAAAAAATGGAGGGAAACGAACCAGAAATAGCCTCCCCAGGCTTGTCTGCCTCCCTCGGCGCAGCTCGTCCCCCACGGACATGATGGTCCCAAATCCGCTGCTGCAACTTCTGCAGATCCTCCAGGGACCCAATCTTAAAGCAGGGATGGCGCGAGGAATCCATCGATTCGTTTGTGCCGAATGCGATATGGACCTGCTGGGGACCTCCTGCGATGTCGAACCTGTATTCGCCGTGTTAATTTCAGATTACTTTAGAGAAAGGAAGAGAGTCAATGGATGATATGGCATACCATGCCGTCGTTTCTACTTGCGCCTGGGGGACTGGACGGGCTGTCAGACCCAGGGTTTGGACGTAGAATTCGTTGGCCTCGGGGAGGGAACCCTCGGGAACGAGGAGGTTGATGTGTGCGAGGCCGGTGATCATGGTGACTCGTTCTTTGGTCTCTATATTGGGGTGTTATGTAGGTATGAGTTTAATTAATCGATGCTGAGGGGCAGTGTTGGTGAGGGTAAGTTGGAGTACTCTTTGACTTATATTTATAGGGCTGTGCTTTGCTGGTGGGTTCGATTAGGAAATGATTCCCGGTTCTTGCGTCGGAATCCCTTTCCCGGTGCTTCTGGGGTCATTTCCGCGCGCTTTTCTAATCCTCTTGATGTGTATCGTGGTTATTTGGCTAGACTATCCCAGTTCCTGTGACAGGGGCATTTATGAGTCATTCTAGATACATATATTTAACTATATTGACTGGTGTTATGTCGTGATTAGCTATGTGACTTTCGTCATTCGGAGTGGAGCAGATTGGAATGTTTGTATATCTTCAAATTACCTATTCTTAGACTAGGGGTCCTATCAGAACTAGGACAAGATCAAGCAAAGATAGAGTCAATTAACGGTAAAGTACTTTATGTCTATTGCCCTTCACGTTAGGGCAACTGCTCCTACGTTAAAATCTGTTCTCTGATATCTGCACGCATCCGTCTAAACCAAGGAAAAAGTCATCAAATTGTCTAATTGGAATAAACACCCTCTTGCCACTATATACGCCGTCAATCGACTGAACTGAAGGCAGCATATCACATAATTCCCAGAACATAGCGATAGATACACATTATTTTATTTTCACCGGGTCGGCTTCATCTATGCAGATGCGACCATCTTGTCCTTGACATACAAGTCGACATACTTGTCCACATCGTAACCCTCAAGAGCAGACTTGTTCAAGCCCAACTCGAGCAGCTCGTCGATGCGAGCCTGGTCGAAGTGAGCCTGCAAGTGACGCTTGTACTTGGACAGGATCTCGGGCTTGGCCTCTTCACGGCGCAAACGGTGGCCCAGAGGAGCCTCGACAACGACCTCCTCGAGCACAGTACCGTCGTTCAGGGTGACGGTAAGAGCATTGGGGATGGTGCGCTTGGTCGGGTCGTGGTAGTCCGTGGTGAACTTGGGATCCTCAACGCAACGAATGCGCTTACGGAGATCCTCAACGAGTGGGGAGGTGGCCGCCTCCGAGCCATCGGCATAGTCGGTGGCGGTAAGGCGGTTGAATGCCAGCATGGTGGCGACCATGTACTACATCAAATCAGTTCACTGTTCAACCATCCACCCTCCCACAATTCTTTCAGCTGAGGGCTTACCTGAACGCAGTGGTCACGGTCCGCGAAGTTGTCCATCGCCTTGAACTGCTTGTCGATGATGCGAATGCAAGCTTCGTGGGTGCGGTTGGTGATCTCCTTGATATCCTTGGCGCTCTTGCCCATGGCAGCGAGCTTCTCGTTGATGATCTCGGCAGCTTCGATGGCTGTCTGGGAGTGGAATTCGGCTGCGACACAAATGGTTAGATATCATCTATATTTCGGCGCACGAGCATACATACCAGGATAGGAGACCTTGAAAAGGACGTTCTCCATGACATAGCTGCCATAGGGGCGCTGGAACTTGAACTTATTGCCCTTGAACAGCACATCGTAGAAGCCCCAGACGGGGGCAGAAAGAACAGTGTGCAAGCCACCCTCACCCTTCTGTACCTTAAGCACAAGGTTCACGGCCCGCTGGCAAGCGTCACCGGCAGCCCAGGACTTTCTGGACATGGTGTTGGGGGAGTGTCTGTAAGTCCGAAGACTCTGTCCGTCGACGAACGCCTGGGTGATGGCATCCGCAGTCTGTTTCTCACTGAGGCCGAGCATCTTAGCAACCACAGCTGTTGTCGCGACCTTGACCAGAACAACGTGGTCCAGGCCAACCTTGTTGTAAGAGTTCTCCAGCGCCAGGACACCTTGGATCTCGTGGGCCTTGATCATGGCCTCCAGCACTTCCTTGACTTTCACGATCTTACCACCGGCAATGTTGCCGCCCGCGCGGTTGGTCCGGGAGATCCAGTCAGCCACAGCGAGGATACCGCCCAAGTTGTCCGAAGGGTGGCCCCATTCGGCGGCCAACCAGCAGTCATTGTAATCCAGCCAGCGGATCATCGCACCAATGTTGAACGCACCATTGACAGGGTCGAGCTGGTACGGTGTTCCGGGCACACGAGATCCGTTGGGAACAACGGTTCCCTCCACGACGGGACCCAAAAGCTTGGTGCACTCTTTGAATTTCAAGGCTTCCAATCCACAGCCTAGGGTGTCGAGGAACACAAGACGGGCAGTGTCAAACTGGAATTCAGAAAGTCACAAAAGGTTCATGTTAGACAGATGATGATCTCGTGCGCATTTGGGGAAGGAATTACAAAAATTAGGCGTGCGAAGTCAGCAGAATTGAGGGAGACATACAGCTAAGTCGGAGTTAACCTCGTAGTTGTGAATATAGTTAGCCATGTCCTGGATTTCAGGATCGTAGGCCTTCTGGGAGGCGCCATCCTGAGCGCCAGACTGAAGAGGTGCCATGGTTGAGAAACGAGACACTCGAGGAGCGGCCGAGTTCACTGCGCGGAAAGTGTTAAGGGAGGAAAAGGACGAGGTGGCAGATGAGATTCTGGAGACGGAGGAGATGCGGGACTGGAAAGTGCGGGGAGACCGGTGGGTCAGCCGTCTCAACGCCGAACACGAAGCAGACATGATATGATCGTAGGAGGTCAAGAGAGGGTACTAACTCTCAATGATGTCTGAGAGGGAGGTCAATTCGGGGGGGAGATCGCAGGGGGAGGGTTTAAGTAGAAGAGAGGAAGAAGAGAAAAAGAAAATCCTAGGGGGAAAAAAGGAAAGCTAGGGGGAGAAATGGAGAAATGGAGAGAAACTGGAGTTACGATGGACGGTCACCTTTGAGCCGAGGCCGGGCGCCTTGGTTTACTCGCGGCTATTGCCGGTTATGCATCCTTCAACTACTTACTTAACAGACTGCCCATTGATCAATCGGATTCTCGGGATCCATTTATTTCCTTTCGGACAAGGTTCCAACTGATTCTCAACAAATTTGGAAAGTACCATATTCATTTCCACTGGTACTATGGGAACAGAATTTGCCATACCTCTGAAGTCTGAACTCGCAAGGCCCGAAAGAGGGGGTGGATGATTTCATCCAAACCACTCCCGCGGTCGGACGGCATTCTCCTGTTTCCGCGGTTATTATCAATCGGAAAGGACAAGCATGTGGCGGATCAACGTCTCATCCTCTTGTCAACCCGTTGATCAAGCTCCGAGATACGGAGGAAAATAAAGTTCAGGAGAAAGAAACATATTTCCTGGAGCGACAGAGACCAGCATCACCGTCATTCTCTCATATTCCGTCTACCTTCCTCCTCATCCGTTTCCTGCAGTGTCCGAACAATCTCCTTATACATAGCTTCAGCTAGCGAAGGAGCAACGGCATTCCCAATTTGTTTTAAAACCTCATGAGGCCCGAATCGAAAGCTCAGGGGGAACGTCTGTAAACAGGCGTACTCCCGATGAGTGAAGTTCCTTCGACCTGAAGGGTGATAATTCTCGCCTCCATTACAAGTGACTGTTCGAGCTGGTTGGTATGGGTCATAGGGGGGTTTGTTGAAACCACGACTTAGTGCTCCCTGGATGTCATGGTTCGCTGTCCCTAAGGGAATATTGGAAATAGCTTCGTGGATATGAGGGTCCTCCCTCAATCCTGGGCCATGGGAGGGGCGCGGAAAAGGCGGCAGCGTTTCTCCAGGTCTATAAACGATGTCAGTATAACTCGGTAAGCACCATCAACTGTCGGGGTTCCCTTACCCAGAAGCAATGACGAGGAGCCTTTTTCGGGTCTGTGGGACTCCGTATTCGTTAAGTTGCAAAATACACCAACGGACGGAGTATCCAATTTCGATGAAGTCATTTATCACCCGATAAAATGTATCGCGGTGCTGACCAAGCGAAAGCAATCCATGCGTTTCCTCCAGAGTATGTACTCGAGGCTTGGCGCGTTTAATCAAATCCAAGGAAGAGAAGATACACGCCGAATTGGCATCGTCGTGAATGCCCTCGATAGTATGAATAGGAGAAAACGTTTGACAGGGTGGCGAGCTGTGGCTGACATCTACCCTCAGAAACTCATCATCACTTGTCAGAAAGCTAAAGATATCACTCAGCTCGCAATATGCATGCTCAAAATTAAGCCGATAGGTAGAGATTGCGTGTTTGGACTTGTCGAATGCCCACTTGTTATAAAGACCAGCTCGGCGAGCGCCACATGAAACTCCTCCGGCACCACAGAAACCGTCACCGAAGGTATACTGCCGCCGCCTCTTTTGCTCTTCCACACTTTCTGCACAGGTGAGGTCAACAACAGGGTCAGAATTGTCTAGCACAATTACAGGTGGCCGGTCTCTAGAGCGGTCCTCTTCGCCAAAAGCTCGTGTGCTCCCCCTCCAAAGTTGGCGTAATATAACCGTTTCAATCATATGCCCTTCATCGGCTTCCTTAGATGACAAGTACTCTATCGAGACTTCTCCACCTTCTATATTCTCCTTCAAGCGACACCAAAGGTCGCCGGGCAGCTTCTGCTGGTTGCCTCTATCGCAATTGTTGGTGAAGATTATACTAACGAATTTCTTGGCCATATGAAAGGATATGGCCTCCGTTATATTCGCAATCCAGACAAGTTCGTTTTGCTCTTTGGGAACGTAGGTACCGGCGTGATTTCTTGTTTTTATCAGTCTGCGGCCATCGAAATAAATGGCACCCGTGCCATCCTTAAGGATTGTACATATCCGGAGATATGACCCGTCATAAAGCTCAAGTGATTGACCAGCTTTATAAAGTATGCCGTCCACGCATACCTCATGAACAGGCACTCTTGTTTGCTCATGGTTTCCCTCAGCCGATGTCGCCACTCCTGGGCTTGGAGTGTTCAGCTGGTAATTTTCAAGGAGTAACTCAAATTCTTCATCGGTACGGTAATCATCCTTATCAAAGGTGTGAAATGTCGGATTGGTCAGGTCGACCAGCTCGCGCAGGTTTGTTGCTGCGTTTGAGGTCAGCAAAAAGGGTGTTGGGTCTCGAGGACGATGCTCCGAGATGATCACCACATCATCGGCATGGTGAAGCCTTTCCGAACCATCGCCAAGAGTAACGCTACTATCTGTATCACTATCATCAACCTCCAGGGTCGTCGCTCTGGGATCCGCTATCTCAAGAATTGATGGCTCACGAGCTCGGATTGAGCACATCTTTGGCAATTATCTTAATGCCTTTATGATGAGTGTGAGGCTTTGGATGTAAATACAATGGAAAGGCTCTTCGGTGCTCTAAGGCAATATAGGTTGAGGTGTTAATGTAATGAATTGAAGATCGAGAGAGAAGGGCATGACATGATAATAGGGATTTGGGTACAAAGTATAATGAGATGGAAGTGAGAGAGAAACAGAAGTTGAGCTGATGACTCCTTCTAGCTATTCACATTTATTAATACTGCTCGCTAGCCTAAGGCTATACATGTTTGAGATATAACACATCTTGTCACAGCAAGTAGGAGAGGGGTGAGTACTACAAAGAATGGAAACAAAGAAAGACAATACAGCAAACATAGATGGAGTGAAAGAAGAGAAGACAATGCGAAGGTATAGTGTCTAGCCATGCTTCAGTATACTCTTGATATCTTAGTTTGTCTACAAGTGTCTATGGAAAGGCCTATATCTAACTAGAACATACTCACAGTGGATCACTTGCTCTGGATCCAATGATCCATCTATTGAGGGCTAGATATCCATATCCGGAAAGGTTGAAATTGCGCAGGGGAAGGATGCTGACTAACTGGTCACGAGACCAATCAGGCTCTGCGTAGCATCGGTGGCCACGTGAGGGGTCAACCCCTCCGGCGGTTGAGATTTCTCCGGTCCGTTAACGGAGCGGCACCCGCAAATTTTCTGTCTTTTACTGTGGAGAAGTCGAGGAAAAAAAAATCGGAAAGTCGGACTAGGCAAAAGAAAGGACCAAAGGATTAAAACCTGGTGGCTTCTTCTCCCTTGCCTCTCCCTCACTCTTTCTCTCTCCTTTAACCTTCTCTTCACCATGCCACCACTTGGTCCTTCAATCCCTCCGTGGGTGTGATTTACTACCAGTTATCACCTATTACAGTCTCTCCTTATTCTCTATGAATATTGTTATGTTTCGATAGAGTCAAACTTGGTTCCAATTTTTCCAACTCTGTCCCCCCACCATCGCGTGTCTGTGTGACAATTTGATCCATCTTCCAAGCATGTGAGTTATCCGGTGTAATCCCCCGCCTGGCTATCAATCAATATACCCCTCCTTTCATGATGAATTTCGGTATTTTTTTTTTATAGATGTTAGACTTCCTAAGCATTATTGCGGAGAAAATCCGACCTGATCTTATATTCGATGCTATTCATATTGTCTCGCAGCTCAATCAACCGTGAGAGCATTGGCTAATCATAAGCATCCGCTAGAATCCGATTACATTCACAAGATGTGTGGTATCATTGCTCTGATCCAGGCGAACCCGTCGTCTTCCGCCGCCGTTGACCTCCACGAGGCGCTATACCTGCTCCAACATAGAGGCCAGGATGCTGCTGGAATCGCCACCTGTGCTTCAGGTGGTCGTATCTACCAGCTAAAGTCGAACGGTATGGCGGCCAAGGTTTTCCACGACGGTTCTAGGGTGGCGGACCTTCCGGGATTCATGGGCATTGGTCACTTGAGATATCCCACCGCCGGAAGCAGTGCGAATGCCGAGGCGCAGCCTTTCTATGTCAACAGTCCGTATGGAATTTGTCTGGCCCACAACGGCAACCTGATCAATGCTCCGGAGCTCAAGAGATATCTGGACTTTGAGGCTCACCGTCATATCAACACTGATAGTGACAGCGAGCTCATGCTCAACGTCTTCGCTGATGAGTTGAGCGAAACCAAGAAGGCACGGGTCAACAAGGATGACGTCTTTGCCAGTCTCAGCCGGATGTATGAGAGATGTCAGGGCGGCTGGGCATGCACTGCTATGCTAGCTGGTAAGTAATTCAGCCAGTTCGAGTGCTGGAGTCAAGAATAAAAATGCTAACCTTGGCAGGCTTTGGTCTCGTCGGTTTCCGTGACTCCTATGGCATCCGTCCCTTGGTTCTTGGTTCCAGGCCTTCCGCCGAAGGCCAAGGCACGGACTACATGATGGCCTCCGAATCTGTTGCTCTGCACCAGCTTGGCTTCACTAACATCCGTGACATCCAACCTGGTGAAGCGGTCATCATTGAAAAGGGCGGCGAGCCTGTGTTCCGCCAGGTCGCCCCGAAGATGGCCTATGCTCCTGATATTTTCGAGTATGTCTACTTCGCGCGTCCCGATTCCGTTATCGATGGCATCAGCGTGTACCGTAGCCGTCAACGGATGGGTGATCGCCTTGCCGCCAGGATTCTTGATGTTCTTGGACCGGAAGTGGTCAAGGACATTGATGTCGTCATCCCTATCCCGGAGACTTCCACGACGTCCGCCGCGGCCGTCGCTCGGTATCTCGACATTCCCTACTGCCAAGGCTTTGTAAAGAATCGCTACGTTTTCCGTACATTCATCATGCCTGAGCAGAAGACCCGACAGAAGGGTGTTCGCCGCAAGCTGAATGCTATGCAAGCAGAATTCAAGGACCGAAATGTCCTTCTGGTTGACGACAGCATCGTGCGAGGAACTACCAGTCGGGAAATTGTCACCATGGCAAGAGAAGCTGGTGCTAAGAAGGTTTACTTTGCCAGCTGCGCACCGGAAATCACGTAAGTTGTCTACAACATTCTTTGAGGCATGAGCACGTTGCTAATCATCTCCACAGACATGCTCATATCTATGGTATTGATCTTGCGTCGCCCAACGAGTTGGTTGCGCATAACCGTGACGCTGAGCAGATCGCCAAGCACATTGGTGCCGACAGTGTCATCTTCCAGACCTTGTCTGACCTGAAAGGTGCCTGTGCGGAGATTGCCCAGGAAAATGGGTTGGCTGAACCGCAGAACTTTGAGGTCGGCGTGTTCTGTGGTAACTACGTCACTCCTGTTTCTGAGGGATACTTTGATCACCTGGAAAAAATCAGAGGTGAAGGCCGCAAGATTAAGGCTTTGGATCGGGCTAAGGAAGCCGTCACTCATGGCTTTGCTAGTGAGAAGGATTTCCAGATCGCTGCCAACGGCGTCAAATTGGATGCCAGCGGCAACATCATCCCAGCGTCGACCCCGGGAGAGTCTGAGGTGCCACAGGTCAGCCTCTGTAGCACTCGCGAACCCGCGAGCGAAGAGCATCCTAAGGTCAAGGATCGAATGGATATTAGCATCCACAACATGGGCGATCACCCATGATCACTGATGAGTTTATGGACAGTATCTTCATATCATCTGGAGTCCTGGAGTTGGTAGGCGGTGGATAAAGAGAACGGAAGGCTATCTGCTTGATGATGGTTATCGCATCGCAATAGCAAAGGGATCCAGATACCCTTTTGTATGCACGACATGACCTATAGACTTTATTTTTATGACGAACAAAGTTTGCTTCTGGCATTAAATAGCAAGTGCGTCAGTGAAGATGATGCGGATGTAATTTATCCCGATCACGTGAAGATGATGCTTGTCACCAGCCCATTCAATATAACTGACGCCCATACCCAATACTATCTATGATTCCCTCCATCGAATCACCCAATTTATGTTCTATGTCCCTATCTATAGCTATAACTTAGAACACTCGTGATACCTGGTGGGAAACTTAGTTGTGTCGTCACTACCAGGCAGTCGCACGCACAACCCACTACTTCTCTTGGTTCGAAGAACTATTCGGTGGCGCAGGATTATCATGGAACGTCGCATAACAAGGTCTGCTGCTGCCAAAGAAGCTGCAATACTAGCATCCGCAATAAAGACGTCAGAGAAGGAATTCGCCACTAAGCCGCCCAATTTGCAGGATGAACTACCCAACCAACAGTCGTCATCCTTGGGAAACAAACCAAAGATTGGGCCTGCTTCCAAACGGCGCAAGACAAAACTTTCGGCTTCAGAGATTAACGCTGCGAATGAGCTACCTCATAACCTAGGCTCGTCCGTTAAACCAACGTATAAGACCAAGGCCGTATCCCCGGGAGTCAAGAAGGAGACGATAGGCACTCTTGCGGATGAACTGGGAAGTACCGCTGAGAAAGCCAGTGCAGTACCAAGGTCAGCGTCAACAGGTAAAAGCAAGAAAGCCAATCCATATCGTTTAACACCAGGAATTACTCCATTCCCAGATTGGCCCCATCCAACCCCCGATGCCTGCGAAGAGGTTAATAGGCTACTCTCTAGTGTACATGGAGAGATTGTTCCTCCCGCTACCATTCCAGAGCCGTCTCTCACTGTAACGGGCTGTGGAGAGGTTCCCTCTGTTCTTGATGCGCTTATTCGCACTTTGCTTAGTGGTGCCACATCAGGAAACAATTCTGCGTTGGCTTTCAATGGGCTGGTGCAGAAGTTCGGCATCCTCCACGAAGGGATTGGCAAAGGGAGTGTTAACTGGGATGCCGTTCGTCAAGCGCCACTTAAAGATGTATTTGAAGCTATCAAGAGGGGTGGTTTGGCTGATATCAAGAGCAAGAACCTCAAGGCCATTTTAGATATGGTACACAAGGAAAACCAGGAGCGTCGGGAAATTTTGGTGAAAGGCGAGGATGCTGGACCATCGGATCTCATGCAGAAGTCTGAAGGCAGCAAACAGTACGAGATTGCATGTGCAGATCAACACTTCCTGTCGCTTAACCACCTCCACGCCCTGAACACAGAACAGGTTATGGAGGAACTAGTCAAGTACCCCGGGATTGGACCCAAAACAGCTGCCTGTGTCCTACTCTTCTGCCTACAGCGTCCATGCTTTGCAGTTGACACCCACATCTTCCGCATCTGCAAATGGCTTGGCTGGGTACCGTCGGACAAGGCGACAGAGATCACAGCGTTCGGCCATCTCGAGGTGCGGATCCCGAATCACCTCAAATACTCTCTTCATCAGCTCTTCATCCGTCATGGAAAAACTTGTCCAAGATGCCGAGCAATAACTGGGCAGTCTTCCGCTGGATGGGACGAAGGCTGCGTCATTGATCACCTTGTGAAAAGGACTGGGAAGAGAAAGGGGGAACTCGCGACCTCGCCGCCCGTCAAGCGTAAGAGCAATGGACGGCAGACTCGCAATGCGAAGGCGTGAGGGACGTTCGAAAGATATATAGTACTTTTCTATGTAAATACACGATCTGATAAGCTTCCACTAATCGGGGATCTTGTGCACTATTTCAAAAGTAGGATAACAGGTGAATGTATGGGGACCAATTCAAGTGCTGATAGAGGGCATGTTTGCTTAACCTTCACGGTGGATCATAAACAAGGGAAAAGAAATATATATTGCCTGATGGGCCATTCTATAGTATGGGCGGCACGTGCACGGGCCCTATCGGAGTGTCTGATAAAACAATGGGACCACTTCCGCTACGCATCTCCGTCTCCCACATTTGCCCGCCTCCTGAAACCTTCCAGACAGGTTCCTGGAGCTCAATTGCAGCTGTCTGGATTTCAAAATGGAGGCCCTAACCCCGTACGTCCCTCCAGCTCTCCTTCCCCTCGCGGAAACTCTTCGCGATCAAGCTCCCTTGGTCGGTGTCGCGCTTGTCTCGCTCGGCGCGATATACCTAGGATATCTTTACCTCCTGGGAAGAAACGAAGCTGCCGTGGCATTCAACGTGCCAATTCCACCTGAAGTCCGTGCCAATTGGAAAGGTAAAAAGTGGGAAGATGCTCAGGGAGAGGAGAAAAAGGTGCTTGAAGGTCAACTTAGAGGGGTAAGTTTACTCGTCTTCAAATTAGTCGTTTTGGAGGGGTGTCAATGGCTAACTTTAGTTTTCCCTTCTATAGTCGTGGAACGACAAAGTCATCCTAAGCTATTGTCCTGCGGATGGAAGAATACTTGGTAACGGAATCAAACCTGCAACAACTGAAGACGTCGACCGAGCGATCCAAGCAGCGAAGAAGGCTCAAATTGAATGGGCTGCGACTAGCTTTGCTGAAAGGAGGAAGGTTTTGCGGACATTGCTGAAGTGCGTTACATACATAGTCTCGATTGCTGCGGTCAAGAAATGTAGCTAACTGAGCCCACTTTGGACAACAGATATGTGCTCGAGCACCAAGAAGAACTTGTCACCGCTTGTTGTTTGGATTCTGGAAAGACTAAGGTCGATGCTTCATTTGGGGAAATCCTTGTGACAGCAGAGAAGTTGAAATGGACAATTGATCACGGCGAGAAGGCATTGACGCCCGAATCGAGGCCCACGAATTTCCTGATGATGTACAAGAAGAACATGGTCACGTATGAGCCTCTTGGAGTGGTGTCGGCTTGCGTCTCTTGGAATTATCCTCTCCATAACTTCATCGGCCCGATCATCAGTGGTATCTTTGCAGGAAACGGTGTGGTAGTAAAACCATCGGAGCAAACTGCATGGTCCTCGGCTTTCTTTCTGGAAGTCGTGAGAGGTGCTCTTTCGGCATGCGGCCACTCTCGCGATCTTGTACAGAGCGTCGTCTGCTTGCCTGACGTTGCTGATTTCTTGACTTCACATCCGGATATCGCCCAGTTGACCTTCATTGGATCGAGACCGGTCGCGCACAAGGTTTGCGAGTCAGCAGCAAAGGCACTGACTCCAGTGACTGTTGAACTGGGTGGCAAGGACCCCGCTGTCATTCTGGACGATCCCAGAACAGTGAGCGAGATCTCATCTATCGCGTCCATTCTCATGCGAGGTGTCTTCCAATCCGCTGGACAAAACTGCATTGGCGTTGAGCGGGTCATTGCCTTGCCTGGAGTGTATGACAAGCTTCTGAATGATGTGTCTTCACGCATTAAGCCATTCCGTCTTGGTTCCGTCCTCCTTGAGTCCAACCCCGAAGATCCTCAGCAGAAACCCGGCGCTCCAGACATGGGCGCTTTAATCTCCCCGGCCTCCTTCGACCGCCTGGAATCGTTGATCACCGACGCAGTCCGACAAGGCGCGAGCCTTATCTGTGGTGGGAAACGTGTTGATCACCCGAAGTATCCCCATGGCCATTACTTTGCGCCCACTCTCCTTGCAGACGTAACGCCTTCCATGCGGATCGCTCAAACCGAACTTTTCGCCCCAGTATTTCTCCTCATGCGCGCAGACTCCGTACCCCACGCCATTGCCATTGCAAACTCAACGGAATACGCTCTTGGCGCTAGCGTCTTCGGCTACAACCATATTGATGTCGCAACCTGTGTCTCAAGGATTAAAGCGGGAATGGTATCTGTCAACGATTTTGGAAGCTACTATGCCGTGCAGCTGCCTTTCGGTGGCGTCAAGGGATCGGGATACGGCCGTTTTGCGGGCGAAGAAGGACTGCGTGGCGTGAGCAATATCAAGGCCCTCTGCGTTGACCGGTTTCCCAAGCTAATGGCGACTCGCATTCCGCCACGCGTGGATTATCCTATCTACAAAGCAGATGGTAGTCGTCAGAATGGGACCGGCGCCTGGGAAATGTGTAAGGGCGTCGTTGAAACAGGATATCAACTAACTCTGGCCGGAAGAGTTTCTGGCATACTACGACTGTTGAAGAACATGTAGGTTGAGGTATACGATTTTTATTAATTCATCAATGTCACCAGCGACATTGAATCTATGTTCTATGTACAATATCATATAATACACATGGCGAAAACAACGTATCATAATCCAACAATCATACCGTGCATAGTAAAGAACCCCTATAGCGCCTTCCACTGGCTCTCAAAATCATGCGAGGTTTCTTCCATCCAACTCCCCAATTCCTCCACCCCCAAAACCTCATTCAGATACCGTCTCGCCAACTCCACCTGTCCATTCGCTCTCCCCAGATAAAACACCGCCCCTTCAGCCGGATTCGCATTCGCCGTTTCAATCCGCTGCGGCAGCTGCAACATAAGATCAAGAAGCCACCGTCCAAACGAATCACCCAGATCCATAGCCCACTGCGTGATCTCCGAATCATCAGCCGGGACCGACTCCGCACAGGCGCGGACAAGAAGCTGAAACAGCGCCGGCTCATTCCGCGCAACCCGCACAGCCGTCCGAAAATGCTCCGCCGGAATCATATACGGCACGCTATTCGTCGCCGTGACGTTCGTATTCCTACACCGGAAATGATACTCATCGATCTTGAGCAAGGACGTAAGCGCCTCGGCATTGTGTTCTACCAACGCCGCATGGATCCCCTTCTGCAGGGCGTCGCGCGACAACGTAACATGCGTCTCCATAAGCTCGGCGGTATTGAACCCGCTCGCCAGTCGCAGCGTCTCGAGGTAAGCAATCGTAGCGGGCGTGAACCCGTTCCCGCCCCTGAGGAGCCGTTCCGGGAACTCCGTGATGCCGAGGATGCGGTGCGTCTGGGCCGTCTCCGTTTCGTGGCAGGTAACCGTTACTGACACGAGAGGTGATACGGACAGTGTGTAGTGGTTGTTATCTTTATCTGTGCCTTCGAACCTCCGCGTCTCGTCTTCGTCCTCCTCGCGCGCAAGGAACCGTCTCAACTTCTCCTCTTGGTCTTCCGCCATGCTGATCCCCGCGCTGAACCAGTATCGCTGGATACTGAGACCCATCAGATCCGGGAATCGACTCTGAAGCCGTTGCACCGTGCACCACTTGCACTGCAAGATGGCACTCTGCAGCGCGCCGCGCTCGCTGAGATCGAGCGGGATGTAATCCAACGGCCGCAGGATCTTCGCGATTTCCGTCGCGGAGACGGCATCGAAGGGCCCAGTCGCGGAGGGGACATCGTTCCAGAAGGCCAGAAGGATCAATGCGCGGTAGATCCGCTCGCTGGACACCGTTGCGGCGAGGGGCGCCGACGCCCGGGGCAGATTGACGTTCAGCGAGTGCAGGAAGATCTTCTCGATCAGCTCGACCGGTAGGGTCTCCAGACGGCTGAGGTGCTTGCGCGGTTGTTTCGGCGGTTTGGCGATCAGATGGCGCGCGCGTTTGAGCGCTTGGCTTTGCGAGGAGAGGCTGTATCGTTCGCCCAATGACAGTAGTCGTCGGCCGCCGCGGCGTTTTGAGCGCTTGGGGTGCAGTGGTCCTGCATCGTCGCTGGGAGCAGGGCGTCTTTTTCTGCGGCCGCGCACTCGGATCGGCGTGAGCATGCCCGGCGGCGCGGAGCGGGTGGTTGGTCGCTCAGTTGTTGTTGTCGTCGCGGGCCATTGGGTGGGAGGGGAGGGTATCGGGCATGGCGGGTCGGGGAGTTGTTGTTGATATCCGGTTTTTATTTGCTGGGTTCATTCACTGTTGATATGGTGTGGGTCGGTGGGATAAAATTTGGGTGCCTGAGGCTCTGTTATTGATGTTAAAAGCGGCAAGACTTACAGTATATCCGCTCACCAGGAACGAACCCATAGGGCTGTCCAGCCACCTGACAAGCCCTATCTTAGTCATCCAACTCGCGTTCCTCACACCTGGCACATGACGTCAGACGCAACCCAAACGCTTTCCAAGGAAACTCGTTCCTTCCATATAACAATAACAGTCCACAATAAGATTCTAACAGGACGAGTTTAATTGCCAGGTGGCGAATGCGGATTTCAGTGGCCTGCCGATCGGTAGGTCATGATGCTCGTGTCTTTGCCTGATTCGGCGGGTGTGAATCCGGACCGGATTCTGGCTCCATGTCAGTATGACGAAGATGGCGGTCAGGATTGCAAGCTGATGGGCTGTGGATTAAGTATACGCGGTAAGGGCTTGTCATGGCTGTTTGCTGGTGACATACATCATTGGTGTTGCGTGGTGGTGAATGAGGTATTGGGGGGTGGATGATGTAGATATATATATGTCGTGCTGGTCTGGGTTTAACTCGAAGGCCAGAACTATTCGAAGTACATTATTTCACTCTACTATAGAAAGAGAATCGCAATACATAACTACGCTATCTCTTCAAAGAACTTTCAAGATATCGTTCAGTGATTTTGTCTAAACTCAAAGAACAATTTGAAGCCTGTGACTTGACCATTGATATCTATTCAAAATGGGTGCTGTTGTGTCCTGTGTATGTTTTCCTTTATTCCCCTTCACTCTTCCCTTATCAGAAAAAGATTCTAACGTCCGGTAACAGATCCAAAGCGTCTTCCACGCCATCGGTGCCTGTCTCATGGGCATCGTCAATACCATCGGCTCGGTCTGCAAAGCAATCATCGACGGCATCGTCACCCTCTTCGACGTGATAATCTCCTGTCTGACCTGCGGCTACTGTGGACGGCGGAGGAGAGGAACAACGCGGACAACGCGGACACGGCGGTCCAGGATCTAAGTTGTGAACCGCGGCGCGCGATGAGTTACGATGGATACGCATGATGTTTCGCCTTTTGGTTTCTATCGGCTTTTGTGTTTTCAGTTCTATTCCCCACAAGTGTATTATAACAATGCAATCTTAATAGAAGCGCATGCTGATTAAACACGTTATCATATATGGCTCATTCCTGCTTTAGACATCAATTGGTCTTTGAGATGTAGCAGATTGGCAGGGATCTCCTCCCAGCGTTGCTCGACCAGTAGTTTGATGAATGGGTCGTCATACTCGTCTGCGTACTTCAATGCCACCTGGAAGTGGTTTGGGAGGACAGGCCAGCGCACTGGGTATTTGTAGCACTGGCAGCGGATGCGCATGTGGATGAGTCGCTGGAAGGTCGCAAAATCACGGTCCCGAATGACCTGGCGAAGGATACGCCGCGAACGGGTGAAAGTATCGTCTGCGTCGATGTACGCGTCCATAGAGAGCAATTGGAGAAATTCAAGCTTCGTGTCGGTCCAAGGTCGACCGAGCAGTTTGTTGGGCATGCGAGCGGGCAGATCCGGCAAGCAGCATGGAAGGCGAAAGACATCCAGGTCGGTGACGAGCTTGTTGGGCTTGCGGACCTGGAACGCCCCGAAATGAAACCACACGGCGACTTTGTAGTCTACGTCGGTGTTTCGGTCGCGAGCTTTCAGAATCAAATCGCCTTTGCTGCGGCTTCCTCCCCAGCCTTTGTCGCAATTTTCTAGGTTACTGAAGCGACTGCTGATGTTGGCTAGAGCAGAGTGATCTTCAGGGGCCAGGTCTAGGTTTCGACATTTGCGGCGGATGGCATGTTCCACGTACTCCCTTTGGCACTTGCGCATCAGGGGTAGTGTGCACCAACGAGAAGCCAGAATTTCATTTTGAAGATCCCTTCTCTGAGGTTCAGACAGCGCAAAGAAGGCCAGAGGCGGTGGTAGAAAGTCTGGAGTAAAGAAGTCTCTCTTTGAGCTCTCGTTGGCGCTGCTGAAGGCAAGTCGGATAAGCCAAGTGTAGACCGTGGGATCAGAAAGAACCCTGGAGATGTACAGAGAGGCCCGTGGGAGATTGAATTCAAGGCAGCGGAAGAAGATCTCCTGAAGTATCTCCACGGGTAGATTTTCGAGGTGACACCGGTTCTGACCCGGTGGTGACAGTTGATTCATCTGCCTGATGGACCCGTTTAAGGAGGTTAGTCGAGCAGGGGCTCTCTGATAGAATCCAACTAGTGCTCATGGAATATTGTCTTTTAGTAGTCTCTATCAAACAAGAGACGGATGGGATATAGGGATCCCTTCGTCATATCTTATGCCCGTGCCTGACTGATCACCAACGGACAATTTGTGGGAAATCCACCACAAGGCTGCCGAGTGACCAGATGAATTGCCTCGCTGTCTGATCACAGGGCAAATACCAGGGTGGGCGCTCACAGCAGCCAGTCTCCGGACCGCAAGAGATGCGGGGCTCGGATCACTTGTCCCTGGTGGAGGATCCAGAATAAGCTGTGTGATCTATAGTATTGCAATTAAGCGCTGTGAGTCATCTTAGCCCGGGCGTTACGCAGCAGTGCTGGGATATAAAGTGTATTAGAGAAGTCGGGCGTGACGCGTAGGAATCGGTCAAGACTGAAGTTCAACCCGCCCCAAGGCGGAACTAAACAAAAACTCCCTGAGGCCCCGATATTTGTCAGGTTTATGTCGGACAAAGCAGTAATCGCTCTGAACACCTTGGACCAGAATTTATAGAATCCTCTCACGTATTCAGATCCGTAGAATATATTTATGTGAAGAGAGCCGGAAACAAAAGACCTAGGCCCATAATACCTACCGTGGGAGATCACTAAACCATACTGGTCGCTTAGTAGATATTCATAAGCTGTACGGTAGAGGAGAGCAGATGATAGGATTCTCAATCCACTAGTGCTATAGAAGAGGACTCTCTTGCAGTATTCATCGACGGGCTGAACATCGTTTACGGATGCGAAAAAACAAGGCTGTAGGTTAATGTAGGAAACCATCTTCTAAATTGCACATTGTTTCTATACACGTCCCACAACCAAGTTCACACTGCCAGACGCAAAGGGTATCCTAGCTGGCCAACATGCTTGACAAAAGAAAATCCCGTCGTGTGATGACACTGGTCGAAGGAGAAAAGAGGCGTAAAAGGACAGATAATGCTGATAGTTTAGACAACAGACATATCGCCGAAGCGCTCCTGAAAGGGAGAACGAATATTAGTATGCGTATGACCATACATTCGGATATGGACAAGCCTCACCTTGTAACCAGCCGGCATCCAGCGGCCCTTGCTGACCATAGAGGCGGTCTTCTCATCAATCTCAGGCTGGGCAGAGGCAACCTCATCCTGTAGAACAGAAAGACAAATGGGTTAGTATATATATACCCCCGCCAAATCGGCATACGCAATTCATCGAAGCCAAAACATACCACAGTGAGCTCATCGAATGGCCGGGCGGTCTCGATGTTCTGGAGGGTCTTCTCGAGGCTGCGGAGCTCGGCCTCAACCTTGCCCTTGGTCTCCTCAGCGCTCTGAACGGCCTGGGCCTCGAAGGCATCGATGGCCTTCAGCTGACGGGAAACATCGTAGGTAGCGGGCTTGAAGGTCTTGAACTGGTTCTCGATCTCGTCGACGATGGCCTGGTTCTTCAGGACCTTGCGGTAGTGGGCGAAGTCGATGGTCTGGGGCTGTTCGGACAGAAGCTGAACCTTGCGACGGGCATCGTCGTTCCTCTTCTTGAAAGCCTGGAGAGAGGCAGCGGTCTGGCCGCGGAGGCCGAGGGAGCTGGTCACCTTGACCCAGTCAATCTTAAGAGCGGCGCTGCGCTGTACACGAACCGTTAGCGGACTTGAATTTTTCTGCGACCAATCCTAGCCAAAGAATCAGGGCGAAATTGACATACGGCAGCCATTTTGAAGTGTGGATTGGAGGGATATCGGTGGGAGAGGGGAGTTCAACGTGCAAAGACTGAGGTTCCGGGAGTGAGGATCAACTCGGCAAAGGTTTGGAATGGGGATGTTCCTCACGTGACCCATGCGTTCCCGTGTTCCGAACACACACGATTACGGCCAAGAAACAGGAGTACGCTGTAAGTATGGATAAGGCGCTATGATTGACCTTTCTATATGAATCCCATGGACCCAACTCTTAGTCCTATAATTTTTCTATGTTTGCAATATTCGGAGAGAATACATCTAGAGATTTACTGACAATTTGCGGAAGCATTGGGTCGTTCAATTCTGCTTTTTTTGTTTTGAACTCTTGATTTACACTAGGGCCTGACAGAACATGCATCCTAGGGGATATCAACCTGACCTCTCACCCAAAGCCATCCTGCCAGCAGGGCTAAGAGACATCAGCCACTGATAGCGCGAAATTAAATGGGCAACGCTTATATGCTGAGCGCCATGATGGAGTTCACGATATCATTGTCGTTCTCACGAAGAGCCTTGACAGCCTTCTTGCGCGACACGTTGGCCTGAGCCATGACGAGCTCGATGTCCTTAGCCTCAAGGCCGGTCTCGTCGACGGGCTCGCCATCATCCTCTTCTTCCTCCTTCTTGGTCTCGGGCTCGGGGACCTTGGTGCCGAGGTCGTGCTCGTGGTCGTGACCAGCGTGCTCACCGGCGGCAGCCTCAGCGGCAGCGAGCTGCTGAGCAGCGGAAGCCTGGGCCTGGGAGTTCAGGTCCTCGATCTTAGCCTCACCGAAGATGCTGTGCAACATGTAAGCCAACGAATACATCTTTCATGATTCAAAGAAAAACATACATCCAGGTGTTGCTGGAGGGGGAACGGTAGACATCGGGCTGGTTGATGACGAAGAGGATCTGTAAGAGACACATTAGCCTCTGCATTCACACCCATCGCCAACTCGAGCACAGGGACTGTTGAGCATCGGACGGAGGCGGGGTAGGTCGAGTTTCATACGTTCTTGGGTCTGCGGAGAGTGACACGAGTGATGCCGGGAACGTGCTTCAGGCCGAGCTTGCCAATGGCCTTGCGAGCCTTCTTCTCGTTACGAGAGTGGATGGTGACGGCGGCACCGGCGGGAATGTTGGCCTCCTCGCCAGCCTCGGACTCGGAGTCGCTGCCAGCATCCTCAACGATCTGCTTGGGAGTCTCCTCCTCAACGATCTCTTCAACGCGGGGGTCGGCCATTTTGTGAATTACGGGAGCCTAAAAGGGTTATTAAATCGAGGGTCAGCAATTCGCACTCTAGGACTGCTTCGGTCGCTTGGAGGCTCGAATTGTGGCCCACGAAACCGGAGGGTCCCGCCCACGAAAATCGCAGGAATTCGCCAGTTCCGAGCGTAGAAATCATCTTGACGGCCAGAGATACAATAATAACGTACCTAGACACAGAAAAGATTACTGTGGTGGATGAAGGGGTTTTTTTGGTCTGGTTGAGGTTGGAAAGGCGCAAAGCTGTGTGAATGTCATGGCTGCCGAAAATCGTTAGCGAGCTGATTGGGTCCCTCACGAGGTTTCCCCCCCAGACGCCGGGACACACAAGCGACTCAACTACAAACTATGTTGTATGTATGTATGTATCAACGAATGTATATCTCCAACGTTACATGACCATATCCCGACAATCTCTATCGGAATTGCTCTATTTGAATTCTAGAATCGCAACAATACAACAAAATTAAATAAAAGCGCTTGGTCATGAAATTACGTTTGTTTTTTTTTGTTTTGTTTTCCCTTCATGGTTTTTGTGGATCATTCCCCAATTTCCATTAAAAAGGCATGGCCCGCTGATGTCAAGATAAGTAAACCCGGAGTCTCCTTAATACTAGTAGAAAGGTGTGCCGTCTTCTGTGACGTACGAGCGTAACCTCTTGGTCAGGATATCAAGGTTCTCGAATCATTTTATGCTGCCAATGATAATGCGTACAGCGTCTTTTTTGCTGAAACCAAATAAACCCTCAGCAATGTAAAACCGTCCCAAAGGCACTCCCTTCACACTATGCACCGAGCCTCATGAAGTAAACCATCTACGACTTAGGAGCAGCCGCCCTGAGCTTGGCGTGAGCCTTCTGGACCTCGAAGCGAGCCTGTAAAGAGTCCATAATGTCAGCCTTCCATCCTATTCCTATTGTCCGATCCCAGCGCAAGGCCCAATAGATGTTCCTAGCCCTAGTCTCATCGTGCGAAAACCATCAATGGGGACCATCCACGTACCTGCTTCCGGAGGCGCAGGACCTTGAAACGCTCGAAGTCGGTGAGGTTCTTCCGGCGCTCAGCACGCTCGGTCTTCTGGGCGAAGCTGGACTGAGCCCACTTGCTGTCGATCTCGCTCTTCTGCCAGAGCTTCTTGACGGGGCCGGTACCGGCAGCACGGGGAAGCTGGGGAATGACGAAGTGGGTGAGGGTTGCGTGGGCGAGAGGAAGAACGTGACGGGGGACGATCTTGTTCTCCTCGGTGGAAGGACCGTCAACCAGAACCTATTTCGTTGCGACACTTGGTCAATATCATGTCCATCTCCAAGTATCCTTTTGCCCATCCTAATCGCGGCTGTCCCATATCTCGCTCGGATCAAAAACATACACGTCTGTGGTCGACAATCTCCACGATGGTGGCCAGCTTGCCGGTGAAGGGGCCGCGGCGGATCAGCACCACACGGCCAATCTCAACGAGCTTCCATTGAGCGATCTTGATATCGATATCGGCCATGGCGAAGGCTTCCTAAAAAAATGCCAAAAAGGACGGTCTCAGTAAAACAGATTCCACTGGGACGATAGACGGGCGCATCAATCACTCACGGTCGACAGACTCCGGGAGGTCGGTGGAGGAATTTGTTGTCGAAGTGGTCGGGGTTGTCGAAGGGTCGTCCGAAACGCACAAGTTCGCTCTGGCTGCTGGAGTCGCGAATTTCGGTCTTGCGGCGTTGCCCACAGTTTCTCGCTTAACAGCCAGTCGGAGCCCGTCGATGGGACCTACGGTGCGGACTAGGGCTGCTTCGTTGTCTTAGCGCCGCCTTCGGATCCTCCTATTCTTCCGCTTCCGATCCCGTTGCATTTAAGCTTCATTTTCTCTGGCGGACTTTTTTCTTTTTTGTTCCTGCAAAGCAAAAGCTTCAGCTTTTCTTCTGTCTTCATCAAAACATAATGCTGTTTTGGGCAAAGATTCACGATCAGCTGGCCTCCAACTAACGGTCAACAATCTACAGCATAATCCAACTGGTATGTATAACATGGACTTTTCTTCTTTCTTCTCCCACACTCATATGATGCGGTAATTTGCGATTGACCCGGTGTCTGTGAAGCTCTCGCCGGAGTTTCGATACAGCACTGAAGTATGATATTTAATCTTCTTACATATTCTGATACTCACAACTTCACTTGATTTTTATCACTCCGTCTTGGATATGGGATCATGGCTAACATGTCAAAGACTTCACAGGTTTATTTTTCTCTCTCCATCTTCGCTTCTCAACCATTCTCTCTCAGTCTGGAAAAGGTACGTTGAGAATCTTTATATCACCTGCCCCCGTTCCGAGGAAGACAACTTTGCACTGCCTAGATAGTAATTGATGCTTCTGGCAATGATATTACCCTCATCACCAAGATCTCTGATGGAACACCCTCAAGCTCACATTTTGATCCCGTTTCACCTTCGGAATCTGTGTCTAACGTTCGACGTTACAGGCCTTAATACACTAGACTTTGATAGCATTCATAGATAGCATGAAAATGATATTCGAATTTCACAGCATTGCACCATTGCCTGATAACCTTTTGTATATGTGTAGACCTTGAAGGCGGTAAAAAAATAACGTGATCATCACTGCACTCTTGATAGTTTCCATCTAAGCCAAGAGATAAAACCGTCAAATATCCCCAATTCCCATTATGTCTCCTTCCAAAGCGGAGCTTGTTGCCGAGACATTACTCTCGCCCATCGGCCTCGAGCTAGTTTCTTGTAGGGTCCTCCAGACCCTCTGGGCAGGCTATGGCCATATATGCGCAATCACGGCGAAGCCTTCAGGAAACCACACGCCTCTTCGCTCGAACATTACTTGCAAATTAAAAGAGGATGCGAACGGGCACCTCCACCTCATTCTCAAACTCATCTCGCCCCCAAAGAGCGACGGTGATGAAGGCCACCTACGTAAAATGCTCAGCTACGAAGTTGAGCAATATTTCTACCAAGATATCACTCCATCTCTGGACCAGGATGTTGCCGTTGCAAGTTGCCTAGCGTCCACGGGACACCTGCAACAAGACAAGAGCGAGGAACTCCAGGGCTTGACTGCCACCATTATGGAGGATCTCCGTCCAAAGTTTCCCGTTGCAGGGGAAAAGCGAGCGCTTCTCAACCAACAACAGGTCCACGCCGCCATTGAGTGGCTGGCAAAGTTCCATGCCAACACCTGGCGCCTGCTTCCAGATGACCTCGATAGATATCTCCTGCCGCCACTGGAGGAGATGCAGAGGAGGAGAGCTGACCCAGCTGCAGGCGGTGATAAACTCTGGTTAAATGGGGGCTACACCTACCTCGCGACTCGGCAGAAGGAACTGGCCTCGTTAGTAGAAGATACAGACTCAGAGTGGTCTGCTGCGCTCTGTGAGCCGCCACAAGGCTCAGCATTGTCGATTGCGGATCAGGTGGCTGATTTTCTCACACCTTGTGGCCGACCCTATGAAAGTTATATCCACGGTGATGTCAAATCCGAGAATCTCTTTACTACCAGCTCAGGGGATGAAGTAGCCTTTTTTGACTTTCAGTACGTTGGATTGGGCTTGGGGGTCTGTGATCTTGCCAAGCTGTTTACCTGCTCCGTACCGTTGGACATGCTCACCGACGACTACGATGTCCCTGACGAGCTCGCCATGGACGATGGTGAAAGGGCCTTGCTGGAGCGCTACCGGGAAACTCTATTGGCCCGTCGCCCATCGAGAATGAAGGAATTCGATTACCCCATGAACCTTCTCATCCGCCACTGGGAGACTGCGCTTGTGGATTGGTGTCGTTTCCAAGCATCGTGGGGTTTCTGGGGCAATACCGAATGGCTCGAGGCCAGGGTTCGATCGATACTGAGGGATCAAGCTTGGCGAGAGTGGCTGCGAAATGAAAGTGGCTAGTTCCTTGTTCAGGAATGCTGAGACTTATCTCAACTTCAGGTCGCCAGCCGTTGAAGCAAAAAAAAAAAAAAAAAAAAAAAAAAAAAAAAAAAAAAAAAAAAAAAAAAAAAAAAAAACCTAACTAAGCTCAATGACCGAAGATCGTTTTGGGGGTACACGAAGACCGAGAATGCTAGAGTAATATAACATCTAGATTATAGAACGTGGGTACTTTTCTTCAGAGGTCACGATTTCAAGGCATAGGCTAGTGACTCGTACCCACCAAGTCAATTTGAGTAGGTACATTTTACGTAGGCAATATAAGGTCTAGAATCTATCAGAACATCAAGAGAGTATCCGCCCAAATTCGCTTGTATGCTAAAACATGATATAACACAGCTGAAATTATCTAACATCTTTACATAGCATCCGTAACAAAACGTCACTCACAAGAACCGATTTTCTCACTGATTTGGCTATATCTGTTTTTTTTTTTTTTTTTTTTCGTGAGGGCGTCTCTCGTTATTGGCAAGTTCAGTGGGGGCCAATATCTCTATTACGACGCTGCCCCAGCTACGTTCGAAGCAGTTGGGCCCTCCCGGCTCAACACCCACATGAAGACAAATTGGATCACATAAGAATAGATGAACAGGAATTGGGTGCGACGGTTGCGTTGCGACCGGGCGACGGTGTGCATCGATCCCGTGCGTGCATCACTGGCCGAGTCCGGAAGGAGAACGTATTTCAGAGAACGAAGCTAGATAGTAGATTAGTCGATTGGTTCGGCAAGGTCCGAATCACAAGAGACTTACCAAGAAGAACGCATTAGCTAGGAACGTGTAAATGAACACAACCCAGCCGACCCAGCCACCAGTGCCTCTTCCCGGAGTCAGAACCTCCGACGTCACCAGTGTGATGATGATGCCCACGAATTTATAGCCCGAGTAAGCCACGAGATCTAGTAGTTGCGACTCATTGTTGATGCTGAGAATATACGTGGCCAGCTTTAGACAAAGGATCTCGAATACGATAACTGCAATAGCTGTGGTCGTGATCGAACCAAGCAGCTCGGGGTGGAAGTTGCCTCTGAACCCTGCCAGCATTGCCGATAGGAGGATATATGTGACGAGAGCCATCACCGGAATATACATATCGGGTGAGTTCAGGTCATCGCGAGGGGGAAGGAACATGGTCGAGTATTGCTGATGGGAGATCTGACCGTTGGGGCCTGCGGATGCCGCCGTGACACGGCTTTGCTGACGAGACCAAGGTTTGTGTCTCCACGGAAAGAGTACCAGGGCCAGTTTATTCAATACATAAGAGTTGGACACATTGAAATAGTGTTTCAGGGCGGGAATGGAAACGTAGCGGTTGAGCTGACAAGATAATTAGTTGCAAGAACTATAAGTCTGTCCTTGGGTTTCCCATAGCCTACATTCTGTTCCATATATTCTTGGCCGGCCATCATGGCGGTCTTCCCGACCTGGAATCCCATCTGCGCAGTGGGATCGTTGATGAAACCTCCAAATCCAGGGGCGTATGTCCCACTACCGCCTTGCGCCGGAGCGGGTTGATATGGGTTGTTGCCATAGCCAGACGCCTGAGACTGCTGAGATGTCGGAGGAGGTGGAGAGCGCATCATAGGGACGGTGGAAACATGCTGAGGGACGGGATGATGGAGCGGAGGTGACTGTGCTGGCGGCGGAGCGAAGGACTGGCGGTACATGTTTTGTTTTTCCTAGAGAGAGAACGGAGAGGAGAATCAAACAAAATGAGAGCGCTGCGTTAATTAAGGAATGTCTAAGTGGAATAATTGTGCAGAGTCGGAGAAGAGTGAAATCGTGGTCGGAGTGGTGTTTATACGTGGCTGAAGTCTGGGAGGTGAAGTTCGAGCTCCGTGCTTGAACTAAATGGCTTTCCGCCCGCAGGATAATTTCCCCACAGTGCGGATCTTCTTACCTTCTCATACAGCTCATACTTTCCACTCCACGACACAATTCATATTTAGCAAAATATAGTCGACATGTTGGAAGCGTTCGAGATTCTCACCACCTCCGGGGTAGTTTTATGGTCCAAGTCCTACGCCCCCGTTGGCGCCCACGTTGTTAACAGCCTTATCAATGATGTCTTTATCGAAGAAAAGGCCCAGCTCCAAGCGGCGAATGCGGCCTACCCAATGTACAAAAAGGAAAAGTATACATTGAAGTGGAAGAAAGTCAAGGACTTTAATCTGATCTTTGTGGTATGTCCTGGTCTTACAGCATGCTACTATCGCCGCTAATCTCGAGTTCGCCACAGGCCGTGTATCAATCACTTCTGCATCTTGGTTGGATCGACAAGCTTCTGGACAATATTTCGACCTTGTTCATCGACATCTACAAAGACCAACTGCGGAGTACACGTGCGAGGGTGATTGAATATCCTTTTGATAAGTATTTCGAACAACAAGTTAGGGAGCTTGAAGATAACTCGGCGCCCATCAATTCGGAGGGTGTCGTGACTGGTGCGGAGTACAAGAAAGACCCGCTTGTCTCGTCGGAACATGGTGGCCCTCCACCCCCATCTGTGCCCGGCCTTCTTCAAGGTATGTGCATTTAGATCTTTTAATTATGGATCGAGGAAATATGCTGACACCCATGAAGCGCAGCGACACGCTGTGCCGGGCGTGGCGACCTCTGATGAGGGTACGCCACCCCAGACCCCAGATACTTCTCGATCTACCACGCCTGTCGCGAGCCAGATTTTGACCGCTAGAGGAGGACCTGGTGGCCGGGTATCTCGTCGTGCGCGCAAAGCGGCGAACTCGAGCGCAAACGTTTCATCAGGGGATGAGAGCATCCGCAAGGGAAAGACACCAAAAGGAGGGAAAAAGATGCGCAAATGGGATGCTGATGGATATGCCGATGAAGATGATGGTACCGTTCTGGATTATTCCGCACCGGCTGATGGCGATGAAGCAGCTGCTCCAGCCGTGGAAGGTGTCGCGCAGGACTCCTGGGGTCACAGAACTGGGAAAGGACAGTTCGTTCTGAAAGACCTGGGTGATGAAGTCCATTCTATCCTGGAGAATGCGGACAGTGAGAAAGCAAAGAGCACGACCACAGGAATCGTTGGCTCAGGCTTCAATGCTATCGGTGGCCTTTTCCGCAACATTGTAGGTGGGAAGGTCTTGACCGAATCTGATTTAGAGAAGCCCCTGAAGGCTATGGAGGACCATCTTCTGAAGAAGAACGTGGCGCGCGAAGCAGCGGTCCGCCTATGCGACGGTGTGCAGCGGGAACTTGTCGGAAAGAAAACAGGAAACTTTCAGAGTGTGGATGCTGCATTGCGCCAGGCCATGGAGTCGTCTTTGCGGAAGATACTCACCCCGACATCCTCGCTGGATCTGCTACGGGAGATCGATACCGTCACATCTCCGACAAGTAAACAGCAGTCCCCCCGTCCTTATGTCATCTCCATAGTCGGTGTTAACGGTGTTGGAAAATCGACCAATTTGGGCAAGATTTGCTACTTCCTGTTGCAAAACAACTATCGCGTCCTGATTGCGGCATGCGATACCTTCCGCTCTGGCGCGGTCGAGCAACTTCGTGTCCACGCCCGGAACTTGAAAGAACTCAGTGTTCGCGAAAGCGTTGGGCAAGTTGAGCTGTATGAGAAGGGATATGGTAAGGATGCAGCAAATGTGGCCAAGGATGCTGTTGAGTACGGAGCTGCCAACAAATTTGACGTTGTTTTGATTGATACTGCTGGGCGGCGTCATAACGACCAGCGCCTTATGTCTTCCCTCGAGAAATTTGGCAAATTCGCCAAACCGGACAAGATCTTCATGGTTGGGGAAGCTCTGGTTGGCACTGATAGTGTGATGCAGGCGCGTAACTTCAACCAGGCATTTGGCACCGGCAGAAACCTGGATGGGTTCATTATCAGTAAGTGTGACACTGTCGGGGACATGGTCGGTACACTGGTGAGCATGGTCCATGCCACTGGCATACCCATTGTATTTTTGGGAGTTGGGCAGCATTATGGAGATTTGCGAGGACTCAGTGTTCCTTGGGCTGTTAATTTGTTGATGAAGTGATGCGCGCAATGGTTGTTTCTTTCTTTGTTTATCTAAACAAACTGATCTCTTGCAATTTCTTTCAAGCACATGTATCTATTTCAATCACTAATTGCTTTGAGATGATGCATATCAATGTTCATATTGATCTTTATGATGAATCTTAGATATGACTGAACTCTCAGTCAACTAAGGTGTAGAACAATAGCACAGTCTTTTACTACTGATTCCAAAAGAAGCTATGTGAATGAAAGAAGGAGAAGGAGACACAACGTAGACCGTTGTTGAGATAGAAGAAAAGAGGAAGGAAACAAAAAGGAAGAAAGCAGCCCAGCTTATCACAAAGATATAAAGAACAAAAAGCAAAAAGATATGACCTACGCAGGGATCGAACCTGCAATCTCTTGATTCGTAGTCAAGCGCCTTGCCATTGGGCCAGCAGGCCTTATTGAAGGTTTTGTCAGTAAGTCTGGTAGATAAGGGGCGGCGAAGTATTCGGTGGTCCAAAAGTGGGCTTCTTTGTGAAGAATACTCCACACAGTGGAGCAAACGCGAAAGGGTGGATACTAAAGAGCATTGGTGACAGGGCATGTGTTCTACAGCATCTACAATAAGAGACAGCACTACTTATATTGACCTTGGCTTATTGTCTGTATAATGGGCTTTTGTGTTCATACATTTTGACTCAAAAGATAGAATCGAGTGGGGGATGATGTCATGTGCGGAAAAAGGCATATGGCACGTGCAGAACGCGTGGGTGAAACAAGACTTTGGTTTGCTCGGGCTTGGCTTGGCTCTGAATTCCATTGTCGGGGTCAGCAAAGACACGGAGTGCACTGTATGTGTTCACCTGACCCTGGGGTTTCCTCACAGGGTCAATGCAACTTGAGCCGCTTCTGCAGGCCATTTACCACCAGTCAAATGCTTTACAATGTTAATTTCAAGGGCTTTCTGGATGGACTTTGATGCGGGATGCAGCGATGACTCAGCACAATCCCCATTTATTCGCTTACATCATCATCCTCTATATTGGACATTCTTTTCGGCCGTTCCTGGTTCATTGCCTTGTCTCAATCGTGCTGGATCTCTTTCCTGACGCGTTCCTCACTATTCAACCTAGAGATATTGGGGCTTGCGCACAAACATCATCATAGTTCATTTTGGTCGTGGTCGAGGGTCAGGGTCGTGCCCCTCTTCGTGTTCTTCGCCGCGGCACCGACGCCACATCGCGAAAGCTTAAGAGGTCATTGATCCTCAGCGCACCCAGTAGGACCGTCATTAACGGTCCAGGAAGACAAACCCTTGGCCGTGCTGCTAATACATATGTGCTAAGTACGCTTGGGGGTTCATTACTCTGTGTGCACAACTTCCCGATCTCAAGATGAGGACGTCTGAGCGGGACGCCCTCAATCGGCGCCGTTCCTCCACACTACACTATCAGACCTTCGAAACCCCGCCGCCGAAATCGCGTGGTCGACCAAATTCTGGTGAATCCAGATCCTCGGGAGCAGACCAACCCCACGATGAACCCAACAATAATGAGTCAGAAGGACACTCTCCATTGCCAAAGAAGCAGATGGCCGTTTTGGCAATGATCTCCCTTTGCGAACAGACAGCCTTCAATTCGATCAGTCCATACTTGCCTGAGATGGCCTCGAAGTTTCCAGAGGTGGAACCGGATATGGTTGGCGTATATGTCGGAACACTTGCTACCGCTTTTGCCGTTGCGCAGTTCGCGACGAATTACTTCTGGGGCTGGTTGTCAGACAGAATCGGAAGGAGGCCGGTCATTCTGCTGGGTACCATATTGACGGCGGCATGCTTTGTTGCGTTTGGCTTCTGCAGAACATTGGCTCAGGCGATTGTCGTGCAAGCTTTGATGGGTGCCGTCAACGGCAATCAGGGCCTGGTATCTACGTGTCTGGGTGAAATCACTGACCGGAGTAACCAGTCAAAAGCTTTTACCTACCTCCCCGTCCTTTATGGAATTGGAGGCATAACAGGCCCTTTAGTGGGCGGCTTGCTGGTCTTCCATCATAACCCGTGGGATAGCAGCAAGCCCAATCCGTATCCGTACCTCGCACCCAATCTGATGTCTGCGGCAGTTTTGGTGCTGGACTTTGTCTTGTCAATATTTTTCTTGGAAGAGAGTCTTGAAGACCCTGAAGGTCTACCTAGATTGCAGCAGAGGGTCCGCGATTTCTTCTCCTGGCTGTGGCAGTTTACCAGTCTTGCGAAACGGGCGAGATATGTGCAGCCGCCACACCCGATCCCGTATCGCCCGTTTCGCGAGGAATCTGTAGATACAGCGGACCATGACAGTGATCTTGACTCGGCTTCAGAGGCATCCAGTTATCGTGGCCCTCGCCGCGCAACCTTGACGTCAACCGAACTGTTGAACCGGGACACTCTCCTACTCCTCTTAACGTATCTTGTTTTCTCTCTGTGCAATGTTGCCTACAATGCGCTCTTCCCGATCTTCTCACAGGCTGCCCCTCCCACAGGACGAGGTCTTACACCCTCAGAGATTGGTCTTGCGCAAGGATTTTCAGGTTTCGTAACGATCATCTTCCAGATCTGTATCTTTGGGAAGTTGAGGGATAAGATGGGAAATCGGTGGTCCTACCGTGCTGGCCTCTTTGGCTTTGTGGTTTCCTTCATCCTGATGCCCTTCATTGGCTACAAGGGTAACGACTCTGGAGGCCTGTCTGGTAAAACCGCACTCTTGGCCTTTGAGCTATGCTCCGTGTTGCTGGTAAAGACAATCGCCACTGTTGGCGGATTAACCAGCGCACTGCTACTGGTAAGTCTACCCCTTACATACCCCTGCCATCCAACAACCAGATAATAACAGATCCAACCACAGATCACCAATTCCGCACCTGACCACGCAGTCTTAGGAGCCCTCAATGGCCTCGCCCAGACCCTATCTGCAGCCGGTCGCGCAGTGGGCCCGTTCGTATCGGGCGGCCTGTTCAGCCTGTCATCGCGGATCGAGCCCAAGGGAGAAGCCCTAGCCTTCGGCGTTTTTGCTGGCATTTCATTCATTGGATTCCTTCTGAGTTTCGGCATTCAAGGCCGGTCCCTTGAAGCCGATGACTGGGAGAGTGACAGCGATCACTACAAATCCGACGAGGAGGAACCAGACGCGTAGGGGTCGACTTTCTTTCTGGCCAACTAAATACTCCAATTACGATTAACGAGCTTAGCACTGCTTTATATGCGAGTGTATATGTTTGATACATGATCTTTCTCTTCTTCTTCTTCTTCTTCTTTTTTTTTTTTCAACGAGCGGTGAGCGTTTGGATTTGAAAAGCGCAAGTGATTCGTTTACCTGAGAACCAGGCTTGGGGCCTTGGTCTATAAACTCCTTAGAAGCAACCGAAACGAAATGGTACATAGAGTTAGAATAGACATAACTGACTATGATGTCCATATATGTTGGATTTTACCTCAAGTCGCAGAGATCTGCAGCTATTCTTACTTAATTTAGATTGCGACATACTTCGCCGCTGCTCCTATACATTACACACATTTCGCCCGCTCAGCTTAGTCGTGGTTGGGGGGGGGGGGGGGGGGGGTGGTAAAAGGGGTACCAGATCTCAGCTGAATTCAGTTAATATCACTAAATCACTACACCATTCACTTTAACCTACTAGGGTAATAATAGATCTCAAAAGGTAAGTTCAGCTGATATAACTAAGTCACTATACAATTGCAGTTGCAGAAGACAAACTCAACCCACATTAGTAGTAGATGTACATGGATTAGACTCTCTAGGTAGTACACCATCCGGACTGGTCAGGTTAGGGCCACTTTCTATAGCTCTTAGTCCACAGTCTGAGAAAGATAAGGGAACGATGCCTGGTATATACCAAAAGGAAGACTAGTGTGCATATGCAGCCTAGCAGCGAGAGTCTGTCATAGTCTGGGAAGTGGGTGTTTAGGGAGGTGTTGATTGTTGTATCATCTGGCCACAGTGGTCTCAGGAGATTCGATTGGGATGAAGGGGTTGGAGTTGGAGTTGTATGGGATTGTCAATGTATATTCATTATTTGGAAAGATCATGATAACTATTTGGCCAAGAAGACATGTAGGTGCCAGGCATTCGAAACGAACAAATTAAAGAAAGACAGAGAGACATTGTCATGACGCACACAAAGAATAAAAACCCCCGTAATACAGAAACATAAACATCGTTCCCTACCTCATCTCGTAACAACGGATACAGCTTGAAAAAAAGACAAACAGCCTCTACCTTATTTCCATACCCACTCGACAACATGCATGAACACCTCACCCAAAAACCCGGTAAGAAGCAACCCCTGCGCGAACTCCATCAGTTCGTCATCGGGTAGCTCCAGCGCCTGGAACCGTTCCTTGTCGCCGCCGCTACCGCGCACACTGACTCGCTTCTCGATGATGGATTTGAGCATCTCTCTCCCCGGGGTGACGAGCACGTAGCGGGCTTGCGGCTGGGGCATTTCGGTGGGTACGTAGACAATGGCTTCTTGTCTGTCTGGGGAGAGCCATCGGACGCCGTTGAGGTCGGCCGAGGAAGAGGTTGACGACGGAGAGGTGGATCCGCTGCGGGAGTCTCCTTGATTAGGACCTAGGAGGGGGTTGTCAATGGTGGCGTACTGGATGTCGCAGTCGAGGGAGAAGAGGATAACAGTATTGGTGTCGGAGTTGAGCTTCATTCGGAAGGTTGTGAAGTTCCGGGGGTCGAGATAGAAGGTATAGCTGGCTGTTACGTTGACGGATTTGGTTTTGTCGACACGGCGGATTTTGGAGATGGCTTGGTCGCGTACGGAGACGGGGCATCTGGGCCTCACCGCGAGGGATTTGGATTCTCGGAGGGAGACAGATGGAATGCAGTAGGGGAAATGGGCTTGGAGGGCTTGCTTCTGGCAGATTTCATTACAGAAACGGAAGATTTTGCAGGCTGTGAGGGGATTTTAGTGCCGAATGATGATTTGGAGTGCAGGCAGGGGACTTACTGTTACAGATAATCTTCGTGGTAGTTCCGCAGTTCCCACATTGAGCTGGCTCATGTAGTGACCATGCTTTTCGTTCGTCAGCGAGGATCTCCCGTCGGCGGTTGAGGTTCGAGATTCGCCTCTCTGCATATCCGATTCTTTTCCGCGAGGGATGGTCCGCTGGTGTTCTACTTGCCATATGGATGAGCTGTTTGTATGCAAGAATCGCCTTGTCGATGGAGTCCTGATGTTCCCGAGAGACACATAGCGCACTGAGTGCATCGAAGGTCTCCGAAGCTTCAGGGCCTTTGATGGTCAGGAACTTCTCGACTAGTGCTTCGAAAAGCTCTGCTGCGTCATGGTTGAGACCATTATCCATGTATGATATCCCTAGATGGTGAATGACTTTTAGGGAGTCTGGATCTCGGGATCGTTGGTAGTGGTCGAGAATGTCTTGGATATCAGTGGGGAAGTCAAAATTATTAGAGTCTTGGAAATACCGGACAACTGCGTCTCTGGTGATAGGGCTTTTGATGCCGAAGAATGTTCTGCAGTGTGGAATGGTCCTGTTGCTTAATGTGCGGGACTCCGTGCCCAAACCAAGTTTCTGATACAAGATAGATAAACGATTCATCGCATTCAATGTCGTTGCATGTTGGAGACCAAAGACGGTTTCGAGTGCTGGAACCACTTTCTCCAATAGGAGCAAAGCAGCTTCCAAGTCGCCTAGTAAAACCTTCAGAGAAGCAAGATCCTGCATGGTACTCAGAGTCTCAGGCGCATTGTGGCCGAGCATCTTCAATCGACCTGCGAAGGAGCGTTCATATAATGCCGCTGCTTCTGTGGCGTACCCGTCTCTCTCGTATAGAGCCCCGAGGTCGTGCAGAACAGCAAAGTTCTTAGGGCTATCACGTCCAAGCGCCCGCTTATAAAGCCCTAAGGCCTCCAGGTAACAGGCTTCCGACTGGGTGGGCATGTCAAGGTTGTGATATGCTTGTCCCATGGAATGCAGAACGGTAGCTCGCGCCAGTTTGCCGTCATCGAGCGCTGGAGCGGCTTCCAGAATTTTCAGGGCGTCATGATATTCCACTACGGCTGTTCGACAGTTTGCTTGCCTCAAAGAGGCCTCTGCTCGGAGTCGAGTCGTCAGAAGAGCTTGTGACCAGACAGTAGTAGCCGCAAGCTCATCCCTCAGTTGTGAGAAAAGTTGCGCCGCCTCGTCCATTTGGAGTATTCTTTGACGTCCAGATGCATCGTGGACTACAATCCCCCCAGATATATACTGCACGTGAATGTATATGTTTTGAGTTTCTCGCAATGCGGCAACGTATTTGGCATCTTGAAGAGGTGTTTGGTTCGCCTGTTGTCTGAATTCTGCTGCCTTTTCCACCTCTAGCGAAGTTCGTACGCTTTCAAGCGTAGCTGCCCTACTTTCGCTCCTTGAGTATTTGTTGACGAAAGAGAATCGGATACTATTTGCTTTTTTGATCAATTTCTTGCGTCGGCCCGATGTTGAACGTGCGCGTGATATGCCTGCATTAATGAGTCCTTAAATTCTCATGAGGAGGTTTGCCCTACATACCCTTGGAGACCCTCCGACCAAAGATTTTCTCCAGAAAAGACTGTCTGCGAGGTATTGCTTCGTTTTGACTGTCATCTAATAGTTCGCCATCTGAGCCATGGATATCATTCCTATGATGTTCATTTTCGCAGAGAGCTAGACCAGAGCTCTTCGATCCGTATGTTGATACGTCATTAATTGCTAGCCATCAGTCAGTTAGTCGCCTACTTCTCGGTAAATGGTGCTCGTTGTCAGGTCATACCACTCGAAGTGACACTCATCGCTGACTGACTGGGATGTGTCCCTGTCGTGCTGCCTTCAAAGGGCTGATAGAAGCCGTTTGGAGCGTGCACTATACGACACATCAGCAACATAAAACACAAATTCATAAACCGAGCACAGACACACCTCTTTCTAGATCATAAAAACCTGCAAAGCTGATTGCCACTAGCTCATCTTCGTCACTTTGAGAAAACTCTCCCTGATGTCAGTGACGAACGCCGAGTGTTTGTAAAAAGGAACATACTTCTGAACGACCACGAATCTCGGATCTTTTTGACCTTCTTTACGATCGACTGGTCATGAGGGTTTGTCGCTGCCGGGGACTTGAGTCCTCGGGTGCTCATTTGAGAGATGCTGGGAGTTCGGCTGTCGATGGGACTTGCAATGTCCCCCTGGGTATCTCGGACGTCGTCCCGCGGGTCGTTCAATACAGGCTCATATCTATGGATCGCGAGGTCAGGACCTTTTTGTGTATAAATGGGTACCATGGCCGAGTACTAACGAGATGTTGCACTTTTCTCCACAATGTCTGCACTCAACGTATGATGGTGCATCTGCAAAACTGGTCAATCACGCATTCTGGATATAAGAGCAGTATGTCCTACATCGTTGTCTGTCTAGGGGTTTATCGTCGTCGACGGCAAAGTGTCTCTCGCAAATACCGCAGTAGAATCGAACTGGTCGAGAGCCTAGTGGAATGAAGCGCTTCTCCATACGATAGCCTTTTGTAATTAAACTAGAACCAAGAAATTAGTAGAGATGTGGAAAGCGACTGGATGACCTACCGATCTCGTGTCATCACATATACGGCAACCGCAGTCCCAGGACAGTACTTGGTCAGGTAATGTTGCTCCAATTCCTTCCTATCAGCCGGTCAACCAAAGGCCATTTATCGTCCACAGGCGATGTAAACCCACGAGGAGGAAAAAACCGCATCACAGTCCGGGCATCGGATATCGACCGCCCCAAGAATAGCGCCATCATCATCTCGGAACGGTGGATACACACGAAGCACTTCCTGGAAACTCTCAACCGCAACCGATGGTTCCTGCGGATCTAGTACTCCCATTCATGCTTGATTAGCTTCCCATAAATTATCTCTCATGCATCGATATGTATGTCACCGGGAAGCAGCATACCGCTCGTCGATCTGCCCGCTAAGGATAACAGAACGTCCGAAGCTCGTAGGATACGCGTTTTTGATCCTAGCCCCGTCGTATGTGATGCGTCACTCAAGACAATGTGCTTCTCCAATTCTCGCCTCGTGTCGGATGGCAATTTGTCGTCGACAACCCTAGTCAATCGTTATGGGCAGTTAGTGGGCAATTGATCTGTATCTAGGGTGGGGACTACAAGGCTCACCGATCTACGGTTGGTGACTGATAACGATCGTTTTGCATTGTCATCATACGGAAGGGAGAAAGGGAGGGAGGTAGGGAAGAAAAGTGAAAAAGTCAACCAGCAAACCTGTACCGACGGTAAGCACTTGAGGTTCACAGTCGTGAGGGTCGTCTAGCTCCAGAGACTGGGTGAGGCGTCATTTTCAATGAACTGTCGGGTTTACCCATGCGCATATGCGGGTCGATTTGGTAGAATTTCGACTACTCCATGGGGACCCCCATGGTCAACGGTTATACGGCTCTGCCGCATCATTTCCCCTGTTTCAAGGTGGGAAGTGGGAGAGTTTCGGGTTCTTTCACCCCTCGCATCCCAGCGGACCAAGAGGGTTTTAGGGGGGCAATGTTAAACGACAAGGAATTGGTCCCGATTTTAGATGAAATGATTGACCGACGCATTCTGGACGGAGATGAAAGGGTTTAGCTGATTTGCCCTACTGCGATCGAGATGGTCATGGCGAACGTCGCCCGCAGGCCCAACGGATGCAACAAGAACGTCTTGCAGATAGATCAACCAGTAATAGTATTCTTTGATATTTTTCTTCTATCCTCGTTTCGCTCCCCTGCGCAATAAACAGTGGGCCCCTTGCGTCGAACTTGGCCAGAGAATCGTTCACAGTGTTCTTCTCCTCACCCCCGGATCCGCGTGGACTGTCTGTTCTTCATTTTGAGTTCTGTTCCTTTCCCCGGTGGAAGGATGAGAATCTTCGCACAGCATGGAGCACCGTCGGAACAATGGAATTGGCGTCTCACCTGTCATAATCTGGCATGGTATGGGTGCTTTGACTTTTCTCGCCGATCATCGCCACACATACCCGCCGAATCAAGGTGACAGGTCATAAGTGGCCACCCTTCCAGTTGGCGGGATTCAATAATTGACATAGTTCAGCAATAGTTAGATCGGAGAATTATCTGGCCCCATTACTAGGTTCGTGGCTATTGTAGCATCCCCAGAGGGCTGAGCACGACGCTGGGCAGCAGGCGAACTCGGAGATTGTTTGAGGGAGTGTGGAAGGACGATTGATCCTTGGGGGGATCACACCAGTCAGAGACCACGTGAATTGCAAGAAATCAATATTGAGAGTAGCCCTGAGCCCTGACTATAACAATAACTTTGATATCAAGAGACCAGCGAGCGTAAAACGAGTACAATGGAACATTCCCAGTGAAAATAAGAATGCCACTTAGGGCAAGATCAATTAATTAGCCTTTGGCCCTGTTCCTAATCAATTCTATTCAATAACCCAACAATCAAGGGCGTCGAATTGATAATTACTGGCAGTAAACTCCGGACAATCCCCCAGAGGCCCAAGCCCAGTCCTCCTTCGTATATCGTACTTACGACGATTCGAGTAAGGGCCGGGGAGTTGCAAGTTCCCTGGCAGAGCTCTGGTGGAGACGATCAACCTCGGTCCAGGTAGTCCAGAGTATGTACTCTCTCGATAAGCTCGATAAGAGAGTCTCGACTCTCCCGATGACGAAGTTCATAAACAAGGAATAGAAAACAAAATATTTTCAGAGCACTAAATCAAGAATCTAATCTGGCCAATGTCCATGGTTCCAAAGAATCATTACTCATCTTTTGTATATCAGAAGGTGAAAAAAAAAAAGAAAAATCCAGTTCGATGTCAACGTGACGTTCATCAACCCTGCGACGTCATTTTGACGTGCCGGACCCAACCCTAACATCCATTCAGAAATTTGGCATTACGGACAAGTTATAAGAAGCTGAAGATGATTGTACTATACATGGCCATGATATACGTCTTTCTATCATGCAAGTAATGACTGTTTCATGAACATACTCTGTATCCCACCTTAATCTCTCTCTGACTAGCTATCTCATCATCCCTAATCCATCCAACCCCAATCATGGCCAACATTGTGGCTGGGGGCCTCCACAAGGTCCAAGAAGCAGTGCAGGGCGCCGCTTCAAAGGATAAGAAGCTAGTTGATCTAGCACCCGACACCCACAATGTACAGTCCAGCAAGGAGCCACTGACCACCGACCATGGCGTGCGCATCAGCGATACGGACCACTGGCTGAAGGAGGTGAATGATAACCACACCGGACCGATGATGCTGGAGGACCAGATTGCACGAGAGAAAGTACGATTCCCCGGATCGGCGTCAATCAGAGGTAGATCTTTAGGCTAACCGCAATCCAGATCCATCGCTTCGACCATGAGCGCATTCCCGAGAGAGTCGTCCATGCGCGTGGCACCGCTGCATTCGGAAACTTCAAGCTCCACGAGAGCGCTGAGGATGTATCTTATGCTGGTATCTTGACAGATACCTCCCGGAACACTCCGGTTTTCCTTCGTTTCTCCACGGTCCAAGGCAGTAAAGGAAGTGCCGACACGGTCCGTGACGTTCGTGGGTTTGCCGTGAAATTCTACACCGACGAAGGAAACTGGGATCTCGTTGGAAACAACATCCCCGTCTTCTTCATCCAAGATGCGATCAAATTCCCGGATTTCGGTACGTATCTCTTCCCAGCGAAGGGAGTGGACGATTCAAAAACTAACAGGAATAGTCCATGCCGTCAAGCCCGAGCCACATAACGAAGTACCTCAGGCCCAAACGGCTCATAACAACTTCTGGGACTTTGTCTATCTTCACCCGGAAGCCACCCATATGTTCATGTGGGCCATGTCTGATCGGGCCATTCCTCGGTCATACCGTATGATGCAGGGCTTCGGAGTCAACACATTCAGTCTCATCAACAAGGAAGGAAAGCGCCATTTTGTTAAATTCCACTTCATCCCCCACTTGGGAGTACACTCTCTGGTGTGGGACGAAGCCCTGAAACTGGCCGGCCAGGATCCCGATTTCCATCGCAAGGACCTCATGGAGGCCATTGATAACGGCGCATACCCGAAATGGGACTTCGCCATCCAGGTCATCCCCGAGGAGAAGCAGGATGACTTCGAGTTTGACATCTTCGACGCGACAAAGATCTGGCCCGAGGAACTCGTGCCCCTGCGCGTCATCGGTGAACTGGAACTGAACCGCAACGTCGACGAGTTCTTCCCTCAAACCGAGCAAGTCGCATTCTGCACCAGCCACATCGTCCCCGGCATTGACTTCAGCGACGACCCGCTCCTCCAGGGCCGGAACTTCTCCTACTTCGACACCCAGATCAGTCGACTGGGCATCAACTGGGAAGAAATCCCCATCAACCGCCCCGTTTGCCCCGTCCTGAACCACAACCGAGACGGCGCCAAACGCCACCGCATCGCCCAGGGCACCGTCAACTACTGGCCGAACCGGTTCGAGGCCGGACCCCCTGCCCCAGTCGAACAGGGTGGCTTCGCGTCCTACCCCGCGAAGCTGAACGGGATCAAGAAGCGCGGCCTGAGCCCCAAGTTCCGCGAGCACCACAACCAGGCCCAGCTCTTCTACAACTCGCTCTCCGAGCACGAGAAGGTCCACGTCAAGAAAGCCCTCGGCTTCGAACTGGACCATTGCGACGACCCCCTCGTCTACGAGCGCCTCGCCGGCCACCGTCTCGCCGAGATCGATCTCCCTCTCGCCCAGCAGGTCGCCGAGCTCGTCGGCGCCCCCGTTCCCGACAAGGCGCTCCGCCCGAACCACGGAAAACGCAGCAAGCACCTCTCGCAGACCGAGTTCCCGGGCAAGCAGCCGACGATCGCCAGTCGCCGGGTTGCCATCATTATCGGCGACGGCTACGACCCCGTCGCCTTCAACGGGCTCAAGGGCGCGATCAAGGCGGCGGGAGCCTTGCCGTTCGTCATTGGCACCAAGCGGTCGCCTATCTATGCCGATGGCGAGGACAAGTCGTCTTCCAAGGGCGTGATCCCCGACCACCAGTATGATGGACAGCGCTCCACGATGTTCGACGCCACCTTCATCCCTGGCGGTCCGCACGTCGAAAGCCTCAAGGCCAATGGTCAGATCCGGTACTGGATCATCGAGACGTTCGGTCACCTCAAGGCTCTGGGCGCCACTGGCGAAGCGGCGGCTTTCATCAAGGAGGCGCTGGGCTCCTCGCTTGATGTGAAGGTCGCTACGTCCGACCATCCCCAGCCGGTTGAGTGGTATGGTATTGTCACGGCGGGGAAGATCCAGAAACCCGAGAGCTTCAAGGAAGGCATCCAGATTGTCAAGGACGCGAAGGATTTCATCAGCACTTTCTTCTACCAGATCAGTCAGCACCGGAACTACAAGCGTGAGCTGGATGGTCTTGCCTCGACGGTTGCATTCTAATTGCTTTCGTGCTTGCTTGGGGGCACGGAGGACTGTGTTGAAAGGCAAAATTGGCGTTTTTTTAGTCAATGTCATCATTGTAATGAACTGTGTTTCTATTTTGTGTGGATGGTCAGAATGTACGCTAATATAAGTCATGAAAATACTCCATTCTAATTGTATCAATTGTGAATACCAAACGGCATCGAAAGGCAGTTTATCAATGTTCTCTTGAGGTATCTAATATACAACATCTTTGATATGTAGGAGAGAGACGTAAGAAAGGATCGTACATAGTGGGTATCATAATCTGGTACAGCGACAAGCTCGGGCTGAAGCGATGTGGGGGAACAAATGTTTCATAATCAAAAACGGCGCACGGCGCCTCTGCTTTCAAAACGGCGTGATAAGAGTTCGTTGTAAGTCATACAACCCAAGGAAAATAAAATCGAAATGAGTGTACAAGCGATATGCTTCGTCATGGCGAGTATTGGCTTTCAGGCCCATCTCCAGACAGAATTGATGGATTCTGGGCTGGCGATGACCGAGGATAAGATACTGTTACTGCGATATGCTCGCATAGGAACGACATTGTTGTTGTGTTGGTAATTCTGGTGCTCTCTCATAAGAAGAGATACGGCAGCATTCGCGTTGATCCCTTCGCCGCTATCGGTAACTTTCAGCGCCCATTTGGCGTCTTCTTCTTGGAAACCCAGCTCCCGCACCATCATGTCAATAGCCTGATCCACAGGATCGCGGACCTGAGGTGGTTGGTACGGGGCAAGGGGCGGTCGGGACTTGACTGCATATTGACTGCTCGACGGTCCACAATACGCAACGTAAGACGCCATCGTGGGTGGTGCAGGCATTGGTGGACGTTGCTCGTATGGCACACCTTCAAGGCGGCTCATGATGAAGGAATATTTGGAGATGGGGCGTTCGTCTGAAAACGAGTGGGGGCCTGCGTTCATTGGCCGTCTCGGTTGGGTTCGTAGCTGGTCAGCGTAGGCTGCCTGTCTCCGACGTTCATTTTCTAGTTGAAGCTGGGCCGCTCTTGCATTGGCACTTGCCGGGGAGCTGGTGTCATTAGAAGAAGGGGAACTGTCCTCTGACGTTCGTGGAGACCATTGACATGGGCTTTCACACCGTGACCTATAGACTTTCGAAACCGCCTCCTTGAGAAAGGCCGAGCGACTGACCCCAGACTCGGAAGACTCCCACTTGGTCAAACCGATAGACTGGGCTCTTCTCAAAGTCGCCGCACAGCCTCCGGGGCCGGTCGAGGCCATGTTCAGAACTGCTGAAGGGCCAAGTGTGAGAACATAGTACGTCCATTCCTCTATTCGACATATTAGCTTGACTGAGAGGAAAATGGCAAAAAAAAAAAAAAAAAAAAAAAAAAAAGGGACTGACCTAGCACAGCTGCCGCCCTGGCAGTGTCCTGTTCTGTTACTCGATGACCTGCAAATATGCCGGCTTCACGGGCTTCTTTGCATCTTCCATGGATTGGTTGAAGGAGCACGCCCAAGCAGGTCCACATCTCAGTCATATAGTACAGTTGATCGTTTGATAGTCCGCCTTTGTTACCATGCCCAAACCCTGTCGGAGGTTCGAACAGAATATCATACATGCCGAATGGCTCAGTAACCGACGCCGTGGCCCCATGCTTGCGGCCGCTCACAGCCATAGCACCCCCGTTCAGCCAGTCCACCTGACCCACGATATCACCCTCTCGGCTCTTCCCACTACCAAAAATACGACAAAACGTCCAGATTCTCCAAAGGGCATCATCAATTTCCTTGGCGCATGCATCGTCTTTGCCTGTAAGACCGCGGATCGTTTCCTGACGCAGAAACGTTTCACACCGAGTTAAAATGAGCAATTTGAGTTGAGCAAGCGTATAGATATCTTGAGCATAGCGCTGAAGATACAGAGCAGGGGTGTATTCTGGGACTGGGCTGTCGGGGTCCACCAGGATCTGCCATTCGGTACTCCATGGCGGGCTCATTTCGCGTAGCTCCCACGCGGGAGGGGACATTGTGAAGACAGCGCCTTTGATAAGTTCTAATTCATGATCTTTGAAAACACGATAGAACTGTCTGGAAATGATGGCAAGACGAAAAAGATCGTCAAGCGAGCCCACTTCGCGTAAAAAGGCAAGGACCACCTTGTCAGGCAGGTTCCCCGGCATGTGTAAGGTAGGCAGGTAATCTGAGATTGTAGGCTTCCTGTGAGGTTCCGGGGCGCCACCGTCGAGCTCATAGACCATTTCCGGGAGCTCCGCTATCTCCATTTGGTGAGACACATTATTAGAAACGGAAACCGTTATCTTGCTTTTAGACACAAAAAACTTCTCCTTGAAAATAACTTGATCCGGTGAGTTTTCGCGTTGCGAAGCCTCCACCTTCTCGGGACGTTGAATGGCTTCCTTTTCTGTACTGGGCTCTATTTCCTGGATTGGCGAGCAGGCGGTTTTGGTCCCCTTTACCTGCAGCCGCGGAAGCTGCATGCGCAGCTCCCTTTCAATGGACTGGGATAGAGGCTCCAAGATCTGGTTCGGATTTGGGAAGCTTGGCAGGCCTGCCATGTCGTCTTTGCTCTTACGTTCTTTGCAGTCGGAGTCCTCCGGGATACGAACGGCTGAAGACCCCGCCTCCGATCTCATATTCGGGCTGCTCCACGACCGGGTATGTAGATGGCTGTATTTTCTGCTAAAACCCGACAAATGGAAATTGAAAGCCCCCTTGTTCTTCCTTGCCCTTTCGTCTTCACGTGCCTCAACTTTTCGCTTTGGTCGCATATCGGTTGGCGGTTGCGGTGCTGGGCGCGACGGGATCATCTCCATTTTGCCTCTGCTAATTTGTAGTGGCTCGTTCAGTAAGTGTAAAGGGACTGTAGGCGAATCTGCTCTAAGACCGGAGAGAGTGTTCTCCAAGTCCTCTGCTGCCACTGAGAGCCTTGACTTCCCGCTCTGAGGGCTAGCGGATGTAGAGGTACGGATTTTAGGTGGATCTTTATGACGGACAGAGAGTGGGGTCAGCCGAATGGCAGGCTCAAGTGGGAGAGGCTTATTCCTCAACTCGGCTGCAGAGAGCTTTTTTACCAAGGGGCGAGAAGGCGGCCGTCGGATTGACGCCAGATCGTCAAAGACTCCTGCGTCAGCGGGGGAGACTATCGAAAATGTATCAGCCCGCTTTTTAGTGGACCCTGGGGATCCAGAGTCCAGACTTGTTGCCGATGATCTCCGACTGTAGCACGAGGAACCCTCCGGCGAGGACGATGAGCAGGAACCAGCTTTCTGTCCTACATCGTCAGCGTGGGGTCTGGGATCAGTGGAATGCTGTGTTTCGGCGGATGACAGGGATAAGGATGTCGCTGGCGTCATAGTGCTTATCGGGGACACGAGTGAGAAATGCGATGAGAGTTCGGGGAAAAAGCGAGCCCAGTGGTTTCCTGACTTCCGATCCTGTCGTGGATCCGACACGGGGGAAATGGATCCATCGTCGCTCTCGAGGTCGTCTTCTGCATCAAACCAGCACACGTTATTCGCATAATCACTTGCGCAACCCTCGCGCTTCGCTCCCATCGGTGTCTTGTACGACACTGGGGCAGACGAGGAAAGTCCACCTTGCGAGCTTAGTATGCCCATCTTGTGAAGGATCTATGAATAGTTGGATAGAGGCTGTGAAGGTGTAGGTCGTGTTTTCCCCCTCCTTAAAACGACTTGGCGTGTCTGATGCTCCCGTGGCGATGGTACAATCAGACAAACCAGACTCCCGGGTCTTTTCCCACCCAGTACATTGGTCTTCGTTGGACACTTGGAAATCGTCTTTGTTGTTTCCAAGAATGACAATCTTACCAATCGCGATTCCGCCGGCGTCGCAACAGATGGTGAGTCCAGTCTATGGCCAGTCCAGGTCAGAGGATTTCCCCCTCTATGTCCAACGTGAAGTCGATGTCTGCAAAACGTCCCGGGTCCCAGAAGGGGACGCAAATGGACGGAGATAATGCAATGCAGGTAATCACACGCGCACCGGTTCTTTGTCAGGGCTTCAATGGCTAATTGACCTTGAAGAACCTTGTGACAAGCGTAGACAAAGACCCGCGGAGGCCACCTGCGGGGGATTGGTTAGCACAATCCTGGCCGTGGAAGCGTCGGTTGCGCAGGAGAAGATCCAACGAACCAGTTAGCTCGCGGGGGTGGAAACGGACAAAAAGTGACCCTAGGGAGGGAGTTACGAACAATTTGCGGGAGAGATGGGAGAGATGAGGTGGTGCGAACTTATATCGAATGGGGCACTATAGCGTCTTATCGCCTTGGGTTTGGGTCAACGTGTGCCCCATGGTCCACAATTGTAATAGGAATAGGTTTGAACTTTGGGAATGCAGTTCAACCGTCTTCGCTGCAGAGAGGGACATGATGTGATCTAATTATGGGGGTACCTGGAATGACACTTGAGCCACTGGGCTGACGCCCATGTACATTTTGGAGAATGCGAATGGGGGGAACTAATTTGGGTCCACTCGGGCTAATGCACGGAGAGATTTTAGTCTTTTTTCCTTCGGAGGGTCACGAGTGACACATCCACGAGGGGGTTACGATACAGCATCCGTACCGTACACGGATCTATTTCGGTCTCACTCAACTTCAAGGTTCGGTCGGAGAGTCTCCCCCCAGAAAGAATTATAAAAGAAGACATTAATCTTCTTTGTCTGACGATAAACTTAGGAACCCTTTTGCCATGACATGAGTCTCCGTCCACGATGATGAGCAATTCCTTCTCATCCCCAACCCCCTCTTCCCAGGAGAAGTTGCATGGCAATGGATCGGCATACCAGTTCGTATCAAACAGAGCGAGTGCTAAATCAAGATACAGAGTAAGTTTGCCTTGGATAGGTTGTTGATCCTCTCGCCGGGGCTGTGCCACGCCGACCATGCAGTTTTCTTCACACTGGCCCAGGGAAATGGTCTTATCATTCATGCAATAGCAATTAATTTATTCCGATATTGTTTCTGTTAATAGTAATTTTACTCTTTCCCCTCTTGTTTTTCTAAATGTCGGTAATGAGTGCAATTTGAGAGGATTAATCAGTTATGATCATGCTTGACTCTTGCTGACCCAAATGACTACCCACCAGCCTCCAATAATCTTTTGAATCTCATGCAAGGGAAACACGTTCTTTTTCACTCACTGGATTTCCCCAAACAGGCAACTCGTCTTTCTTTTCTTTTCTTTTTTTTTTTTTTTCCTCCCTTTTTTTTTATGAGCTTCTAGGGTGAAAACAGCGTAACCTCGTGCAGAATAGTGGTAATCTGTAATGTGACCGGGGTCTTTCGTCTGGCCCTGTCTCATGCAGCTTACGCTGGGAATTCGCGTCCCATATCCATGCCCTGGGTCACTCCTGCTGTACAGTAATTAAACACTTTATTAAACACTTTCTTGTACTACTGTAGACGACGACTATTGAATGTCAAACTCTTGGCCTTCTCGAGTCTCCCTTCACCGAGTCCTCCACCCATCATTTGAGTTAGGGTTTGTGGGCAAACCCCAGGCCCGAACCACATCAGATAGCAAAGAAGTTAGAATGTGGATAAAGATCAGCCCGACTGGTTCTTTGTTGTACGCCTTGCCCACCCGTTCCCTTCCCGCCATTTGGATGTTCCCGAGGAATGTTCGGAGCAAGCTGATCTGCTTACTCGAAGGCATGTCGCAACGGGGAGAGCTGTGCCTCGTAGGCTGACTCGGGAGTTATGTTCCGCTCCGGTATGTGTTCACATATCAAGTTGTCTGGCAGCGCCCTTGATGATGGTACATGTCAGGGCCCGCTCAAGGGAGGCGGTTTCATGTCGGGTGAGATAATTCCTGATCCTGATCGTTCAGACGATCTTGCTTTTCCCTTTCTTTGTTGGCTGGAAGTTAAGTTTCTTGAGTTTCTCCCGAGACATGTCTTTCTTCCCATGTCTGACTGGCTCACTCCCTCGATTGAGATAGTACTAGCGTTGGGGGGGCAGATACAAAAAAAACGTGGCAATGTCGCTCAACCTAGTCGATTCTGTTCATTTCGGTGAGCTGCCGATGATGCAGCAAGGTGTCGCTCACTACTAATCTACTATCATGATCATCCTCAACCCCGCTCGGCCCCTTCACACTATTACGTCCGTTTCTTTCCTGCCCCAATTCTTTAGTCGCAGATGGGTTCCACCAACACATTTATTATCTGGTCATCCCAGCTATTTCCCAAAAGTAGATACCACTTCGCCTACTAGTATATTCGGATCCGGCACACAATGCGTCGGATCCCACGGCAAAACGCCCCAGCGCCGTCGCCCAACTACCCCGACATCAAGCTCAAGTAAACAGCCCAGACGACCCCGAAGACACTCCCAACCAGCAGTCGCTTCTCTGCTGGAACCACAGTAAAATTCAGAATGGAGACCAATGGCCATAGCTTGAATCCCGCGATCAGGAGGGGCCAGAAATCCTATGCCACCAGCGTAAGTCAGTCAGCCAAAAACAATGTCTCCACCAAGCCATGGGAGTGAGTGATATCGGAATATACGGACCTTGCGAATCTGGGCCACCAAAACATCATATTCCTGCCCGCGCAGCAGGCCCATGGTCAAACTGAAAAGCACGGTAGCCCAGGCGCCACCGACGACCTGGTCGATCACGATCTTTGCCACCGTGTTCTTGACATTTAACTTCTTTTGTTTGGGCTGGTCCGCCTTTTCGGTCTTTGACTTGGTGACGGCGGCCTCCGACTCGTTAGGATGGCCTGGAAGGACCGATTCCAGACCCTCCAACCACAGGAAGGTCATGGGGGACATCACAAAGGCACATGTTGTGAATTGAAACAGTGTTTGCAGATCCAGTTCGAACGGTTTCTATGGAAGTGTTTGAAGCTATCCGGCGCGCATCATGGAGAGAGTGCTGATGCATAATCATTCAATGCATATAACTCCGACCATGGCGCCGATTAGCGAATCAAGCCGTCAGCCCATTTTTTTTTTTCTTTCTTTTATTAATATTTTTTTTTTCTTTTTTCCTTACTAGCCGCATGCATGAATTAATCTGGGATATTGGGGGCCAATTTGCTAAGGTGTCTTACCCTCTGCCCCCCCGCCCCCATGTTACATGCATATCCTACTTACCTCGTTTCTATATGACTGAATGCTCTGCGCCAGGACGTTCGACCCGGCATTAATCAGCGCAGCTTGTAGAGTGGCCTTCGCGATGGGCGGAAGCGCCATAATGACGGATGGTTCAGTGACAAGGGCCAACCGCCAACTAACTGCTTGGTAAATACGAAAGGTTAGCTGGATTTCCTCCTCGTAAACCCCGCCATGATCGATCATCACCGTTAATCGTCAAGCGACGTACGCTAAATACGAGTTGCCGAAACGGGGGCAGAACACAGCCTTACTCGCCTTGGGCAATTTGATTGGCTCGATAACGTCGTTGGTGGAAACCTGGACGTTCGGGCCAAGCAGAATTGAAGAAAAGAAAAGAAAAGAAAAAGCCTGAAGGATGGATTTGCAACTGCCAGTTCCGCAGAGATACCCCGATATATTTAAGGATACGAGGGTCCGCCCTGTGCGGTCCGACGCGCTGGGGATGTGGAGTGGAAGTTGTTGGTGATCGTTCTAACGGCGCAATTTCAGTTGAGAGAAAGAGGAAGGTTTATACGTCCGATCACTGATTCGATGCTGATCTGATCGGTACGATCCACCGAGAGTTTTTCTCGAGGCTTTGCTTCTTTTCAGTCCCCCTCGGTAAGAGTAGAAGCAAGGTGTGAGTCTGAGACAACTCGAAATGATTAATTAATGAGCTATCTATTGACCAGATTGCAACAACGGTGCCAAGATTCCACTGATCCGTTCGGTACGGACGCTACACGTCTATCTAACCTGCGGAAATGCGGACGCGAACAATGAAAAATCAATCAACAAGAATAAAGAAAATCTCGAAACATACACAAGTTTACCATGCGAGATTTTTTCCTCGGAGCTCACTCGTACAGTCGAGTTCCTTGCAGACTGCCATAGATTATTAGCACACTCGGAACGCACACATATACGAGTTAGACGGTACTAACGTTGTTCAGCTTGCTGAAACCTGGAATTCTCCCGTTGCTTTCTCATCGCGGGAAACACTTCGGCTCCCTGCGCCTTTTCCAGCTTGATATGAGCTTCGAGGCAGTCGAGAATATTCTTCTGAGATTCTACCCAGGCGGAATTGATTCAGCGCTCATGGAGAACACAAAACCTCACACCAAATAAAAAAAAAGGAAAGGAGAAGATATTACCTATCTCTTCAGTGTGAAGGCTTGGGGGCACAGATGCGAATGACCTTCAGGCCCGGTCAGTAGTCAGTTCGCGTTTATGCTAACGCTGTGTCCCGAACGTACCCTTGATATTCTGTTCCTAGTTCCCGAGCTTTCTCCTCCAACAGTTTACTCAATTTCTCCGCAACGACCTGGGAATGAGAACCAACATCTTTCGAGCAGTACAGGTCGTATCTGATTGCCGTTGTTTGTTCAGAGACTGGTAAGAAGTTCAGTACATACCACCATCCAGAGGACTGGATGGACTGAAAGGAGGTAACAGGAAAGAGCGAAAAGTGTTCTGATTTCCCCCTAAAACGGCCCAAGATACTGATCACTTGGGATATATAGCTTTTATGCCCAATTGTATTCTCCAATTCGACAATGTCGATCAATTGCTTTGACCTGACTGCTAGGAAGTCAGACACCAGACTAAGTAAAGAGCAATAGATCAACTCACGCGCCATTTTCCAATTGAAATCTGCCTTGATTGTTTGCCCTGCTACCCAGATAGACTGAGAGTCCAGTCTATTGCGGTTCGCAAAGGCATCTAAAAGACTGGTGTCGGCCGGCGAGATCCTTGGGCTAGCCTCAAGGTTAACGAAGACAAATCCGGCTCCGTTCGTAACCGTATGGATGGCGAATAGGCTGTTCTGTGATCTGTCAAAGCCGGGAATATCATCGAAATGAGGAGCCTTGGTCAGCTCGCCGTAGGTGTTATAACTCCAGCCATGATATCGACAACCAAGCACCGCAGAAGACCCGCATTCCTTCTTTGTGACTGTGTATGCTCTATGACGACAGACATTGTGAAAAGCTCTGACTTTCCCATCTTTTCCTAAGATCAGAAAGATGGGAAACCCAGCCACCTCGTAGGACTGATAGTCACCAGCCTTCGCAAAGCGACTCCGATGGGAGAGACACAGCCATGTCTAGATGTCAAATTAGATAGTGCATCTTTTAACACAGTGGTCCAGTGATATATATAACTTACCTTACTGAATATTGCACGCTTCTCAAGCTCGAAAATATCCTTGCTCACCCACCAGCCTGCTGGGAAATCTGATTCTTTGGAGACTCCACGATTTTCCTCTTCCGTGACATCTGTAATAGTATCGAGGGTCTCGTATTTCCCAAGATTCACTAGCTTAGAGGTTGAAGTTGAAGTGTATGGCCAGAACCTATATAGAAAAGCAATCCCAGCTAGCAGTGCAAGTAACGTGGGTGCTGTCAGCAAGGTGAACGCTTCCATGGTGATTCCCGTTTAAAGTATCTGTGAGCCTTCTAAACGAAAATTTGTCCCCAGAGCTTCCAGGAACTGGGGGATACCTATAAAAGGATTTTCTCGAGCGCAAAGAGGACTTACATGATTCAAGGCTCGATGATCGTTGGCCTTCACCTCCGCATGCCTGCATATCTGTTATCACATCCTCCGAGGTTAGCCAGCAAATCGTGTTGACCGCTCATAAGATTGCCAGATTAGGATGAACTTTCCAGGTGCACTTGAAGTAACAGGTTCTCTGAATGTGACATATGATCTCGGTTAACGCATGGTTTTGCTCTTCGTCGAAGGTGAGGTTACATGGCATTTAAAATCTCCGAATTTGATCAAGTATAACTACCAATAGATCATCTCGTAGAGCTTTGACTTTCGCAACAAAGGATAATCCAGGTAATCATAAACACAAAGTTGCCAGAATGGGCTCCGCCTGCAGCTAGCTATTCTCATGCGGCCGCCGTAATTCGCTCCAGTCCCTTGTCTTGCTCTTGTGTCACTGAGGTGACGCTCTCCTCCGCTATCTGATCTGCGGCGTGTTGCTGGCACACCAACTCAAATACTCGGTCCTGGTAGACTGGGAGATGTTAGCGGTGGGGTTAGAAGCTTCGGATTTCTGTCGTACTCACAGGAGACACCGTTCTCTTTCTCCGGATTCAAAATCCCCTCGCTGTAAACCCCTCTGCCAAGGTTATCCTGGGCTTTCTCGCAGAGCTCAAAGTCCTCCATAGCTACCTGACGGACGAACTTGTAGTATTCTTTGAACTTCTCGCCGGATTCCATGTGGTAGTAGTCGAATTCCATCCGGGTGATATTTGGAGCTTCTGTTGGGCAAACCCGGAACGAAGACATCCCTCCACCATACACATTCAATGTGCAGTTCGGGAAGAAATAGAGAAACAGGCCATCGTCTGGCTTATTGGGATCTGCAATGTGCTGCGAAAAGTTCTGGTGATTGTGAACGGTGTAGAAGGTCGGCGGGTAGTAAATGGAGAACGATGGATGAGTGTATTGGCAATGAAGGCATTCTTGATATCCGTCGACCCTGCAGTTGGGATATAAGCATGAATTCACTTGATATGTACTATCAGGGAGATTACATGGTCTTCCAGTTGAATCGGCCTTCGTATTTGATACTGTGTCTGTAGGGTAGTCTCGTAAAGTCTACTCTCTGCAACAATGGTTCCAGGTCCGGAAAATACTCATGAAAGCTGGGCGCTTCATCTGAGATGGTCGTGAAGATGAGGCCTGTTGGGGTTATATGGTACCGTAGTGGATTTTCCTGTTATCGTCAGACCAGCACATTCTATCAGGCAATACAGACACCTCCTGGAATTTTCTGTCTCGGTATGCATCTAAAGTAAAGGACACGAGACGTACTGTTTTCGCACAAACCACCTGGAACTCGCCTGGTTCAGGTAGAGGAGAAGTGCCAGAGACTCTGAAAGCCAAAATAGGCTGTTGTGCAATCTCATACTCGATCTTTTCCCCGACGTTCTGAAACTTCGTCACAGGGCCAAGCAGATACCAAGACTGGGTCTATTAGCCACTTTCAAACCTCACAGATCCAAGGCCGACTGGCATGCCTTCATGAAAACAGCTCTTCGCTCAAGCTGGTAGAGCGGAGGGCTGCAGTACCAGGAAGCTGGCAAAGTGCGTGCAAGTTCGGACATTTTGCACAGTTTCGATATTAGTACCGGTGATAAGGAGAACAGGTGTCCTTGCGAAACGGGAGCCATAGTTATCCTGCCTTATATATTCTCCCATTGTTTCAGTGTGACTGATTGATCTGCACAGAAGTACATCTCTTTGCTCTTCAATTGGACAGGCGTATCGTTGCCTGAACGGGCTATGCGATCCGGATCCCGCGGCCGCGGCTTCATTGTGTGTTGTACTCCTACAAGTATACGGCTTGATTGGGAACTTACAGCCTTCGGAGATGTGGTCAACTCCAAACACATTTCTCTTCGCTACTTCTGTGTATCTCATTCTACATAAGTACATTCGACTCAAGTCGTAGTCGAGCACCGTAGTCCGCGTTGATGAGCGAGGCTCTGTATAAGACGGGTTGTTGTTGGCTACACAACGTACCAACACCATCGATTATCATATTAACTGGATAGTGAGAGCAGGCAGACGTCTACTAGACAGCATCAAAGCATTAGTGATGTGTCATGAAGCTATTGTTGTCATCAATGCCTCCGCAGTGGTAGTCACCTGGTACCGAGGTAGGGTTCGCTCCTTACCTAATGGTTTGAAGAGTGGCCAATGATGGATGACTTGAACAGATGATCTATCTGTAGCTTTGGACCTACGAAGTAACGTAACATTCAGGCCTGGACGATACTCATAGACCTACATGTACTTTGAACCCGGAATGAGGAGAACCCAACACCTATCAATATAAATAGTACAGTCCAATCCATTTATCTTCTGATCTTCAAGTATTAGTAGAAAAGATCCACTATATCTTAATAGCTTTATAAGAGGAGAAACTTGTCTCAAACACATTCATAGTCTAGTTCACTTGTAAGGCTTGAGCGGCCATCAATTTCTAAACAGCTACATGAACCTCAGCTTCGTCCTGATGCATCACAGTGATCTACATAGCATCGATCCTGACGTAAGACGTGAGTAGTAATCCCATTCTGACAATTTAGAACCCGTGTCTCCCTGTTATTGTAGGCAGAGTAACTTAACTAAGGGAATCAGACCCGGCCCGGCATAGTATAACCAAGAGCTGGTTCGGACGGGACGAAGGGTTCAACCTGTGGGGCAGTGGACTCGGGGGTTTATCCAACTTGAATTCGGGTTGCCGACTGGGTCATCTTGTAATATTCTGGGTTTCCAGAGGCCTGTGGTATGAACAGAATCTAGTCCATCCTCCACGATACAGATACCTTTGACCAACGGTCAAGGCCCAACCATAGCCTGATAATCCCAATATGGTGTCCTCAATTCGTGAGACGTATTTTTTCTCCTCGGATCTATCAAAATCAAACAAAAAGGAGGATTAATGTTCTTCCAGCGTGGGCGATTTTAGCCAGGCAGCAGTTATTTCGATTGTGGCGATGCTGACCGTTATCGATAAATTAGTATAAATATGATCTACGGAACCAGCCACATGCCGCATACCTTGTTTGCTATTCTGTGGAACTTATCTTCTTTTTCGCAGCAGGAGAAGAAGAGAGACCGAAAAGAAAAAAAAAAGCATACTGCTAAGCAATGAGTGATCTTGACATATAAACATACAATCATTGGCAGTTTCATGAGTGGAGATCACATGCAGCCGTGATCAGGTGGATCTCCATTGGTTTCGTGACGTTTGCGCCTTTCTTCATTTCTCCCCGCAATCCACCTACCAAACGGGGGATTTCTACCAACAAATAACTACTTGGATTACGGAGAAGGATGAAATATCTTTCCTGAGACATTCCAACCAAAACATCATCCATCTGTAGTCTTGAAATAAAGACGCAAAAAGAGAAATGGCGCGCAAGGGAGTCCAGTACACTCCGCCGCCGTCGCCGCCGTCGCCCACGGCTTCTTACTACGACGTCAGCGACGACGAGGAGGACGATTACAATACCATCTCACATGCAACAACTGGGAGAGGGGTCAAACTACTCTTTTCCAAAAGCAAGGTTAGACTATCGAAGAATGTTTTAATCAATATCAATTAATCGCTGACGGTTCTGATCTATACCGAGCATTGCAGGTCTACGTTCACCCCACCCCTTCCTCCAAAGATAATATTCCCGGGTTCATCGCCCTCATTCAACAAAAGCCGGCTCATGATGCCTCCAATGCGATTGCATCGACCAACTCTTCAAGAAAGGCCGAGCTATCATCATACCTGCTTGCCTGGGTTCCGGAATCCTCGCTAGGCGACGCCTATAGCACCTACGTCAAAGTCGATCTTGCGGGCGACTCCTCTCCGCCGCGACAGAGATATTTGGTACCCCCTCTGCCGACAACCACCACTCATAAAGACCCAATAGGGCTCTATGCCTTTGCCGTACCACTCTCGGAGATCTACTCGTTGCTTGTACGACCCCCGAGCATCGGATGGTGGTTTGGAAGCCTTGTGATCAATACGCGTGCAGGTGATAGCTTCCCCGCACTGTTTTTCCATGACAGCGAATGCGAATCAACCATCCTACAAAAAAGGAAGAGGACTCAGGAATCGTTTGACCCCTTCGGTGAGGATGGCAGTCTGTTCTGGGGTGGCGACGAGGTCCTAAGGTGGCTTCGGAAGTATGTGGAGGTGCAGCGTTCAGCCGTCGATAATAGTGTATATTTGATCAACCCATCCGAAGAAGATCGCATATCATTTGGGCGGCCGTTGACGGCCGATGGAACAGTAACCAGAGCCCAGGACCAAGCCACTGGTCCGTCCGCGCAAGGTAGCAGCGGACAGCGGGACGCGGGAATGGATCCTTTTATGAAAGCGATTAAGGAGACTAGATGGAAGGTGCTTGAGCAGCTGAGCAAAATCACGACTTTTACAAAACGGACAGCGAATGAGATAGCTGACAACCCGCGAATTCCTCCGCAAGTCCGTCGGCTGATGAAGACACCTGAGATCCAAACCTTACAGGATGAGTTTGATAGTGCCAGGTTATATCTTGCTCGATGGGCCATGAGCATATCTGAACAGAGCGAACGCGAGAGAAATCAACGGATATGGACTGCACGGGATGTCCTTGAGATGGAAAACAGCTCCGTGGGTGATTTCGAAATTCTCGAACTCGAAACGGGAACCATGTCTATCAACGAACGACGCAAGACATTGACTCTAAAAGAATGGGAAGGATTCTTTGACCCAACCACAGGCAGGTTGCAGGTCACTGTTGAGGAGGTGAAAGAGAGAGTATTCCATGGGGGTCTCGATCCGAACGACGGCGTTAGAAAGCTAGCTTGGCTTTTCCTTCTCGGCGTATATCCATGGGACAGCTCCCGTGACGAACGTCAAGCTCTTATGAATTCCAAACGGGATGAGTACATTCGGTTAAAGGGTGCCTGGTGGGAAACGATGGTCGAGGGACATTCCACCGAGGAGCAGCATGAGTGGTGGAAAGAGCAGAGGAACCGCATTGGTATGTCTTCTTTATACACTGTTGTACCGTCTCTGCTACTAAACTTACCAATTACAGAAAAGGATGTACATCGTACCGACCGCACAATTCCTCTCTTTGCTGGGGAAGATATTCCTCACCCAGACCCTGACTCGCCATTCGCGGACACAGGGACGAATGTTCATCTAGAACAGATGAAGGACATGTTGTTGACTTATAATGAATATAACCCTGACTTGGGCTATGTTCAAGGAATGAGCGACCTGTTAGCACCGATATATGCGGTCATGCAGGATGATGCTGTGGCCTTTTGGGCATTTGTCGGCTTCATGGACCGAATGGTGACGATTCCACCCTTTATCATCAACAACCTTCAGCTACTGACCGATCCAACAGGAACGCAACTTTCTTCGTGACCAGTCTGGCATGCGTGCCCAACTTCTGACTTTAGATCACCTCGTACAACTCATGGATCCCCAGCTATACCTTCACCTCCAGTCTGCCGACAGCACAAACTTTTTCTTCTTCTTCCGCATGCTCCTCGTGTGGTACAAGCGCGAATTCGAATGGGTGGATGTTTTACGCCTCTGGGAGACATTGTGGACCGACTATCTATCCAGCAGCTTCCATCTTTTTATTGCTTTGGCAATCCTAGAGAAGCACAGAGATGTCATCATGGACCACTTAAAGCATTTTGATGAGGTTCTGAAATACAGTGAGTACTTTTTATTCTCTCGGCCTGAAGCCCTATTAAATTAACATCTACAGTTAACGAACTCTCCAACACAATGGAACTCATCCCAATCCTCACCCGCGCCGAATCCCTATTCCGTCGCTTCGAACGAGCCGTTCAAGCAATAGACAAGAAAAACAACTTTCCCGCCCCTTCTACCCACCAACGAAAACCCATCCAGTCCCCTGCCGATGCAGACAAAGGCAAATCGCCCCAAAGACCCCCAAGCACCGGGTTCAGCAGCGGCACCAGCTCCGGACCGAGCGCTCCACCCGTCAACAACAACGAGCCCAAAGTAATTTCTCCCGAACTAAGAGAGCTATTCAGCAAAGATATCCCTTGGAAGCGACAGCCGTCTGAACGGCGCGAACAAGCGCAAAATTCATCCTGAAGAATCCGTTTGCATTACACTTGTGTAACTCTGATGGGCGGGCTATGGCTCAGCCATCATGTTCTTTTTACGAGAAGTCTCGGTATGATCGCTCTTGCTCAAAGACTTGGCTTCGTTTGTGCTTGTACCCCGTGTTGATTGGGTCTTATGGATTATGGGTTCTTGCTAGATAGCTTGGGGTGGCCGGTTTGGAGTGGTGGCGTTCGTATTAGCGTTTTTTTCTTATTCTCTTTATTGTTGTAACCTGAGGTGAATTTCTTGAAGCAGTGGATCTAGCCAGCATAACTCAACTCCGGGAGGGTGAGATTATAGAGAAAGAGTACCGGTGCGAAATGACTAGTGGCTATTTGAATTCTCAATGTCTAACAAATTCTTGAATCCCCAATGTATTCTTCTTCTAAAATATAAACATGAAAAGCAGCCATAGAAGAAGGTAGGCACCGTATATGAGGGTATCTAAATATGTGCAAAAGAATTGTAAAGCAATGAACAGACGACAGAAAACACAAACAGAAGCCGAAACGCTTGCTTGAATGCAAAAAATGCCAGAGATGAATGATACCATCTAGATGTCTGTCAAAAAGGATGAAGAGGAGCAGGGAAGAGGAAACCAAATTCAAACAGAACCCCTTTTCAAATGCCGGAAAAAATAGAAAAGAAAGAAAAGAAAGAAAAAACACCGACAATGCAAAATGCCCGATACTTTTCTTAGAACCGTCCTCTGATGAAAACAAACCCGCATAAACGGCAAACGCCAGTGCTAGTGGACCAAAGTAAATAAGAAGGAAGATGTTAGAGAGGGGACATATGCTGGGAGGTGAGGTAATAATCAAAAGAGGGCAATGCATCGATGGATCCAGATTACCGGTTGCCAAGCCCGCGGAGGACAACTCGCTTGCTGGAGCCGACTTTCCCAATATCACTGATGCTTCTAGATTTAAGTAAAGTGGGAATTTTACCAGGAGTATGATCATTCTCGGGAGGGGATAGCCCAAATGTGAAAGGTCGTAGAGACGAGCTTCTCCGTGCTTGACCAAGGACATCTTCCACCCACGCTTCACTTTCTGCGCTCATAGGCGCATACCTAGATCGTGGTTTAGGCCCCGCCAAACCAAGAGGAATAGATCCATATCGAGCGTCACTCATGGTTGAAACCGCACCGAAAGAGGTATTAGAAGAAGTTGAGAGCCGTCTGCGCGAGGAGACGGTTGACATGGGGGAAGATGATAAGTTCAGTGTCTCGCCTGTGCTTGCTGCTCTGAGATCGGTCATATCGGACACATTCGAAGCCCGCCTCGTTTTGCGGACAGCCAGTGAGGACGATGGTCGATTACTGATAACAGAATGGGGTCGGGACGGCGTGCATCGTCCATTGCCGGACCTAGGAAGCCTGCTCCCCGGTGGCGTGTAAGTTGGCGTCGATTCACGAGATGATATTCCTTGAACTTCGACGCGAGGCGTGTCTGAAACGTGTCGTCGGCCATGATGGATAGCAAACTCCCTCAGATATTCGGCCAAATCTGCCCAACCACCACCAACACGTACCATCACGCGCTCACCATTTTCTCCCACTGAACGGACGAAAAGCTTGGTGGGAACGGTTTTACCACCTTGGTGCAGATGGTATAGTTTCACGGAGCTTTCCTCTGGAGCATGTGAATATCTCCTACGAGAAACAGCAGGGGTGAGGGTAAACGATGGGGTGGGCGTGCCGCTGCGTGACACTGACCCTTGCGGGGATATAGAGCGGAACCGCTCCCTAGCGTTCAATGGCAAAGATGATATCGCAGATGATGCATCAGCTTCACGGTCTTCAAAATGGATACGCGTTGGGAGCGTATCAAGAATAGAGCTTATTTTCTCGTCTAAATGATCCCTTGGTCTTCTTATCTGGCTACCCGGAGTCGACGGCCGGGAGCCCGTCTTCTCATTCACTGTGCCGGTCAATGTCTCTCCGGATACACGAGGCGTGGACTTATATACCCCAATGCTTTCGAGGCTAGGGTGCGCAGTCAGCTGCTTCCTGGCACGGGTGGCTGTTGAAAGGACGGGTGGTTGGGAGAGCGGAGCTTTATGTGCCGGATTTTTGACGGAGGTATTCATGTTGCGCTCCCAAGCCTTGGGCTGTCTCTGTGTCACGCTATCGGGCCCTGAAGATGTGTGGTCTTCCCGAGAAAGCTCAGAACGCCGGCCAACAGCACGGCGAATACCGGTGGATGAGGTGGAGGGACGGTGTTTGCTCGAATGTGACTGTGGGCACAGGCGATCATTATGGGAACTTGATCTTACGGGAGAGTCCGTAACTTTCTTGACAATGGTCGGAATGGTCAGATCGGTGTTTGGTTCATCCTCGTAGTCCATATCCAATCGTTCATTGATAAATCGTTGCAGTGGAAGGCTAAGAGCCCGGTTGTGTTTCAAAGACGTGGGCGGAGACTTTTCGCTGTCTAAGCGAAGCAAGCGGTCTTCTCGCAATGTATGTTCGCTATTAGTCGGTATGGGGCCAGACTGCCGATGGTCTGTCTGGAATAACGGAGGAGTCTCAATAAGCTTAGGTGTTCCGTTCGACGAAACGGTATGCAATCCTCGGATGTCCGGGCTGGATACGAGTGATGGATAATCAGAAGAATCTGTGGAGGCGCCCGATACTCGTCGACCATGAGAGACGGTGGTTTGCTCCGAATCCAAACGTCCTGGTCTGGTTTTAGAAAGCTTGATGGGGCTATCCAAAGGCTGCCTTGGAGATGGAGCTGCAGTATCTTTGTCATTTGTCATCGAGGGAGGAGGCCGAGAAGACACCGGTGACGAAGGCCTGCTGGTTTGAGGAGAAAGTGAGCTATCTCGATTAACCAATATCGAAGCAGCAATATCGGTGGGGGCGGGTTCCACAGTGACGCTAGGTAAAGTTGTCGCTTCTTCAGTTGAGGCAGGCCGTAGTTGATCAGAGACCTCAATCTTGGATTCCGGGGTAGTTGAGACTGTCGATGTTTCGTCCCCATGCGGCTCTACCGTTTCTTCCGGTTTGGGCGAGTTTACAGCACCCTTGGGTCTCTGTATTATGACACTCCCGGTTTCTGCTTGCGAGCTTGGACTAGCTGGGGAACTATCTGCTTCAGGAGAGGTGGCATCCCCGGGACAGTCTCTTGCCTGGGTTGGCTGTTCTAACTGTCCCATTTCCTCATATTGGGCAATAAACGGATCTTCTATCGCTTTTTGGAGTCCACACATAGGCTCCGTCTTTCTCGGCAAGCTATCGTCTGGCAACGCTACTTCTTCCCGGTTAAGATCAGAGGAAGGTACGTCCTTAGCTGCGTCAGTGCACACAGACTCTAATGAGGGTTTCTGAGCAGGGAGCAGGTGGGCATTTGCATTTTCTTTCCCGCTAGAAGGCGATGCATCGAATACCACAGTGTTCGCAGTACTTCTCTCCGGGGTCGCGGGCGGTTCAAGTACAGTATTGGCCTCTTGCGGGGTTTGGCTGGCTTCGGAGCTATCGCTGGCCACTTCTGTGCCATCAAGAGAGGACGATGTATCAGAACCACGAGTGGGAGCTTGTTCGGTTCTTTGAGAGGTCACGACGGGTTGTCCAAGCATGTTCTCAAAAGATTTCTGGTCCTCAGTCGGGCTTCCGGGTTCCTCAGCGATAGTTTCCATCAAAGGTGGGCGTACAGCTTGGGGGAAAGGCTCGGGGGTGTGGGTGGTAAAGTCTTCGAGAGTTCTATGTTCATCCGATACAGGGGTTGGCTGATTCGGCACTTGTGGGTGGTCTTTGCTTTGCTGTTTATTGGCTATCATGCGCCGCCATTCATTCTCAACTGTCTGTTTCTCGGCGTCCATAACCCAGTTACCAAAACCAGATTCGATAGCTTCTAGATCATCAATCCAATTCTCCGGCAACGAGTCTTCCCGGCCCTCTAGCGCATCAAGCATACGATCCATTCGTCGCCCCGTCGAAAGAACCGTCACCTCCAGCGTAGCGCGTTTGGCATGATAATTTGATAGGGAATACAAGGCATCCTGCTCGTTGGGGGGCACGGAGGACTTCAACAAGTCCAAGGCCAAATTCAATTCAGACTGGGCTAGACGTAGGCTCCACAATAGTCCCGGTACCTGGCGGAGGACTAGTAGCCGAACATCCCACGTGGAAAGGAGGCTGTTCAGGCGGGAGAGAAGTGGGAGAGCGCGCAAGATGGTGGCGGTGATAATAGCGGTGAAATCACTTAATTGCACATAGCTGAACGAAGGGGGTCCGGAAAGATTGCTATTGGATGACGATGGCCGAGACCGGGAAGGAATATGAGCATTCAGAACATGTTCTTTCAATTCGTCGACACCTAGACTTTCCATGCCATCACGAATCTCCTCGATTCGTTTCTCGTGTTCAGCTACAACTTCTGCAGGAAGGCTGCCCAAATATTCTGGCTCTGAAGCATTGGATGTCGTGGTAGAAGGCGGAATAAATCCTTGGCCCAGTTGGGCATCCGTGCGTTTCGGCCATTCCCACGTTTGCACCTCTTTATACCATAGGCTTAGATTCTGTGCCGCAACAGCCGCGCGGATTCCGAGAGCTCTCTCCGCCTCCGAGACTTGGGATATGCTCTTGGAAAGGATATCGTATGCGGGTTCGTTCTTGGGCACTGCGTCCGTTGAGGTAAGCGCTTCGAGAGTAGATTCGGGGGACAAGTTTGCGAGTAACGGATCGAGAGACTGGTAGTTGGGGATTGTTGGTCGACTCGGCGATGGAGTTGGCGGTACGGCATGAGAAGCGACGTTCGCTGCCGGGAGGGAGATAGGTGGAGGTATAGGATTGCTGCGGCTGGTGGCCATGTCGGAGGAGAACGGCCACCGGAACAGCTCACAGATGTTGGTCGGATAAGGACGGAGTCAAGAAATGCGATGTGGGAGCCGGCGGTGGAATAGCTGATTTAGAAATGTGAAAGAGTGTGTACCGCTGATAAGCAAGCATGCTGAGATGCGAACTTGCAGAACCCCAAAGCGACAGCGGAGGTGAGGTGGTTTAGGGGTGTTCCGGAGATACCGAGCTGGGGTCACGGTTGGGCAGGTAGGCGACGGTCGGCGTTGTTGTATGAGGAATCAGTGGAAATAAGTGTGTCGGTAATTAATACTAGTAACTTAAGATGCAGGATCCAGTGCGAAGAGAGGGAAAAAGAAAGACCAAATGTGGGAGGAAGAGAGGCAGATAAAGACGGAGGATTTACAAGGTGAGCTCGGGGATTGATAGATCACAATCAGAAGGCTGGGGAAGGGAAAAAGATCGGAGAGGCGCAGTAGCCCAAAAGAAAAGGAAATAAACGAATGTGGGATGATAACTGCAGAGCTGAGACCGGGGGGGGAGGGAGAGACCTGGACCAACTGTCTCTCTAGTGAAGGGAATGACGATGATTCGAAGGAAGTGGCTGCAGGTGTGAGCTGGAATGAGGAGAAAGTCACGGTGTTTCTCAGCTCGAACAGGACAAAAGTGGAGCCCTTCCGCTTGCCAAAAGGGGGACCCAGGATTACTATTTATACGGAGCCACTACTCGCTTGCCACTATTGATTTTCGGTCTTAATCTGAATCTTAGCTTCGTCTTCCTCTGGGGAATCCTTCGTTCTCATAATTCCTCTTCTTAAGTTTAATAAAATGCTATACTCCATGACTCAGAAAACCTAAAATCTTCTCGAGTTCCCACTCCAGAGCTGGGTGGGATGCAGATGAACTCTCCTGTATAACATCCCGTCGGACGTTATATCGGTATGTATGTATGTCTAGAGCTACATGACACAAAATCCCCCTAGCTCAGTGGAGTCTCCCTCAATTCCCCTGTGGGTGGCTGGGGCGAACGGAAACAAAGTGATCCATAGGCTTTTGTAAATTCCAATTCATAAATGAACTGTGCAGTATATCCTGCCAAGGGTGGTCAATTCATAGAAACCATGTTTATGCACGGACTTTTCCCTTGCATTTCTTTGTAGGGAATCAGGGCTTTCAATGCTGTTATCTCCCATCTTAGACCATGAAAAGTTCCGAAGTACCCATAATAATATGTAGTCGTCATCACGCGCATCCTGAGTTAGCTGAACTTCGTTCTCCATAAAAGACGCGCTTCGGTCACACTCGAAGACCATTGAGTCGCGTCCACGCGAAAGAGGCGAGGTATTAGGTTGTACCCTAAAGCCCAAAACAACAATCGATCTGTGATCGACACCCCTTACATATTGCCGCAGTAGATCACTGACACTACCTTTTCTCTGCTACCCGACGCACCCGTCATAAGAGCATTGACAAGATATTCCTTCTTGGGAACACCATCCTACAACGTTTATCGTCTTAGTGCCAACCCCAGGGCTGTGGTGGCGAGAATGGATAATTCCTCGGTGGGACTGACCATGCATTGTCAATCCAAGTCATGAACCATCAATCGAAGTGCCAAATAGCTTTGTGAGTGTGGCGGGTGGTGACCAAAGAGGATGATAAATTTAGAAAGCTTGCATTAGCTGAAACCGATCCTGGATTATGACCAAGGGTTTTAGCATTGAAGGAGACGGCATCTGCAAAACAACACCCTTGTTGTACATACCATTCAGCCTTCGGCGACTGATCTGAAACCAAGACAGCCAGCGGACACAGGCAAGGAGGCAGGGCTATACCTGACCCTTAATCTGGGAGGCATTCAACCTTCTTGCCAAGGTTGAGAACGGAGTAAGGTAAGTCTAATTTCCAACGGAGACCGGGGAGACAACGGTCTCGAAGCAACACGGAGTACTCAAGGGCTTAGTATGCACTTTGCACTTTGTACGTAGATGGCAGGGTGTTGTCATGAGCCACGTGGGGATCAACCCCCAAGCTCAGCATTCCGTCGCTCTAATTAATACCCGAAACATCTCCAATGGCATTTGCCTGGTCTGTCCCACTCGTCAAACGTCTAGAACCAGCTTCCAGAAAAGGGGCCAGATGGGTGTTGTAGTATGGAATGAGGAATTTTGTGGTCTTGGGACGGTTTCTGATGTTGGATCTAAAGATCTCGTCACCTCACCCAATACTAAATAGTCAAACCCTAAGCCGATTCGTATGCGTCCTGCCCTTTCGATGTCGGCACAGGCCATCAAAGTGATCTTGTCTAGTGCAGAACAGTGACCTACTACGGCTGGAAGATATAGCAAAGCGAATGAAAGTGCTAGGGTATCGAGACAGTGGCTGGAGGTCACAATGTACGGAGTACAGGAAAGATATATATATCATGTCGGCCGGCATCGTTTGGAATTCAAATAACACAGAAATTGGTCGTTTATCCTTCTACTACCCAATCAAATAATCCAAAACAAGGATTAAAACGCGATAATAATTCCAGATAGAGAATAAAACTGAAAATCGAAAAAGAAAAAGACAAATGCTCACGAACTCAGTACTATAGCGACTTGGGCCATGTCTCGTGTTTTCCGCGTCAGGGTTAAATTTATCGCCGATAAGGAACGTCGACTGATAAGATCGAATCAACTCTCGATCCCTATGTGATGCCATAACATGCCTTGATTAAAGATGCGATTTCGCACTCAACTCGCTAACGCTGCAACATTTTCAAGTAAGTGCTGTCTGCCCTTTTTCTTGGTCCCCTTGGATTCTCCTTTCTTCCTGTAAACCAACGTTGCCTGTTGGCGCTCCCGCCAAGTCTCAATGGATGCTTCAACCTAATCTAATGCCCAGCAATCCACTAAGCACTAACACCTATCTATAGAGTTGACAGCATCCCTCTCATCGCTGGGTAAAGTATGCTGGATGCGACTGGAAGATGGAACCGTTCGATTTACCATCATCCCTGATCAAGGCACCCAAGTCTGGGCGCAGTTACCCGTGGTATGTAACCCAGTGTCATCCGAGCGAAGAAGGTCCTATCTAAACAAATCGTACCAGGAAGCCATCTTCGATGAAACCAATTATATCCTGGAATCCAACTCCGGGGTCATCAACCTCGAAGTCCCCGTCGGGGCTCTCCACCGTGCCCTTCGCTCCGCCGTAGCGGCGACGTCAGCCCAACTGCGTCTGACCAAAAAAGGCAACGTCCCTCTCTTGGCTCTCACCATCCACGCATCATCCTGGACCACCGGGTCCAACGCACTAGGCATCGCTGAATCGGACCATGCAGCCATGACCGGCCCGGCTCTCGGGGGGGAGGATGCTGGTCGCGCAGGTCAGGCAACCAGTGCGTCCCGACCAGCAGCCGGTTCTGGGCCCCGAGAACGCGAGACGGTCATTACGCAGGAAATTCCTGTAAAAGTCCTCCATGAATCTGCCATCGAGGGGCTCCATGAACCGCGATGTCGTGACCCCGATGTGCACATCATCTTGCCGAGTTTGTTCCAGTTGAAGAGTATCTCCGAGCGGTTTACTAAGCTGGCGGCGGATTCCAAGGGTTCCTCGGGTTCTGCGGTCGTGTCTGCTATTTCGCCTAAACTGGAACTATCGGCTAACATGCATGGATCGCTGAAGTTGGCGATCGCTACGGATGCCTTGCGTATTTCGAGTGTTTGGACGGATCTGGTGAACCCGTCGCTGGACCCGGGGCAGCTCACTCAGACGGAAATTGAGCAGCTGCCTAGTGAGCGGATGAGAGCTCTACACGATGATGATGAGGCTGGTTGGGCGAAAGTGAGAATCGACGGGAAGGATTGGGGAAGGGTGCTGAGTGTTGGGCGATTGAGTCCTAAGGTCGTTGCATGTAAGTTGAGAACGTCGTTTACAACAGTGATTGGAGCACCTTGCTGATTCTGTTGACTTGCGTACAGGCTTTATCCACGAGACAGCGTTGATACTCTACGTTTACTTGCCGGGGAGCTGGAACGGAGAAGATTCTTGTTTGACGGTGAGTTTTTCAAGTCGACATAGTGAGGTTCAGACTGACAGGGACAGTATTATATCAATTCCTACGCGGCCTGAATAGAATTACTGGGCTCGGATTCTGCATGTATTACAGTCTCTGCATGCAAAGGTACGCGCAATAGAAGCGCACATAACGTTGAGCGTCCGAAGGTTGAAATTATTATAATACCATTAAAATGTTCAAATAATAAACGTTCATGTTCCGTGAAACTCGAAGCAGCAGAAAGCGTTCGGTTCGAGACCTCCACATCACTCAATGCCAAGATCTCAGATGGATAGAAGTGTAAGCAAAGCAATCATCAAGGGGAATAAGGGGAAGCAATAAGCATTGCATAAGGTGCATATGCAAATATTTATTGTACACGGGAATATATTGGTCATGCAAAGGGGTCGAGAAGAAGAATGTGCTCCTCATTGAGGCAATGCACTATGCAAGACTTTTGTGCAGGCGGATAGAAGAATTCTATAGCACACGCAAGCCGTATGCGCTTCACGATGTGCAAAGAGTAACGTGGGGCCGGGAATTAGGAAAATCGTAAGACATGATCACACAAAAGAAAAAAAAAATAAAAAGACCCCGCATCTAGTAGGCTGGCTAGCCTACTTCGCCATCACATCGACATATCGGCCTTTCTTCCGCCCTTTAGCAGGGGCGCCCTTGCGTGCCTGTGGTGCCCCAAGAAGGTCATCTATGGAGCTGGCATGGCTCAGCGATGTTGCAGGGCGGGGCGGGGGCAAAGAGGAGCCCATTGGTGGCGTGGGCATGGCTGCACCAGTAGAGGCTGACCGAGCAGTGCCTAGCATAGGTGGGGGGGCAGCAAGCGAGGGTGGTGCTGGGCTGCTGGATAGTGACGGGGGAGCACCTGCAGACGACGGAGGCCTACTATCAGGTCCCAAGCCCAGGCTTGCTGCAGGCGGTGCAGTGCTACCACTGGCACTTCTGCTAGGAGGAGCCGACGCTTTGGGTGGTGGCGGTGTGCCACGTGATACACTGGCGCTGTTCGGGTCTTTCTTGTTGACCCATTTCTTCAACTCCTTGTCATAATAAAAAGAGTTTTCCTCGCCAAGTTTGGCACGGATAGGCCCCCCCGAGTTGTTGTGGTTGTTGTCGTTCTCTTTCTTTGCTCCTCCAAACCAACCGCCAAACCATGATTTCTTCGCTGCAGCGGGGGGTCTATTGGCTGTGCACAGAAAAATCAATAATATGTCCAAGTATGAACATCTAAGGACAGAACTTACCATCAGCTTCCGCAGCTTTTCTGAAGGCCTCATCGGCTTCGCGGTCTTTGCGTGCCTTCTCAGCCTTCTGAATAGCGGCTGCACGCGCCGCAAGGTCATCGTCATCATCATCGTCCATGAAGGACTTCTTCTTTTTTAGGACATCCTGATGAGTGGGCTCTTCCGCGGTGTCCAATGTAGGAGCTGCGCTAATTTCGACGGAAGGTGGTTCATAGCCACTACCGGCACCGGGCGGAAAGTAGCCGGCCACGCCAGATGCAGGTGCTGTCGCCAAACTTTGATCCAGAGGTTCGCCAAAGGACTCATTAACTGGGGGTTGGTAGGGCGAGATATTCACAGGGGATCCTTGCATTGGGGCAGGTTCGACAGGGTAGGGCTGAGAGGCTGAATCTTCCACAACAGGCGCCAGGGGCATATACGACGCTTGAGGGGGGGTAGATTGATAGCCCGCGGCAGATGGAGACCCGTAAAGTGAGCCACCTGGATACGCGCTGCTTTCAACAGGTGTCGATGGTTCTTGGGAGCCTCGTCGTTGCCCAAACGGGAACCCGAACGACGATGATCTCTGGGAATCAAGAGATGATCTTCCACGATATTGTTCAGGGGAGGAGTTGGGGATGTACTGGTTGCCCGGTTGATATCGTGAAGGGCCGCTGCCTGGCGCTGACTGGGCTGCAGGCAAGGAGTAGGGCCCAAAGTCCGACACGGATGGCGACCGACTGACGGTTGGAGTGCCGGAAAACTTAGCAAACGGCCCAATATCTCCGTCTCCAGCTTTTCCGGAACCTGTTGAGGCGGCGTCACTATCTTCACCAGCAACGAAACTGTTGAACTTGGCCCACATCGAACCAGAAACCTTCTCCATGCTTGGTCTAGAGATCCAAGAAGACCCACTGTCATTGGTCGTTTGTCTCAAGCGCGCCGAGAGCTCGTCTACTCCGAAAAGCAGGTGTTGGTTGTGATAGCCAGATGGCTTTGTAGTTGCCTTTAGAGCTGCTGTAATGGCATCGGCGTACTGCAAAGCTTCCGATTTGCGACCATTCTCTGCCAGAGAACAAGCATGAATGAGTTTGAACGCCAACAAATGGGGTAATGTAGACGTAGGAGATCCCGCTAAGACTGAAACTGCATATTCATATGCTTCAGTAAGCAAGATCGCATCATCATCCTGCAACACGTTCATGGGTAGATGTTGGTGGTCGGCTCCCAAGAGAACTATACTCGTTTGAGGGTCATCTGCACCGCCAAATACCGCGGCGCGTGAAAACATAAAACAAATATGAGCAGCTTCCGTCCGACCGTATGATGAGAGCAGTCGACCGAGGGCCAACAGGGCCTTGTGGTCTTCGGGACTGCGGTTGCTCAAGACTAGCCCTAACGTATCCCTCCAGCTATCCAGACCTTCAAGGGCATTTTTAGACGGCCCTTGTCCACCAACTTTACTGACCATCTGGAATCCCGCTCTTGCTGACGGGGGGACAAGCTCATCAACGCTTTCATCAACATTTCCGGCGAAAATTTCATAGAGTGCGGCAAGGGATTCCGAGTTACCAGTCGTAGATTTGACTTCACGCCTGACAAATTCTTGAACGACTTGCTTCCAGACAGACCTATCGAGGGTTGAGGCGATTATCATAGCATGACCCCATAGACGATTGTCCACCGCATCCCATACGGCTTTCTCCCGGTTGCCCACAAGAAGGCTATTGCGAATGCTCTCTATTGACTGGCTGTCAGTAGCATCCGACTGGGAAGGGGCGTTCAGTGGCGGCAAAGCATTGAAGGCTGGGGGGTTGACTCCGGAAGTCGGCTCCGACTCTGAACTTTGCAGGTGAGGGAATATAATGTAGCGTAACGACTTTTCTATTTCAGCCGACCCTTCCAAGACACCATCGTGTTCTACCAATGCTCGAACAATCTTCCACAGTAATATTTTCTCGTCATGCCGTTTCGAAGACTCAGGGTGTAATTGGGCTGCTTCAGAGATGCCTTCATTCTCGAATGCCACGATCTTACTCGAGAGCCAGGCAACTAGGTCCTTCTTCTTAGACTTGTTTTTAAGTGGACCGGGATGTTGCACAATGCCTTCAGTGATAGGCACCCAATCGTTGACTGGGAGTATTTTCACTTCTCCTGGGGTAGACTTGATTTTTGGCGCGGCTTGACCAGCAGCATATCGAGGCACATGCTTTGGGAAACATGACGTTATAGAGCCGCCAAATCCAAACTTGACAATTGGGGCGCCTTTCCATCGCTCGAGTGGATCCAATTCCTGTCCATCATTGGGTGGGATGAACTCAAGTTGTTGTGACAGAACACGGTGATGGAGAGAAACATGAGATGGGGCGTAGGGGTTGGCAGACTTCGTGGGGGAAGCAGGAGCATGAACCGAAGCAGGCCGCTGGAAAGGATCCGAGGGTACAGACAATCCTGGAGCCGATGCCTGTTGGCTAGGGGATTGAGTTTGTGACCTGCGAGGCTGAACAAATTGAGCGTCACCAGGAGGAGGCACAACCGCCGGTGGAGGACTGGCCATAGGAGCAACACGCTTTGAAAATTCATTTATATACGACGGAGGAGCATACGAAGTCCTCGGAGGTGAGGTGGGCTGAAGAGCCGCCGACACGTTTTCAGGAACCGCCGTCGCAACAGCTGAATCTACAGCGCCAACGGGAGCTGTGATCGAGTTAGAAACTTCCTGCTCATCCGGTTGCGGCCGCATACCGTTGGGAGCATAGCTAGATGCTGGTTCTGGAACAGATCTGATAGCAAGACCCTCTGGCGGATGGTATGAGACTTTTTCATGATGAGCCAACGGACTTGATGTACGTGGTTGGAAGGGCAAAACAGCCCCCTGGCTAGAGACGCTGGATGGCTGAGAAGCATAGCGGGTACGAGGTGGTGCCGGGGCAGCGGACTGGGGTGGTGCCGGGGAATACCTGGGTGCCAATGGAGGTTTGGTCCCAGGTTGTACAGTAGGTGGTTTAGGCGAGTATCGTGACGCTGCGTTAGGCGCTGCCGGGGCACCTGGAGCACCGGGGCCCAATAGATTTGCATACGGATCTAAGCGTTCTGGTTGCTGCATCTGAGGTTGAGAACCGACACTAGCACTGTCCTGCGGAGGAGATGAGAGGCTAGCATATGGGTTCGCTGGGGGCGGAGGCGGCGGCGGCTGCGAGTGCGATGGTGGGGACGTCACTATATTAGCAGTAGGCGTATAACGTCCCGAGCTCGCGGGCCGGGATCTTGGCCGAGGGGGCGGCAAAGGAAGTTCTTCATAGAAGTTCTTAGGTGTGGTGACAGGTGGAGCTGGAACTGACGTTGCCGCCGGAGGTGGAGTAGGTACCCCTGACGCATTGGGGGGAGGCCCTGGGATACTGCTACTCCGAGGTGGTGGTGGTGGCATGCTACCAGGATGCGCGACAACCGGTTTGTGGGCGACCACGGGTTTGCGAGGACGAGTAAGATCATCTGGCAGGTCGTAGGGTGACTTGTAGCCTTGTTTAGAGCGTTCTGCGAAGCTCTCTGCTCTCTTTGCGGTCGGCCGCGGCTGGGGTGGGGTTGCAAAATAGTCTTGCATTGGAGCGACACTTGATTGAGGAGCAATGCCTGGGATCCCTTGTAGTAAATCCGATGTGGATGGCTGATGTGGCGTGTAACTGGTGGGTTGCGCCTGGGGTCGCGCTGAGCTCTGCGGAGTACCGAAGGGACTGCTCAGGGTTGCCTGGGTCGTCTCGTAGACACTCCCATTCAGATCCTGAGGAAGTGACTCTTGACGATTGTTCGAGCCCTCGTCAATCTCATCCTCCAAAAGCAAATCGTCATCGTCATCAAGCGCTGCTTGCCACCTAGCAGCCAAGTCATCTTCTGAACCCTTCTCAGGTTGGTCATTGGACAGTTCAGCCTGCCACTTTGCAGCCAAATCATCGTCAGAAAGATCCTCCTTGGCCTGGTTCTCTGATGCAGCCGCCGCTAGGATATTGTCAAATTCCTGAGCTGTTGGGGATGCGGCGCTGACCGGAGAGTCGGGGGAAGCGTCAAGCGAGCCGATGACTTGTGTGGTACTCTTGCGAGTAATATGGGGGGATGGTTCTGCTTCTTCTGGTACAGATCCCTGAACCTCATTAAAGAATGCTCCACCTTCATCGTCACCATCATTCTCAAACAGTTTATCGATCTGACTCTCTTCCTTCACAGAAGGCTGGGCTGGTGACTCAACAGTATGATCTAGCAACGGAACACCCTCCTCATATCTAGATTCTGTTTCAGGTGGAATATAAATTGGCTTGGTTTGGGTTTTCAGCTGGCTGAAAAAGTCGTCCCCGGCATCACCATTTGTAGGGCTTCCCCAAAACTCTTGGTTATCGTCATTCACAAATTCGTTGGTAGTCAGATGGTCACCTTTATCAACCTGCTCATTGAACCAAGAAGCTGCGTCGTTATCCTCGCGATGCTCTGTAGTGTTATGTTCTTCTAAAAAGGATTCGTCCATAACGTTGTCAGGCGCCGTGGTATCGTGAGACCCGTTCGCGTCGCCCCCAAACGCAGGCGCGCTTTCCTCAGAAGTCTCGATAACACGAGGCTCATCGGACATTGTTTGCAGCAACCCTTGCTGATTACCTGGGATATCTTCCTGCGCGGAATCCTCTGCAGTGTTCTCCTGACCAGTCTCGGGAGTCAAGACTTGCTCAGCATGCGGCGGAGTATCTAAGTCCATTACGGCCGGGGCGACTGTAGGCTGCACGTCAACAGAAGCATCGGTATCTTGGGATGAAGAGCTGCTATGAAACTCGTTCTCTTGTATAAATGCCTGGGGAGAGTTGAGCTCGGCGGCAGATTCTGTTGTGGAATCTTTCGTTTCCTGTGTTAGGTCGTCCGAGATAGGTGCATTCGAAGGTACACCATCCTCCGATCTGAGAGCCGGATGCCAGGCGGCCGATACCTCATTATGAGCCATGTTTGCTGGATATGAGATCTAACTCGGCGGTAAAATGTTAGCTTAAAATAGATCGCATGACACGTTTCCACAGGCTCACCCTGGCAGGGCCGACGACGCAAAATGGCAACGGCGTAGAATTATTTAATTAGTAAAACATGAAATAAGAAATGTACACAGCTTGCGTTGAAGGGAACTAATTCATCACAAGAAATTAAAAGAAATAAGGACTCATGGCCGCATATCCAGGAAGAACAATAATCACGACTTTGGGAATCCAACAGCTGATTCCGTTACGGACTTCCGGATTCTGTCTTATTACTCCAAGTACTAGTTAACTATTATTGACCTATCGGACCCTTGGGACGCGCCCGTCACCCGGGGCGGGCGATTAATGTTCCAGGCGGAAGGGCCACCTATTCTGTTGTAGGGTCACGTGGATGCATGGCAGTGCAGCGCTGTGAAGCAGAAAAGCGGGACCGGCGTACTGTCAACCGAACGTTTGACAGTGTAAATCTTCTTTGAAACTGATGCAGCCAATTCGTCGTTCCTAATGGCTCAAAGGGAAAGACTAAAACCATAGTCATCCTTCTTACGAACTAACCAGCTAGTGAGGCCTAGGGAAAATGGAAGGGAAAACAGGGGAAAATGGCTAAGCGGTATCCAGGGCGGTAGAAATACTGTTCTGCCAGACAGTACCATCCTAATTGCCAACCTGATTAGTTAGGTATAGTCCATACAGTGGATAATTGAATTGATGGGCCATTAACTTAACTCCCAATACGAATGCAATTTTTATGCACTGTAAGCATTTATCCAGTACTAGCCACAATTACAACTCCCGAGGAATAATTACTATGCTCTGACGAAAATCAATCTACGCAAGACAGTGGTCCTAGGTATAATCTTATAATTACACCTATGACATCGCTGTTTCACAACACACCCCATTTATTGATGCGCCACAATTAGTACACGTCTCCTGCGACTATCCAATCATGTGATTGGACGCCTCCACTACTGCGCTTCCTGACTAAGGTATTAACATCTCCATACTCTAGGCCACCATCACTCGAGATTACGAACGCCCTTGCTCTTGACAATAACAGACACAAATATAACTCCTGTACCTCTTCATTTCGTTTCTGCGCCCCATCCGATAACCATACCGCCGATATTTTGCGCGACCAAACCCCGAATATCTCCCTACCGCATCAACAATGCTCCTGCTGAAAAGTCTTGGATGCAACTCGACGTGACATGATATCATTTGCTAGTGCAGGAGCTTGAGGACTGCTCCCCTGGATGTGGGGACTTACACCGCATTTGTCTGTGATCTGTTCATCATGCCTTCATCATCCGATTATTTAAACCCCAACGCCCGAGCCAGCATCGCTGGTGATTCTGGTTCGGACGACGACCTTGACTTGGAGGAGCTTGATCCAACCACGGCAACAATTCATTCCCCACGCTCAACAGACGAACCAAGGAGACCAAGGGACCATGGACCAGGGATTGCGCTGAGGAATTTGCGCCTGGGCGTAAGAGATCGAGTGTGGGGCCGGAGTCACTCCGGGACGTACAGGGGATCGGAGGACATGGATCGTTTGCTCGAAGATCGAGACGACGACGGCCTGCGAAGGTCCCACGCGAGCTCTCGCAATTATACTGATGACAATGCGCCCCTACTGGAGGAAGGTCGACATGAGTCCGGCCGCTCGTATCCGGATAACGAGGGGGGGCCGCATAGGGGTCGTCGATTCCGATTTCCGGGTGCTAAAATAGCAAGTTTGTTCTCAGGCTCTTCGGCGTCAACTGAGAGTGAAACTGCGATAGCAAAGCCTCCCCGCGATGTTTTTGTAGGACAGGTACAAAGGTCCAAATACCCGCCGAATATCGTTTCGAATGCAAAATATACTCCATGGAGTTTCTTGCCCCGTACATTGTACAACGAATTCTCGTTCTTTTTCAACATCTATTTCCTCCTTGTCGCACTTTCACAAATTATTCCTGTGCTTCGGATAGGCTATATGTCCTCTTACATTGCGCCATTGGCGTTCGTCGTTTCCATATCTCTTGGAAAAGAAGCTTTGGATGATATCGGTCGACGGCGAAGGGACGCAGAGGCGAATGCAGAGGAGTTTTCCGTTCTAGCATTTGACAAGCCTCTTGGGAGGCAGGCGGCTTCTGCGTCTGGCGATGTTAACTCCGAGATTGCAAATTCCCTGCAAGTTACTAAGAAATCTCGGGACCTGAAAGTTGGTGATGTCTTGAAAATCCGAAAGAACCAACGCCTTCCTGCCGATGTTGTGATCTTAAAAAGCGTTTCGAATGACACGGCTCACCAGGACACCGTGACAGAGCCATCCACAGATCTTATACAGGCGGACCAAAGTTCAGCACCGCCTACGGCAGAGCCTAGCTCGAGTACCGCAGCAGAAACTACGAACGCATCGTCGGCTAGCGATACGTTCATACGCACAGATCAGCTGGACGGTGAAACAGACTGGAAACTACGCCTGCCATCAGTACTATCGCAAACCCTTCCACTTATGGACCTTTCTCGGTTGAAAGTTACTGCAAGCGCACCAGATAAAAGTGTAAATGAATTTGTTGGCACTATTGAGTTAGGGCCTCCTGTCGGATTTTACGACCCCCATGTTGATAAGACAGATGATGATTCTGGTAACGAAGGATTTCAATCCAAATCTGCTCCGCTGACGATCGATAACACGGCCTGGGCCAATACTGTCCTTGCCTCAAATACGATAACATATGCCGTCATTATCTATACTGGTTCACAGACACGAGCGGCACTTTCAACGTCCCCATCTCGCTCCAAAGTAGGGCTGTTAGAGTATGAAATTAACAACTTGACCAAAATTCTATGCGCTTTGACCCTCACCCTGTCCATTATCTTGGTTGCCTTGGAAGGATTCCAGCCAACTAATGATAAAGAGTGGTATGTTGCGATCATGATTTATCTCATCCTCTTCTCTACGATTATCCCCATGAGCTTGCGTGTCAATTTGGATATGGCCAAATCGGTGTACGGTCGTTTCATCGAGCGGGACAAGGATATACCAGATACTGTTGTAAGAACAAGCACTATACCAGAGGATCTTGGTAGAATTGAGTACCTGTTGTCGGACAAGACGGGAACTTTGACCCAGAACGGTGAGTCTCTCTCCCTTCTTTGGATGATGTGCTGGTCAGCTGACTTTGGCAGAAATGGAGTTGAAGAAGATCCATGTTGGAACCGTGTCATATGCAAACGACGCTATGGAAGAGGTGGCCTCATATGTCAGACAAAGCTTTTCTGGTAGCACATTGACTACTCCTTCGACACCGTTTGGAACCCAAACAGGACTTGGAGCAGCTCCTCGCACGAGGAGAGAAATAGGTTCGCGTGTCAGGGATGTTATACTCGCTCTTGCTTTGTGCCACAATGTGACGCCGACAACAGATGAAGAAGACGGTGTGAAAGTAACAAACTACCAGGCCTCTTCGCCGGATGAAATTGCAATTGTCCGGTACACCGAGGAGGTTGGGCTCAAACTGGCCTACCGTGACCGCCAGACGATAGTTCTCGAATCTACACACACCCGAGGCGTCGTTGTACGTGTTCGCATCCTTGAGATATTTCCTTTCACCTCGGATAGCAAACGTATGGGCATTATCGTGCAATTTGAAACAGATGGTGGAATATTAGAATCCCCCAAACAAGGACCCGAGATCTGGTTTTATCAAAAAGGCGCAGACACGGTCATGACCTCGATCGTTGCAGCAAACGATTGGCTTGATGAGGAAACTGCTAACATGGCTCGCGAGGGTCTACGTACTCTGGTTGTGGGAAGGAAACGGCTTTCCTTGCAGCAGTACCAGGAATTCGATTCGAAGTTTAAGCAAGCGTCGCTTGCTCTCCAAGGGCGGGACATCGGTATGGCCAAGGTCATCAGCGAGTACCTGGAACGAGACCTGGAACTCCTTGGAGTGACTGGGGTCGAAGACCGTTTGCAAAGAGACGTTAAGCCATCACTAGAACTTCTCCGCAACGCTGGAATCAAAATCTGGATGTTGACGGGGGACAAGGTGGAGACAGCACGCTGTGTGGCTATTTCTGCAAAATTAGTTGCCAGAGGACAGTACATCCATACTGTCGCAAAAGTCAAAGACAAATCGGCTGCCCAGGAAATTTTGGATTTTCTGCGTAATAAAACGGACTGTTGCCTGCTTATTGATGGCGAATCTCTCTCTCTTATGCTTGGTCAATTCCGGTCAGCGTTCATCTCAGTTGCAGTCTTGTTGCCCGCTGTTGTTGCGTGTCGATGTTCCCCAACTCAGAAAGCTGAGGTTGCGGACTTGATCCGTCAATATACCAAAAAGCGAGTCTGTTGCATAGGAGATGGTGGCAACGATGTGTCCATGATTCAGTCGGCTGATGTTGGAATTGGCATCGTCGGTAAAGAAGGACGCCAGGCTTCCCTTGCAGCAGATTTCAGCATTACGCAGTTCCACCATATCACCAAGCTCATGGTCTGGCACGGACGCAACTCCTACAAACGGTCTGCCAAACTAGCACAGTTTATCATGCATCGCGGTCTTATCATCAGCGCCTGCCAGACCATGTACAGCATTGCCAGCCACTTTGATCCCAAGGGTCTCTTTATCAACTGGCTCATGGTCGGCTATGCTACCGTTTACACCAACGCCCCCGTTTTCTCCCTGGTCCTTGATCGTGACGTGGATGAGCACCTCGCCAACCTCTACCCCGAACTGTACAAAGAACTCAAGTCCGGCCGCAGTCTAAGTTATCGCTCTTTCTTCACCTGGGTCCTGATCTCCGTATACCAAGGGGCCGTAATCCAAGGCCTCTCCCAGATCCTCCTAGACACAATCACAGGACCCCGACTCATCAGCGTATCATTCACTGCCCTGGTTATCAACGAACTTCTAATGGTCGCCATCGCCATAACTACCTGGCACCCTGTAATGATCTTCTGCCTCCTAGGCACAGCCCTCCTGTACGCTGCCAGCGTCCCCTTCCTCGGCGAATACTTCGACCTGCAGTTCGTGATCACTGTGGATTGGGTCTGGCGTGTCGTCGCCGTTGTCGCCGTGGCCATCATCCCCGTCTGGGCTGGAAAGTTGATTCAACGATCCTGGCATCCTCCAAGCTACCGAAAAGTGAGGGGCTAACTTAATCATATCAGCCTCTCACCTCCCTTCCTCACTTCATTCTGTTTCCTACTTACCACCACCTGTTACTTCTCTTCTCGCAT